ACCAGGTCAGGAACTGAGTTACTGACCGGGTAAGGTACTGGTCCTCCTTAGCCACTGTTCCTAACTGGTGAGTTACTGGTCCTTCTAAGCCACTGTTCGTGATGGGATAGTTGTCGAACTGATTTACTGACCTGGTAAGGTACTGATCCTGCTTAGCCACTGTTCTTGATGTGTTAGTTGTCGAACTGAGTTTCTGACCTGGTGAGGTATTGGTCCTGCTTAGCCACCGTTCCTGATATGATAGTGGTCGAACTGAGTTACTGAGCTGGTAAGGTACTGGTCCCGCTTAGCCACTGTTCCTTATATGATAGTTGTCGAACTGAATTACTGACCTGGTGAGGTCCTGGTCCTATTAAGCCACCGTTCCTGATGTGATAGTTGTAGAACTGAGTTACTGACCTGGCAAGGTACTGGTACTGCTTAGCCACTGTTCCAGCAGTGATAGTTGTCGTACTGAGTTACTGCCCTGGTGAGGTCCTGGTCCTATTAAGCCACCGTTCCTGATGTGATAGTTGTTGTACTGAGTTCTGACCTGGTGAGGTATTGGTCCTGCTTAGCCTCTGTTCGTGATGTGATAGTTGTCGTACCGAGTTACTGACCGGGTGAGGTACTGGTCCTGGTTAGCCACTGTTCGTGATGAGATAGTTGTCGATCTGAGTTACTGACCTGGCAAGGTACTGGTACTGCTTAGCCACTGTTCGTGATGTAATAGTTGTCGAACTGAGTTTCTGACCTGGTGAGGTATTGGTCCTGCTTAGCCACCGTTCCTGATGAGATAGTTGCCGAACTGAGTTACTGACCGGGTAAGGTACTGGTCCTCCTTAGCCACTGTTCCTAATGTGATAGTTGTCGAGCTGAGTTACTGACCTGGCAAGGTACTGGTACTGCTTAGCCACTGTTCTTGCAGTGATAGTTGTCGAACTGAGTTACTGACCTGGTAAGGTACTGGTCCTGCTTAGCCACTGTTCCTGATGTGATAGTTGTCGAACTGAGTTACTGACCTGGTGAGGTACTGGTCCTGCTTAGCCACTGTTCCTGATGTGATAGTTGTCGAACTGAGTTACTGACCTGGTGAGGTACTGGTCCTGCTTAGCCACTGTTCCTGATGTGATAGTTGTCGAACTGAGTTACTGACCTGGTGAGGTACTGGTCCTGCTTAGCCACTGTTCCTGATGTGATAGTTGTCGAACTGAGTTACTGACCTGGTGAGGTACTGGTCCTGCTTAGCCACTGTTCCTGATGTGATAGTTGTCGAACTGAGTTACTGACCTGGTGAGGTACTGGTCCTGCTTAGCCACTGTTCCTGATGTGATAGTTGTCGAACTGAGTTACTGACCTGGTGAGGTACTGGTCCTGCTTAGCCACTGTTCCTGATGTGATAGTTGTCGAACTGAGTTACTGACCTGGTGAGGTACTGGTCCTGCTTAGCCACTGTTCCTGATGTGATAGTTGTCGAACTGAGTTACTGACCTGGTGAGGTACTGGTCCTGCTTAGCCACTGTTCCTGATGTGATAGTTGTCGAACTGAGTTACTGACCTGGTGAGGTACTGGTCCTGCTTAGCCACTGTTCCTGATGTGATAGTTGTCGAACTGAGTTACTGACCTGGTGAGGTACTGGTCCTGCTTAGCCACTGTTCCTGATGTGATAGTTGTCGAACTGAGTTACTGACCTGGTGAGGTACTGGTCCTGCTTAGCCACTGTTCCTGATGTGATAGTTGTCGAACTGAGTTACTGACCTGGTGAGGTACTGGTCCTGCTTAGCCACTGTTCCTGATGTGATAGTTGTCGAACTGAGTTACTGACCTGGTGAGGTACTGGTCCTGCTTAGCCACTGTTCCTGATGTGATAGTTGTCGAACTGAGTTACTGACCTGGTGAGGTACTGGTCCTGCTTAGCCACTGTTCCTGATGTGATAGTTGTCGAACTGAGTTACTGACCTGGTGAGGTACTGGTCCTGCTTAGCCACTGTTCCTGATGTGATAGTTGTCGAACTGAGTTACTGACCTGGTGAGGTACTGGTCCTGCTTAGCCACTGTTCCTGATGTGATAGTTGTCGAACTGAGTTACTGACCTGGTGAGGTACTGGTCCTGCTTAGCCACTGTTCCTGATGTGATAGTTGTCGAACTGAGTTACTGACCTGGTGAGGTACTGGTCCTGCTTAGCCACTGTTCCTGATGTGATAGTTGTCGAACTGAGTTACTGACCTGGTGAGGTACTGGTCCTGCTTAGCCACTGTTCCTGATGTGATAGTTGTCGAACTGAGTTACTGACCTGGTGAGGTACTGGTCCTGCTTAGCCACTGTTCCTGATGTGATAGTTGTCGAACTGAGTTACTGACCTGGTGAGGTACTGGTCCTGCTTAGCCACTGTTCCTGATGTGATAGTTGTCGAACTGAGTTACTGACCTGGTGAGGTACTGGTCCTGCTTAGCCACTGTTCCTGATGTGATAGTTGTCGAACTGAGTTACTGACCTGGTGAGGTACTGGTCCTGCTTAGCCACTGTTCCTGATGTGATAGTTGTCGAACTGAGTTACTGACCTGGTGAGGTACTGGTCCTGCTTAGCCACTGTTCCTGATGTGATAGTTGTCGAACTGAGTTACTGACCTGGTGAGGTACTGGTCCTGCTTAGCCACTGTTCCTGCAGTGATAGTTGTCGAACTGAGTTTCTGACCTGGTGAGGTACTGGTCCTGCTTAGCCACTGTTCCTGCGGTGATAGTTGTCGAACTGAGTTACTGACCTGGTGAGTTACTGGTCCTTCTAAGCCACTGTTCGTGATGAGATAGTGGTCGTACAGAGTTACTTACCCTGTTGAGTTACTGGTCCTGCTTAGCCACTGTTCCTGATGTGATAGTTGTCGAACTGAGTTACTGACCTGGTGAGGTACTGGTCCTGCTTAGCCACTGTTCCTGATGTGATAGTTGTCGTACTGAGTTCTGACCTGGTGAGGTACTGGTCCTGCTTAGCCACTGTTCGTGATGAGATAGTGGTCGTACTGAGTTACTGACCTGGTGAGGTACTGGTCCTGCTTAGCCACTGTTCGTGATGAGATAATGGTTGATTGAGTTACTGACTCTTGCGAGTTACTGGTCCTATTAAGCCATTGTACCTGATGAGAAAGTGGTCGTTGAGAGTTACTGGTCCTGTTAAGCAACTGTTCCTTGTGAGATAGTGGTCGTACTGAGTTACTGACTGGTGAGTTAGTGATCTGTTAAGCCACTGTTCCTTGTGAGATAGTGGTTGTGCTGATCATGAGTTGCTGCCTCTGGGGAGTTAGTGGTCCTGTTAAGCCACTGTTCCTTGTGAGATAGTGTTTGTGCTGATCATGAGTTGCTGCCTCTGGTGGGTTAGTGATCCTGTTAAGCCGTTGGTCCTTGTGATATAGTGGTTGTGCTGATCTTGAGTTGCTGACTCTGGTGAGTTAGTGGCCCTGTTAAGCCGTTGTTCCTTGTGAGTTTGTGGTTGTGCTGATCATGAGTCGCTGACTCTGGTGAGTTAGTGGCCCTGTTAAGCCGTTGTTCCTTGTGATATAGTGGTTGTGCTGATCATGAGATGCTGACTCTGGTGAGTTAGTGGCCCTGTTAAGCCGTTGTTCCTTGTGATATAGTGGTTGCGCTGATCATGAGTTGCTGACTCTGGTGAGTTAGTGGTCCTGTTAAGCCATTGTTCCTTGTGAGATAGTGGTTGTGCTGAGTTACCGACCTGGCGAGATAGTGGTTGTGCTGAGTTACTGACCTTGCGAGATAGTGGTTGTGCTGATCATGAGTTGCTGCCTCTGGTTGCACTGAGTAACTTACCCTTGTGAGTTACTTGTATTGATCGATGCAGTATTTTCTTCCTGACAATTTTGATACGTTCTATGTTTAATCATTATTTAGCATATTACCATTCAAGTTTTTCGTTTTGGTGAATATTTTGTTATATTTACCTGACAAAGTGGTATTGACCTCAACTTGGCTAATTTTACTTTCTCATGTTTATATAACCACATTTTCTTCTCAACAAGAGTCCATATATGTATAGATACAGATCAGTATAGAGGGTCAGAATTACTAATTGTGTGGTCATATACACACTAAAATATAAGTTCCGATCCGTGTCATTTAAAACATATGACGGACTTAAATATGTCCATCTACTGATGACTACGTCCAAAGCATCTTAATTATGAACATAGCAACAGTTGTCTTTGTCTCCAGCTGTCTCAAAGCTGAGTACATTTAAATGGGGGCCATTAAATGCTTCTGTATGGGAATGAAGGGGGAAAACAGTTGTAAAGATGAGGTAGAAATACTTTTAGCGAACGGCAATTACATTATATAATAAAATACTATATAGTACCTCATCAAAATTCAAAATTAGGATTGACTGGCCGATATATGCCAGTGCAGAACTGCAATTCATGATAAGTAATATAATCAACTTTGTTTATTATATAACAGGAAAAAAATTAACGAAAAAAGCAATAATTAATTAATATTCAAGATATTAAATTAAAATAAAACGCTCTATATCTGCAACAATTCATTGTCCTATTTCATGACCTTTAAGTTGGAATTGCGTGGTAAGAATGTTTATATTTATTTCCTACTAACCAAGTATATATGTAAATGATATCATTTAGTCACGTATACCGTACCATTCTATATTTTGACATTTTAGGGATTTGAATAATTCGGTTTATTTTTTAGGTCATGTAACGTTCTATATTTCGACCTTTTCAATAGCGTCCCCTTTACGAACTTATCGAACAAAAGAACAAAGGATTGTCAGAGAGGTATAAAACCTTAAAATAAACAGCATTCTATTCATGGCCGATCCCTGTGACCAGGAAACTTTGCTATAGAAGAACGTACACCCTAATTTTTAAAATCCCTGGTCAGATTTCTAATATTGTCGTTATACTTCACTTTATTGTGTAGTTCGTCGTCTCTCTGTCCTATATATTGACAGCCAGCTGGGTTGTAACCGTTTAAGATTCTGGTCCGACTTGAATGCACACGATGATGTGTCATATATACAAAAACTGTATATGATATCGTCCTAGATTGTGACCAGCAGAGGTATCGTGTATCACTTTACAGCAGGAAAGTTTCCAGAATACAGATTTGTTCATCTCTGTTGGTGTTGGCTACAGGTTTGGGGTAGAAGGTTAAATAATGAACAGAATATTCAAATAGAAGTTGCATCATTTACGGTACGTATGGATTAGGTATAAAAGCCAGCATAACTAGTCTGATTTTAACCAGCAGTGGGGTACGTTGGAAATACTGTTTACCTGACACACTGTGTAGTGAAGGTAAGATTTATTGACGTTATTTAACTACTTAACTGTTTGTTACTTTATTATGAAAGAAAAAAATTCATCTAAGATTTTGTTTTAAATTAGGTTGGGACAGATTTTGTCAAATCTTGACCACTAAAAAATCTAAACTATTGATGAAAAACCCCAGTAGTTACATACATTTATGGTTATTTAAGGGTTTTTTTTTTTTGTATTCTAGTGCTTGTTCAAACTTCAATATGAATAAAACGGTACAAATTCAGCTTTACGTAGCGATTTATTGACTGAACAGATTTGTGTATGAAAGAGTGTGTATATATATGTATACGTACATGTTGTAATAGCTAGTATGGTAATACTGCCTGTCCCTTTTTCAAACAATTGTTAAAAAGTCATAAACACATGAAATTAACACAGCATGCATGTATACCCCCGTATATGAAGTGCCTGGGAAAGATTTATAATGACACAAGACTTGTTTACATAAATCTGGACCTACCGGGTAGTAAATAATATACATTTATATATATTCGAAATATATTAGGACGAAAATTAATTTAATGGCCCAATAAGTTAAAGTAAGTGTTTTTGCATATATTTAATTTAATTTTGACAATGTAATAATTGTACGTACACTATAATATGGTAATTATTCAATATTAAGCAACATAACCACATGTTAAGATCTTTTTAAAAACAATGAGGATCTTCAAGTAGAACTTGTGCTTTTAAAATGTCTGTCGTCTGTATTCTACCCTGTATTACAATTAATATCTTATCCCGAGGTAAATAGAGAAGATATCAGTATCGTTAGGACTCGTGTGTTCCAGAGTAATGTGCATATATACCTGCTAGCCACGTACATGTACATATTCGCATTAAAAAAGGCTTGTGTACCCATGCTTTTAATTGTTTCCACATGACTGAGTCTCTTTGACACATATGTAGGAAGTGTGGCGGGTTATAGCAATGAAGTATGGGGTTTCCATACAGCCCCTGACATTGAGAAGGCACAATTAGACTTTAGTAAAAATATTCTTAAACGGTCGACACCAAATGCTATGGTATACTTTGAACTAGGGAGGTTTCCGTTGTCCCTCCTTCGCAAATTAAGAATATTTAAATACTGGCGTAAGTTAACCTCTACCAACAATTGTATTTTAAAAGGATGTTACGAGTATTATATGTACAACGAATGTGAGGCTAATCATATAAAACTGGGTTGCGAAAGTCAAACACGAGCTGGGCTAATTAGGTATGACGGACATTTGGGCTTCCCAACATATTATAAATGTAAGCAATTTTATATATATTGTAAAACAACGTTTGTTAGACAATTTCAAGCAAGAGTGTGAGAATTTGTTTGTTTCGTCGCCAAAATGTGTATCATACAGGCATGTTGTAGATCACTTAGCATTGCGAACTTATCTTTCAAAACCAATTTCTGCTAATTATAAAAAAAAAAATAATATCGTTAGATTACGTTTATCTTCACATTGTCTTCTTATCGAATCAGGCAGACACAGAAATGATCCACGTCAGCTTCGAACTTGCCCTGAGTGTCTAAATGACATCGAGGACGAATATCATTTCATTTTAAAATGCCCCTTCTATAACGATTTGAGAACCAAATATATTAAAGCCTTATTATCAAATAAATCCCCCCGTCTTTAAATTAGTTATATTTCTATCATTATTAAATACGAAGGAATTATGTAATTAAGGAACATTTGTCCATCAAGCAAACATATTGCGAGCAAATTATTCAGTAGATTAAAATAGAATGGCATGGAAATAGTTATTGTAATTAAGTTTGATGCAAATGCTGTATCTATAAACTGTATCAGTTTACGATCATTAATGAATTACGAAAGAATTACATCTGTCAACAATATCCATCCGTGCGTGCTAGTCTGTCACGACCTAGTGACGTAATGTTCTCCAAAGTCCGATACAATTAAACAACGCCTTACACTAAACATGTGAAACCTGTCCGGCTTTTTTGGATTCAGCATAAAAGTAGAAAATAACTGTAAAGTATAACTTCTGTAAGGTTGTCGTTGAGGTACATATAATGAAATTACTTGTTCGTTTGATGCGAATATTTATAATTTGGTTCATTTATTTGTTTAAAATATATTTTCTTCATTTGTTTTCCAGAGAATCAATGTTTAGATGACTAAAGGCGTTCGGGAGTGTTATTTAAAGAAAAAAAGAGTCCATATTTTGACCTTACTGTGTTAATGTTGGTTAATTCATGCTTTCATAAAAGATATAGTTTACACGTTATCCCACTACCAAACAAAAGGCGATGACGAGGGAAAGGTCACAATTCAATGTAAACGGAGTCAAGCGTGGCGGAGATGTGGCATACAATGGCGATTCATATGGAAAATACATAGTTAACAAACATGACGAGGCACCTCAAGGACAAGGGGGGATTCTATCCAACGGACACGAAAACAAAGAGAGGACTCACGACGCGAAAGAAAGACATGTCCCTATTCCAGATGTAAAGTTTGAGAAAGACGAAGCAAGCCAACCAAAAAGAGAAACAGACTCAGATAATGGACTGAAGATTGGAGTCTTTGGACTTGTGAGTTAATTGTTACATTGTAATAAACTGCCGTTCTTAAGTGACCATAGCTGTTGATGGGACGTTAAGCAATAGTAAACCAAACCAAACCAAACGTAATAAACTATCGCACGGGGTCTTCAAGATTAAGAAATAATACACCTGTAGCTTAGGTGCTTCGGACAAGAACTTAGTAGGAATCAAGTATGATTATAAATTTAAGGATACATTTAACAAGTTGATATTGTAATGTGAGTTAGAGCATTTCATCATTACTTGATGAATATAATATGTTATGCGTACATGTACAGTGATCATAACGAACGGAAACATATAGAAGTGTTTCAAGTGCTCAAACTTTACGGTCACATCAACGAACTGAAGAGTGATTCAGTGCACACATACACACATGCACGCTTACACAACACACATGGAGTCACGTACTTAAATGACCTCAGCTGTTTAAATAGGACGTTAAACAAAATAAGATTAAACCAAATCTTGTGACGCTTGTCCAGGAAATGTCCCTCTCAAGTTTAGAGCATTTAACCTGGCCACTACACTACACGTGTGTGAACTAGACACAATTTAACATAACAAATGGAGTAAAAATCTTATCAATACAATTTACAAACGTTTATCTGTAAATGCCAAATCCAAATATTGTCTGATACTTAGTGGATTATATCGCCAAACACCTATATTGTTAAATCAATTTCAACAGATTTTATTGACTTTGTATATTTTAATTGGATTGGACCCCAGGCTAGGCCTATTTAAGTCCATACTTAACTTTTTTTACAATCAGTACATATATACCGTCATAACAATCCAAAAGTGTAGGGGAGATAACTCCAATTTAGTTAATAATATTTAATAAATCATGTATACTTGTTAACAACCAATCCTACTTAAAATCCACGGACTATAGGCCGAAAACTCCTCGTGTAAACACATTGGCCATCCATTCACTGGATACACAGGATAAGTTACCAAGAAATAAACATTTTGTAAACTTTCAGAATATGATATGATTTCATAGGGGAGATGTAGCTATTTTTATCTTTTGGTATGGTTCTTTACACTCATACCGGCCTTTATTTTGTCAGCTATATCTCTTTGCAATGTATAAAGAGTGACTTGATACGAGCCATACTCGACGGTACTGGTCAGGGTGACTAAATGAGCCCCTTGTATGTTGTAGTTCCGGTACGCGACGTGTATAGATAAGGTGTTGCTATGTATTGGGACTCTGTGCGCTGCCGTCAGTGGCTGTTGCGTCCCATTAAACCTCTATGTGTACGGCCAGGTAGCCAACGCATTGATCCTGAACGATCTGTTCCAATCTTTTATGTGAGTATCAAACAATACAATATGCTTTCTGATTTCTTCCTTGTTTAAATTACATTTTGATACGAAATGCGTAGTAATCTTACATACCAGTGATATACGTAGCTCGTGATAAGAATATATAACAATGTTTATTTAAAATGTTGCATATTTATGAGCATCTACGATACTTTTTCACCTGGATTAAGCAGATCTGGTATGCAAGTACGAGAGGTAGGTCACTGTGACTTTGACCTGTGACCTCCGTTTTTGTTAGGAACTTTAATTTTTTTACCACTCAGTATAAATTTATATTAGGTATACTTTTTGATTGCGAAGTTTACAAAATATAAATCGCTTTGATGGATGTTTTGTTGATTATATATGATCTCATTCGTTGTAAAAGCTTATCGTCTATATTCTTTCTAATGGAGTAACTTTTGGTATGTAGAGATATCCCAAGACAACATAATTCACTGTTTCAAAAGTAAGTCAATGTGATCTTTATTTTGACACCTGACCGCAATGTTTGGAAGAAATAATTGTAATCTGGATTGGTGTCTCACTCGGTAAATACATAAATCATTACCGATGGGGGTTGCCTTGTGTACAGTACATATGATATATCTTAAGTGAAATGTTGCAATCTGATAAATGAATATTGTGTTAAAAACATTTTTTAATGAGTTCTGTAGTAACAATATATTCACTCTTCAATTTCAATCAATTACATTTTAGATCAAATTTGAATGGGACTTTCCCGCCGGACAACTTTACGGCACCCAATGGAATGACGTTTGGTGAACTGAAAGAGTACGAAGACATTTTTAACATAGCACAAGGGTACGCCGTCTGGTTCTGTCTGCTCGCTGTGGGTGTGTTTATATTTGGCTCTTTGTCAGTGATGTGTTACAGCTCTACAGCAGAACACCAGATCTATACGATTCGGCAGCAGTTCTTCCAGTCAGTAATGAGACAGGGAATCAGCTGGTTTGACATGCATGACAGTGGAGAGTTGAGTTCAAGGTTAACACAGTAAGTATACTCGCTTTAAAAGGTTCATACAGTAAGTATACTCGCTTTAAAAGGTTCATACAGTAAGTATACTCACTTCAAAAGGTTCATACAGTAAGTATACTCGCTTTAACAGGTTCATACAGTAAGTATACTCGCTTTAAAAGGTTCATACAGTAAGTAAACTCGCTTTAAAAGGTTCATACAGTAAGTATACTCGCTTGAAAAGGTTCATACAGTAAGTATACTCACTTTAAAAGGTTCATACAGTAAGTATACTCGCTTGAAAAGATTCACACAGTAAGTATACTCGCTTTAAAAGGTTCATACAGTAAGTATACTCGCTTTAAAAGGTTCATACAGTAAGTATACTCGCTTTAAAAAGGTTCATACAGTAAGTATACTCACTATACAAGATTAACCCAGTATGTATATTCACTTAATGACGTTCACACAGTAACTATACTCGCTTAACAAGGTTCACACAGTAAATATACTCGCTTAACATGGTTCACACAGTAAATATACTCGCTTAACTTTGAATGCAAATCATGACATTCTCTTATTCAATATGGACTACTGAAAAGAGATTCTAGTAAAATGTTCTCTCTGTGTCTCCATACATCTGTCGGTCCATACAATGTTCTCTCTGTGTCTCCATACATATGTCGGTCCATACAATGTTCTCTCTGTGTCTCCATACATCTTTCGGTCCGTACAATGTTCTCTCTGTGTCTCCATACATTTGTCGTCCAAACAATGTTCCTGTGTCTCCATACATCTTTCTGTCTATACAATGTTTTCTCTGTGTTTCCATACATCTGTCGGCCAAAACAATGTTCCTGTGTCTCCATACATCTTTCTGTCTATACAATGTTTTCTCTGTGTCTCCATACATCTGTCGGCCAAAACAATGTTCGTCCTATGTCTCCATACATCTGCTGGTCCATAAAATGTTCTCTTTGTGTCTCCATACATCTATCGGTACATACAATGTTCTCTCTGTGTCTCCATATATATGTCGGTACATACAATGTTCTTTCTGTGTCTCCATACATCTGTCGGTCCATACAATGCTCACTCTGTTTCTCCATATATATGTCGGTCCATACAATGTTCTTTCTGTGTCTCCATACATCTGTCGGTCCATACAATACCCTCTCTGTGTCTCCATTCATATGTCGGTCCATACAATGTTCTCTCTGTGTCTCCATACATGTGTCAGTCAATACAATGTTCTCTCTGTGTCTCCATACATCTGTCGGTCCATACAATGTTTTCTCTGTGTCTCCATACATGTGTCAGTCCATACAATGTTCTCAATGACTGGAATATTTAAATGTTAATCCTCATCAAACTTTATCCTGAGTTTTTTTATTGATTAATATAAAATTATGGTGTAGGACTGATTCTGTTGTGATGATTTAACGAGACTTTCAAATTGTTCCGAAAAAAATGAAGATGTAGTCATGCCTCTGCAATTTAACTCAATCTGACAGTTTATTGTTGTTTATCATAGGGATATTCATTTGATATCAGATGGTATCGGCGACAAGTTTGCGACCATGATCCAGTGGTTTACTACGTTTGTAGCTGCCTATATTATTGCGTTTCTGTCGGGGTGGAAACTTGCCCTGGCGACGGTTGGCTTCTGTCCAGTTATCATTATAACAGGGGGATCCTTAGTAAGGGTAGGTACATTTTATATTAAGGAAATGCGTATCTTGTAGTACGTTAATGTACATTTTGTAGTAAGGTTATGCATATTTGTAAGTAAGAGTACGTTAATTTTGTAGTATAGATTTGCATGTATTGAGTTGAAGGTGGTAGTATATTTTGTACAGTGTAATTAGAGTAAATACATTTGTAGTAAGCTGGCATACATTTTGCAGTCAATGGAAGTAATTACGAACATTTTGTAGTAGGGTATGCATATTTTGTGATATTAACCCTTTAAAGTTAAGATTTGTTCTCTTTGGGACCAGAATATTTTGTTAATTTGTTCAGATGTATATAGCAATACAGTTTATTGATACAAAGACGCTTTTGATTGCTACACAGTTCATGCGCAATTTAGCCAAGGAAGAATCCGACGCTTATTCCAAAGCAGGTTCTGTAGCAGAGGAAGCCCTAGGAAACATAAAAACAGTGATGGCCTTCAACGGACAAAGCAAAGAGTGCGCTAGGTAAGACAGGTAGTCTAGCAGGGGAAATTACTCCCGTAGCTGTAAGCGAAATGTGTAACCATGCTTATTCTTACACTGAACATACTTATTAACTTCTACGCTACATTGATCGTCTATCCAATGATTAGTTTAGCGCCTTGACGCCTACCTTACATTGATCGTCTATCCAAAGATAAGTTTAGCGCCTTGACTTCTACGCTACATTGATCGTCTATCCAATGATAAGTTTAGCGCCGTGACTCCTACGTTACATTTATCGTCTATCCAATGATAAGTTTAGCGCCTTGACTTCTACGCTACATTGATCGTCTCTCCAATGATAAGTTCAACGCCTTGACTTCTACGCTACATTGATCGTCTCTCCAATGATAAGTTCAACGCCTTGACTTCTACGCTACATTGATCGTCTCTCCAATGATAAGTTTAGCGCCTTGACCTCTACGTTACATTGATCGTCTATCCAATGATAAGTTTAGCGCCTTGACTTCTGCGTTACATTGATCGTCTATCCAATGATAAGTTTAGCGCCTTGCCTTCTACGCGTCATTGATCGTCTCTCCAATGACAAGTTTAGCGCCTTGACCTCTACGCTACATTGATAGTCTATCCAATGATAAGTTTAGCGCCTTGACTTCTGCGTTACATTGATAGTCTATCCAATGATAAGTTTAGCGCCTTGACTTCTACGCTACATTGATAGTCTATCCAATGATAAGTTTAGCGTCTTGACTCCTACGCTACATTGATCGTCTCTCCAATGATAAGTTTAGCGCCTTGACTTCTACGCTACATTGATCGTCTCTCCAATGACAAGTTTAGCGCCTTGACCTCTACGCTACATTGATAGTCTATCCAATGATAAGTTTAGCGTCTTGACTTCTACGCTACATTGATCGTCTATCAAATGATAAGTTTAGCGCCTTGACTTCTACGCTACATTGAACGTTTATCCAATGATAAGTTTAGCACATTGACTTCTACGTTACATTGATCGTCTATCCAATGATAAGTTTAGCACCTTGACTTCTACGTTACATTGATCGTCTATCCAATGATTAGTTTAGCGCCTTTACCTCTACGCTACATTGATCGTTTATCCAATGATAAGTTTAGCGCCTTGACTTCTACGCTATATTGATCGTCTATCCAATTATAAGTTAGCTCCTTGACTTCTACGCTTCATTGATCGTCTATTCAATGATAAGTTTAGCGCCCTGACCTCTACGCTACATTGATTGTCTATCCAATGATTAGTTTAGCGCCTTTACCTCTACGCTACATTGATCGTTTATCCAATGATATGTTTAGCGCCTTGACTTCTACGCTATATTGATCGTCTATCCAATGATAAGTTAGCTCCTTGACTTCTACGCTTCATTGATCGTCTATCCAATGATTAGTTTAGCGCCTTGACCTCTGCGCTACATTGATCGTTTATCCAATGATAAGTTTAGCGCCTTGACTTCTACGCTATATTGATCGTCTATCCAATGATAAGTATAGCGCCTTGACTTCTTCGCTACATTGATCGTCTATCCAATGATAAGTTTAGCGCTTTGACCTCTACGCTACATTGATCGTCTATTCAATTATGAGTTTCGCGTCTTGACTCCTACCTTACATTGATCGTCTATCCAATGCGAAGTCTTTCTTCTTCTTTTTTGTCAGGTACAATAGTCACCTATCCCATGCTAAGTCTAATTCTGCCAAGAAAGGGGTCTTGGTAGGACTCAGTGGCAGTGTACTTTGGCTGTTACTGTATGGAGCCTTCGCGGTTGCATTTTGGTACGGAATCAAACTGATACAGGACCAGGAAAGTGGATTTGATCCAGGAAGTACGCTCACGGTAATGTCTACTTTCAACCACTTTATTTGTCCTTCACCAAAGTCAGGAAGTTCTAATTTTGAATCCCCTTTATAATAATGTCAAATACGATGTCAGGTTCTAATACAACTTAATACACGTAGATAAACTGAGAGTAATGTTTTTTCGGTAGAATGAAATAATTGCATTATTTATGGTAACATGTACTGTTTGTAGGTTTTTCTTGGGGTAATGATTGGGTCTATGTCCCTCGGAAATGCCTTCCCCACTCTCGAGATTCTGGCTAATGCCCGTGGAGCTGCACAAAAAGTCTACGAGGTCATTGAACTTATCTCTGAGATAGATCCTGTCTCAACAGAAGGCAAAACACTGGAGAATTACGAGGGTAACATTGAGTTAAGGGACGTCTTCTTTGACTACCCTGCCCGTCCAGATACGCCGGTAAGATCGAGTTCGTGCTCTGCTATTTCTCATTGTTCTGAAACCATTACAAACTTCATTTTGTAAATTTAACGAATATTAAAAAGATTAAAAAAGATACTACTGTGCTGACTCGCTAATGATATTTACAATACAATCAAACAGGAGTTCTAGATATGTACTTCCTACACAAAACTCTTACAGGTTTGCGACAATCTGGAACCTTTCTTCAACTAAATTTATATTTACTAATATTTTGTTGTTACAATACATTAGACTTGGTAACATTTTGTAGAAAAGTATTCATGCCAAATTGACAGGTACTGCAAGGCATGAGTTTAAAGGTCGGCGTGGGTCAAACAGTGGCGTTGGTTGGTTCGAGTGGATGTGGCAAAAGCACAGTGATACAGCTGCTGCAGAGGTTCTATGACGCAGAGCTTGGTCAGGTAGGTGACATATCTGGTGTAGGTATTAAACACCAATCTGATGTATTACATTTGTGGTATTGTTTTGTATCGTACATAGTAGACTACACAAAAGAGAGTTAGTTGACGCTGCTGCTTTTGTAATCCAATGGTAACGGATCGTCTAAAGGAAAAGGTGCCCAAACGAACCTCTCTTTAATACCACTTTTGTACATCAGTTTAATAGTGTAGGTTTGGCTGGGTGACTATAGTATTGCAAAGGCATAATAATTATGTTTAATGGATATTTACATTTCTTACTATTTTTCGGAACACTTACATGTAAGACATTTATTTTAAATCTCTTTACCTTAATAACCACTGCTAATGGGCAAAATTCTTTCTTGACATTTTTTCTGCATCGACTGGCTACATTTATACATAAGCTTGCTTCGTATCTCTAGCGAATAGTTATAGTCACCTATTAATGACTGCAGTGCTGATACAACAGGTGTTGCTGGATGGTCATGAAGTTAAAACGTTAAACGTAAACTGGCTACGAAGACAAGTTGGCGTGGTCAGTCAAGAGCCAATTCTATTTGCCACCACAATCGCTGAGAACATTCGGTATGGACGACTCGAGGTCACCATGGAGGAAATCAAGACAGCTGCTCGGGAAGCCAATGCTCACGAGTTTATATCTGAGTTTCCAGAGGTGAGTTATAACTTACAAGCCAGTATGGCATGTCTCCTATGTCATAGGTCTGAACTTCCAAGGTTGAGATCTTACTTACAAGCCAGTATGACATGTCTAATAGGTCACATATATGCTTCCAGAGGTGAAATCTTACTTAGAAGCCAGTATGGTATGTCCTGTATGTCACAGGTCTGAGTTTCTAGTGGTGATATCCTACTTACAAGCCAGTATGGCATGTCTAATAGGTCATAGATATGAGCTTCCATGGGTGAGATCCTACTTACAAGCCAGTATGGCATGTCTAATACGTAATATGTATGAGCTTCCAGAGGGGAGATCTTACTTACAAGCCAATATGGCACGTATCATAGGGCATAGGTCTGAGTTTCCAGAACTATGATTTAGCTCACAAACAAGTCTTACATGCCTCATAGGTCATATGTCTTAGTTTGTAGGGCTAACATCTAACTCACAAACCAGTCTGGTATATACATTTCATAGGTCATAGGTCTGCATTTCCAGTGGTGAAATCTTACTCACAAACCAGTTCGGAATATCGCATTGGTAATTGAATATTGGTTAATTAATAATTGAATGACGTTTTCAGTTAACTATTCCTTGGCAATATCATGGACGTGTTTTAATTGAGTTATTTCTAAGCTAAATGTATACCAAGACAACACATAATTACATGACGTGTTTGACTTAGACATCACTCACATAAATCTACCTCAGCACTTAGTATTATGGTTCAGAATTATTAAATAATAAAGTAGTTTGATAAGTGATTGGGTCTGTCAAAGCTGTATCACCAGTGCTTGTAGATCCATGCTGTTTGAAGAATGTAAAAAAATATGAATTTTATAACAAATGCTATACAATGTACAAAAACTTCGAGGAAACACTCAAGGGGCCGGCTCTGCATGTTTTGTTCGACATATTTTTAACAGGAACGTGCGGGTATAATATTATAAAATAACAACGATGAAATCATACGATACTGTTATTATGTTACATTAGGGCTATGAAACGTTAGTGGGAGAGAGAGGTGCCCAGATGAGTGGAGGACAGAAGCAAAGAATAGCCATCGCCCGGGCCTTAGTCAGAAACCCCAAGATTTTACTACTCGACGAGGCTACATCAGCTCTAGACAACGAGAGCGAGGCTGTTGTACAGAAAGCGCTCGAAAAAGCTCAGGAGGGACGAACAACCATTGTCATTGCCCACCGTCTGTCGACCATACGTAATGCAGATATTATCTATGGCATAGATGATGGACGAGTGATGGAGCATGGCACACATGATGAGCTGATGCAGGAGGAAGGGCTGTATTGTCATCTCGTTAATCAACAGGTATTTACACACATGTTGAGTCGCCATAGATCACTTCTTTTAGTGGGTAAAATAATACCGAAGCCTTTTAGCTTTTAGATTTAATGACTACAGGTTTGCTTTACCTGCAAATATTATTAAAGACACTTAAATTGACATGAATGTGGCTCGTTAGACCACTCTGTCCATCCCAACTGTATAACCCTTGTGGAGTGTTATAACTGAAACAATTGTCTATTTAGTCCAAAATTTTACTGCTATGAAAATGTTTTAAACAAAACTTCTGACACTTCAGAAAAAGTAACAAAAATGAGCTACATGATGCTTCCAATATTTGCCAAAAAAACTATCACGGAGAAATATTAAATTGTATCATTGTGAATGATATATTCACAAAGAGGTGTATATATGTTAATTTCATGCAAATTTCAGATAAATATTTACCTTATTTGTTTTACAATATCTGAGTATGTGAATTATCAATTGTCCTAGTGAGAACAAATTTGACAAACGTTTCTGAGTGCAGTACTCAGCCGTTGATCCACTGAGAGCTCTCTTTGTCTTACACAATATCATCATCATAGCTACAAATGAGAATTGAATAAATATAATTTTGTTTCAGAGTCACAATTCGGACGTGGCTGAAGAAGGTATGTCTATTTAATTATGTGACTATCAGGCCGATCTTGTGGTATACCTTTAAATGACTTCCAGTAACTTATAAATCGCAATTTGTTTTTAATATGTAATTAACTCCTGTTTATGATTACCGCCGCTTTGTTCATTAATGGAGTGTCCTAAACAGTGGTGTCCTCAATATAGAGATCACATAGCGTCAATATTTGGTAAATGTCTGACTAGCATGATGGATGGTTAGGTCTGTATGTTATTACACGTATGGTTTTGTTACAGCTGCCTTTGTATGTCAGCTGGTGAGTTATCACAATTACGGATGCCATTGGGTCTGTTGGAATGTCAATTAATATTACTTATGTGTAGGTATCTGCAGATATAATATGACCTTAAATTTAGCAAAAGCAACGCTGTAAAAATAACAAATTTGGTTAATGTGACTGAATAATGCTTTAAATTTATCGTTTACTCATACTTCAGTGGCTGATGAGCTTGAGTCTAAGTTGTTTGATGTCAATGATAAAAAGAATGATACATTCACCGACGAGATTCACCCCAATTCCAAGAATAACAAGAAGAGGGAATTGGTGTTAAATCAGAGAAGGGCATCGACGGTAAGTGAGAGGAAGGCATCAACGTTAGGTCAAAGAAGAGAAAAAGTTAGCTTATGTGATACTGGAATATAACCACGTAGTCAAAAGTATATGCGCTATAGAAAAGTCTTAACCATTTAGTATGTGAGTTTGATATATTAAATACGATTAATTAACTTTAGTGAGTTGCGAACTCGGACATTTATCTTTGTTTTTGTTTATTGTTGACTGTCTTTCTCCCAAATAACAAAGTAAAGTATTGACAAATTGGTCCTGTGGTGAATATATACTGCCCTGGCCCATAGACATTGTGAGTAGTTGTTCAACCATGCATGTCGATGATTGAGAGTAGAACATACATACCAGCTGTTAAGCTACTAGTTAGGAAACAGTTAGTTAAAATTTCTATGCTAAGAACAGTTAAGCAATGCTAAATGTTGAGGTTTATATGTACTACCAGAGGACACTAAATCGACCATGATATACCTGCTGCATTTTTCATTACATGGTGCCAATTATTCAATACCTTACTTTAAGCCTGAGCGCTGGGCGCTCACAAAAACAGTGAACGTTATGGGTTCTGTCCCCTGATCAAGACAATTCAAAGTACTTTAAATTGGCAATAACTACACTGCACATAACGTTCAGCTTTAATGTTTCTGTTCTAAGGATCGTTCAGTATGGAGTCATGTTAATATGACTTGAATATCTCTCGTGATCTTATGCAATTGTGGTTTGTTTCAGTTCGGTTGCAATTAAAAGAACCAATACATGTTACAATTTTTCAGGAATTCTAAAAAAAAAGCAGGCTACACCTTTTTGTTTATGATAAAACAACTTTTACTTTGTCATGTTCAGACAGGAAAAGAAGAAGATGAAGAAGAGGATGTCCCGGAAGTGTCTGTAGGAAAAGTTCTTCGTATGAACTCGCCAGAATGGTACCTAATTCTAGGTGCCTGTATGTGTTCCACATTGGTCGGAGCTATACAGCCCTCCTTTGGCCTCGTCCTGGCAGAGTTTCTCACTGTAAGTTCATCTCGAGTTGTTTCTTTCTGTCAAATCGTCCGATTTTTTTTTTGAGGTAGAATTATTGCTTTATTATGACTGTTTTAGGTTTTCACAATACCCAAAGAGGAGCAAACAGACCAGTCCAACCTGTTAGTTGGCATTATCATGTCCATAGCCGTCGGCAACGCTGTTCTTCGACTGTGTATGGTAAGAATACTTCACTATCCTAAATTTATTTCACCTTCTTCAAACTAGTCATGGCCGACAGTTAACATTGTTCAATAATGAGATTATAGCATGTTAAATTGATAAGTCACAACACTTTCAGCAGTCGTTACTATGCGAGGTGTTCACGTTTTACCAGACATTGATTAGTTATATTGCAACAACTTATAGCCTCATGACTCTCATCTATAACTGATTATTAGTTAATATATCACGATATGAAGAATCGTAGGAACAAGGGCAAATTATATTGAAAAACATCGTTGTAGTGTTAACTCGTAGGAACATACCTGATCTACCATAGTGCTGAAATATGTATGCAGTTACACCTTACATTTGAAAACTATCAGTTTAATAATATTTCCTTTGTCATTTCAACATACGAGGAAACAACTTCTGTAGGCATAGCCTGCTGTTCAATACTATTGCTTTCATAAAGACATTAGAAATTATTATTTATTTGTTATTAAACATTATCTTATTATTTTCTATAATTGAAAATGTCCTCGGATATTTATTGTGAAAATACGACACTTTTTCTAGACATTAAATGAAGATATTACAAGACGTTTCCAAGTATTTTTATGGTGAAATAACAGCGCTTTCCGCGTTCAATTTCGACACACTCATTAACATTACATTGCAAATTGTAAACTTTACTGTGTTTATAATGATACTACAAACTGTTTGAATTTGTGCAAAATTTAATACTAAGTATTCATTTTAAGTATTCTTAAAAAAAATGACCAATTTTAGTAAAGGATATAACTTGTCCATCATATGTTGATACGTGCTATCCTTTTGTATCCCCATAGAGCATATGTTACTCCACAGCTGGTGCAAGGTTAACCGCACGGTTCAGGACACTTGCATTTAAATCTATAATGTGGCAGGTAAGTAAACGATTTACATTAAGTTGAACTAAATTTTTACCGATTTTTTTTAAAATACTGCCTTTAAAAGAGTAATTATCAATAAAACAATCTATGATTTTAATCGCTATCCGTCTTTTCTAATCATGATCGTGATGCGTGCATGTTGATTAAGCATTTAAGGTTGATACAAAATTCTGCTTCTAAATAGGACATTCCATTTTTTGACGATCCCAAGAACCGTGTAGGAACCCTGACAACCAGACTGGCGCGTGACAGTGGCTTGGTACAGGGGGTAAGTATACACTGTGATGGTAGCTTGAAATAAAGGATACATGATTGTACGTGGGGAGGGATGACATCTTGGTTCATTGGAGATATTCACTGTGATTGTATCTTGGTACGGGGAGATATTAATTGTGATGGTATCGTGGTAGAAAGGAGATATTGATTGTGATGGTATATTGGTAGAGAGGAGATATTGAGTGTGATGGTATCGTGGTAGAGAAGAGATATTCATTGTGATGGTATATTGGTAGAGAGGAGATATTGATTGTGATGGTATCGTGGTAGAGAGGAGATATTCAGCGTGATGGTATCTTGGTAAAGAGGAGATATTCAGCGTGATGGTATCTTGGTACGGGGGCAGATATTCAGTTTAATGTTATCTTGGTACGGGGTATCTTGGTACGGGGAGATATTCACTGTGATGTTATTTTGGTACGGGGAAATATTCACTGTAATCGTATCTTGGATCGGGAAGGTATTCAGTGTGCTGGTATCTTGGTACGGGGAGATATTCACTGCGATGGTATCTTGGAACGGGAACGTATTCAGTGTGATGGTATCTTGGTACGGGGAGATATTCACTGTGGTGGCATCTTGGTAGAGAGGAGGTAATTAGTGTGATGGTATTTTGGTACAGATAAGATATGCATTATGACGGCAGCTTTATACCTGGATTATGTTTATATTGTGAATGTAGTTTAATATAGTAGTGGTGTTAACTGTGTTGATAGATTGGTGCAGGGGCTGGGTATTCATTGAGATGGCTCCTTTGTACAAGATAGACTGTTTCAGAGTAGATATCCATGATGCTAATAGCTTAGCATAAGAAAGACTTTTTTTATGAAATTAGTTGCAGTTGATCTGTAAATAGTGTTAGTTTACGCGTACCTATTAGAAGTATAAATAATATGTCATAATCGAACTTTAAACATTACACGCAGTTTAAATGTTATTATGAAAATGTTCATGTCTTCTCATTGTTTCCAGGCTGCAGGCAACAAGCTTGGAGCAGTCCTGGAGTCTCTAGCAACTGTTACCGCCGCTCTGGTCATTGCATTCATAAACAGCTGGAGATTGACCCTCGTGGTCTTGGCATTTATGCCCTTAATGGTTTTGTCAGGTGTTGTACATGGAAAAATGTTGACAGGCTTTTCTAAGGGAGATAAAACTGTCACTGAGGAGTCCGGCAAGGTAAATACATAAGATGGCAAAAATGAAACTCGACTGTAAGATTTCCTCAATTATCCATATATCACGAGATCCAATGCACAAGTTCACATCACATCACAACGTAAATACATAACGAGGTAAATACACAACAATAACCATTACAACACAAACGTCAATGTATTTAGAAAGTCAAGACATCAAAGCACTAATTACATCACAAAACAAATAGCATCACGATAGTCAATACATCACCATAGTTATAACATTTATAGACTGTATATAATTGTAGTCAATGCTGTACTCATTAAACATATTATCTCTTTGTTTTGTCAAATTAATTTAAGTAGAATAACTAGCTTAGTTACACAAGTCATGTGTGTGTGTTAATATTTGAAACCATTTCATTTAAAGGTCCTTTACATTTGGCCTGTAGCATTTAGTATAGGCCACTTTCACCTTGGTTAAATTGACAAGCCAGGACCAATGTTGTTAAGGTCGTAAGAGTAAAAAGGTTAATATGTTTTCAACAAATATCAATTAATTAAAGTAATAATATATAGGTGTTTCGCTAGCAATCATGTTTGGTTTAATAAGTAGACCGTGACCCTTGTTAAAATTCAAATATGTAATATATCATTACACACAACATTGAATAGCCAGTGAGCCACACAGGTTCTTTACTTGAATACAAGTAACACTACTCGAGTTTGTAAATCTGCATCTGAATTTCTAAGCAAATGTAAACAAAAGTTAAAATTACGCTTAAAACAACACACTACTGTAAACTGTGTTAAAATCAAGACAGTAGTTCTTTAGAGTGAGTAATACTTTTTTTCGATCTTACAGCTTACTAGCGAGGCCATCAACAACATACGCACAGTAGCCTCCCTTACCCGGGAACAATCCTTTATTGACAAGTATAATAACTTCTTGAACGCCCTTTACACGTAAGTATGAAATATCCTAACATGAAATATATATGTAATTTACTGCATCTATATCATACATACAACTCAAAGAGACACGTGTTGTCTTTAGCCCTTACCAAGTAGGTCTATTTAATAATTACCATCTTATCAATTCTTTGTTTGAAGGGCTTCACTGTCCAAACTGTACTCAAGATAAATTGTGTTAACTTGTAAAATGATCCTGTTTTTTCTCGTTTTTGACTGTTTTATCATATGAAAAATAGGGAAAAAAATATGCAGGATGAAAAGTGTATATAATAGTAATTGGAATCTTTACCAAAATTCCAATACTTTGTTGAAATTTCAGAAATGGTAAAAAACGAAGTGTGCTCCAAGGGGTTATGTATGGTCTATCACAATCAATTATGTTCTTTGCCTACGCTGCTACGTTTACGTACGGAGGTTACCTTGTACAGTACGAAAACCTGCCATTTGAAAGTGTGTTTAAGTAAGTAGACAACTTGTGTTACATGTGTTATGCCGTTTGTTTGATATGCATTGATAGACTTCCTCTTAAACCTCGACGAAATTGACCAGTTCTTGTTCGGATTCGTTTTCGTCCCAATGTGTAGTAATCCTGTATTATACCCCGACCAAAATGTTAGTAGGTTAAAATATCTTGTTTTTCAATTGACGTTGTTTTTGTACACTTGAACAATATTCATTTGATTCCAAATTTTTTAATAACTCTTCACTCTTTTGTCTCAAAGGAAAGGTGATACAAATACTAGAAAATTAAAAGAAAAAAACCCATCATACAAGTAGAAATGAAACAACATATCTACGTACTGATTTTTTCTACGTCATAAATATGCTATTGTTTGAATTTGGAATGTATGCTTTAATGTACATGAATTAAGATTTTTGTTTGATAAAATGGCATATGTATTGGGGTATATACTATTCTATTTATATTTGTCAAATTTACGCACAACAGAGTACTTATATCACGGATACCTACTTAGCCAGAGTTGTTTACTAGTGTTAATCTAGATTTTTAGATGTATTTGTTTCTTACAGTATTTATTACTCAGTGATATGCAGTATAATTGTGTCTGTAGGGTCTTCGCTGCTATCGTTTTCGGTGGAATGTCTGTTGGAAGACAGAGCTCCTATGCACCAGATTACAACAAAGGCAAACTGGCCGCATCTCGCCTATTCCAGTTAATAGAGATGAAAGCAACAATAGACACAGCGAGTGAGGAGGGTAGCGTTATGGTGAGTAGCATTGTATTACACACAATAGATACAGCGAGTGAGGACGGTAACATTATGGTTAGTAGCATTGTATTAATATTGTTTAGACATGCTAACTTGATCAATATTTTAGATAACCTCATTGATGCAGCAATGATTTAACAGTTGATCTGGTGAAAAAAATCTGGCAGAAGTAAGGTCGATTGCATATCTGATATAGGTTTTGTTTTGTATGATGAATTAACGTTTATTATTTCAGACTGAATTTCGTGGCAGTATATTACTCGATGGCGTTCATTTCCACTACCCAACTCGACCGGAAGTTGAGGTACTGCGTGGGTTATCCATGATTATCCAGCCGGGGGAGACAGTGGCCATTGTGGGCACGAGTGGTTGTGGTAAATCTACTACGGTACAGCTGCTGGAGAGGTTCTACGACCCGGAGGGAGGATGCATTGTAAGTAATTCATTGATAGTGTCCAACACGTTTTACATTTACCTCAAACAGTAGTAATATTGCTGTCAAATATTTTTCTTTTGGACAGCGGTTATCAGAATCGCAGAACACTCATATACATTCGACACTGTTATTGTTAAGATTGCAATTACAAAAAAAATGAGTTTTAACTTTTGTGACCCTGACGAACTAACCATCAATTATTAGGTCCCAATTGTAGAGTGCCATATCTTCAAATTGTTATTAAACCTATCATGTTCCAAAATGTTAATTTGGATAACCTCCCCTCTCACAGCTGGCAGACGGTAACGACATAAAATCTCTGAATCTGAAGTGGTTCCGCAATCAGATAGGCATTGTTTCCCAGGAGCCCTGTCTGTTTGACTGCAGTATTGCAGAAAACATAGCGTACGGAGACAACAGCAGGATTGTACCGATGGATGAAATTATCTCAGCAGCACGAAAAGCCAACATACACCAATTTATTAACAGCCTGCCAGATGTAAGAACTTTACTGATATATAGGATTAGTAACTGTTACAAATTACTGATATAATACATATCTGTAACATTATTCCGGCAAATCTAATTGATGACGTTTACATGTTACTCCTCATTTTTTTTTTTTTAATATTTTTATGCTTTATCAGGAAACATTTTCAAATTTTCTATCATCTGAACACGATTGGCATCACCTAAGTTATTTTCGAAACGATCTTAATGTGACATGGCCTTAAGATTTGTTTTCATCATAATTATAACAAAAGCGATGAAACTTTACACATTTGTTAAAAAATTATCAGGAAAACGGAAGATTTAGCACGATCTGATTGCTTGTTTCGCAAGTGACTTCATCACAATATTACTGAAAAAGCTTATGGACGATACTAACATATTAAGTAGAACAAATATAATTCGTTATGTATTGACATGGAAAGAAAGTTTAAATATGTAAACAATTCTGTAACATAGGGTTATGACACGAATGTTGGAGATAAGGGGACACAACTCAGCGGAGGGCAAAAACAAAGGGTGGCCATAGCGAGGGCACTTATACGCAACCCAAAAGTGTTGCTCCTAGACGAAGCTACCTCAGCACTCGACGCAGAAAGTGAAAGGGTAAGATGCTATTGTTAATTTTATATTAATATTCAGAAGTATTGAACTTTTTTTGATGACATTTTTAGTGGAAATTGTTTAATAAAAAAACAACCTGATACTTGTTTTTGATACAGGTCGTACAAGAGGCCTTGGACAAAGCACGCGCTGGTCGGACATGCCTTGTCATTGCACATCGTCTCTCCACAATACAAAATTCGGACCGCATCGCCATTCTCCATAAAGGTGAGGTAGTAGAACTCGGCAGTCATTCTGAACTACTCGCCAAGAAAGGAATTTATTACAAACTCAGCCAGCATAACAACAAAAAGACTGAATTTTAAAAAAGCGTTGTATGCATGTAATGAGCATTATGAGCAAACATGTCGTCTACATAGAACTAAATGCTAGCAGAAAAAGTTGATGGCGTTTTATTGTATACGTTGACACCAAGTAGTATTCATGTGAAGATAAATTCTGAGTGTTGTTTCTATATTAAGGTACGTTTTATATTGATACAATTGCCGCCCTTAAATGGTTTTTAATCTGAGGACACCGTCTTCATGTGACCACAATTGTTGCAAGGAGGCGACACCATGAAAAAACGCTCATAGTTATGGATTTCTACAACATATCTATTTATTTCCCCACTTGTACGCATGCACAAATGAACGCGCTATTCCATAGTCGGCGGACTTCTATGAACACTTAAAAACGATTATTCAACAAAATTGTTTTTGGTAGAAGCGAAATGATTTCGAATTAAAAAATAATTTATAATATATATTCAGACATACACACAGGGAAAATATACAGGTCTGTCATTGCCTATTTTGCTTATTGAAATTATTGGTATTGGTCGTATATTAAATAATCAAGATTGTGTATACAAATGTAGCTAAGTTTTAAACAGCTCAGGGCTGCCTATTACCAGGCAATCCTCATTAGAAGAGAACATTTTAATTGGTTAATATTCAATACATTTTAAGTACACAATGATCCTGCTATCGAGGCTCACAGTTCAGAGATGTTTGGTGCGAAAGATTGCTCATCAGCACACAGTTCCGGAAAATTTATGATAACTATTTATTTGTTCAGCACATTGTTTAAGATATGCACGACCATTTAACCATCCACCTTGTAATTGTGTGCCGTTATTTTAAATGTTATGTACATGTTATTGTTTTTGTTTTATTTATTTTTCCTCTTAATTTTTGCCTGCAGTAGAACGTATTGATCCGTTTTCGTTGTCATATCACGCCGACAATTTATTGTAGAGTTTAAGGAATAGGATATAAATGTTGTTTACATAAGAACAGCTGAATGATTTTTGTTTATCTTGATATAAAGTTTGTCTTCGGAGCGGAAGCATTTTTGTCATCACACGTTGTCTTCAGTCTGTCAGACTATTTTTGTCTACAATATCTCTGAGAGAGTGTAAGGTCTTATTTGATATAACAATGTCTTTCCAAATATCACCAGAAGGTAAAGAAATGTCATATATTTATCGCATATGCTTGTTTTCAGAATGACAATTAAGGGGCAAATAGGGGTACTTTTTCTTTTAAAGATATTAGTTCATATCAGAATCATAAAAAATGATATCCTTCCCCAGTCAGAATTTAATGTATTTTTTCTTTAATTTACGCTTTTGATTATCTTGTTTGGTAAAGTGTGGTTGATTACCTTGTCTTTACATTAAATACATCAGATGGTCAAGCCGGATTATATCAGACCTGTTCAACTTGGTACTGTTGAGCTTATACAGTTGGTCAGAGATTTACATCTTTCAATAATATTTATTAGATTTTGAAATGTCTTTACCTCAGCTTAACATTAGATTCAACCTGAAATAGGTTATATGTATGTTAATAGGCATATGGTCAGACCAGCTTGTTCATATAGCAATATTTCTGCAAAAATATTTGTATATGTATAGATGTTCAATTTTGTGTAAATTTAGACTCTTTCAAATCAAACACCGCTTATAATCTGTCTGAGCCATGCCAGTGGAACAGATTATAATTTTGATAAAGCAGCTAAGTAATTTAGAATCTTTTAAAAAGAAAACAATGACATAAAAATCGCCACAACTTCACAGGTAAATTTAAACTGCGTAAACTTTTGTATATTGTTGTAAGGCCATTTTATTACTTTATGTCTATATTTCTTTCACATTTAATCATATATAAATCCGGCAATTCTTGTTGATTTTGCGTTACATTACCATATGTCAATTTATTCAGTGCCTTGCCTTGATAATTGTTTTCGTTGTATTATTAAATGACCATTTGGTTCCTCAGGTTTATCATTTTAGAGCCAGTATATGTTGACAACTTTTAGTTATTCACATTTTCCATGGTCTTGCCTTGAAATTGAATGATTATCTTGTATTATCTTTTGCAGTTCAGGTATTAGTTACTTTCAATATCTTCAGGGTAATGGTGTCTTGCCAATACTGCATCGGGAGATAATTTCGAGCTGAATTAAATTTCACTATTATGGGCCTTTTATTTCATTTTCATTTTACTGGTAATATTTATATGACATATCTAGAATGACACTGGGAAAATCAATGTTGGGTTGTCGGGTGGCGCAGTGGATATCGCAATTGTTGTAAAATAGAATAAAAATAAAATATTTATATTTATAGTCGTATTACGTATCCTAACTGATAATGGTCATAGTGGTATGAAATATAAACACTGGAACAGGTAGTAGATCTATTAAAAATGAACGTCGAGACTGGTGTTCAATTCGAGTTTGTAAACTGTAGTGAGTTCTTGTGTGTTTACTTAATCATAATATTGGAGCCGCAATCTATACTTTTTATGTTATCGAATAATGATTTATTTTATGCAATGGTCATTTCATTGTCTCTGTTAATGTTTTCTAGATCTGACAATCGTCATGAGGACCCTATTGACGGTCAAAGTCAATGTTCTGTATCTTGTAATTGCTAGAATCAATTAAAAATCATGTACATCAACTAATATTTCGTAAGAATGTTTTTAATCTGTACTTTAAATTTGATTTGTTTTCAATCAGAACTCCGTTCTCGAAACATATTATTGTTATTTATTTGCTAGCCGTGTATGTATACATATAAAAGCAGGTATCTGCATTACTCCTCAAAAAAACATATTTACATACAGCTTCTCACCTGTTATATAATCCATGGCCAAATTAAGCTACTTTTGTAACAGTAGTTTGGCCTTTAAGAACATCAGGTATTTCTACAATGATTGAAGACTTGCGCCATCTACTTTATAACCCTTATTCCGTTTTCCTTTTATCCAAGAAAGGTTTCCGTTGATTCAGCTCGATAACGAAAAAGAAATCAGCTTAAAATCGTGTAACAAAATGGTATTGAAACAAGTACCTTTACCATCAGTGCGTAATATTTAACTGTCAACATGACAAAATATCTAAATACAAATTTCAAAACATCCATGATAAATGAACTATGATGCCTTCTATAACAATAATAATATAATGGATGGATGGGATAAATTAATTAAAAATTCAATTCAAGGTTAATTGTTATAGATTCTGTATCACTTCATGAATTTTGATTAATAATATAATGCTTTAAAAGTCACCAGTATACTGTCTAGCACGAATCACACATAAGTTGTATTATATAAATGACAAAGATCACAGGCATACTGTGTAAGGCAGCTATACCTATTATAAACTATAGGCATCCTATTGAAGGAAGATATATCTAATACAAACTATAGGCATGCTGTGTATGAATCAAAAATCACAAGTATAATATTTACAAGTACAATCATTTCAATGATATTATCAATAATTTTCACGATAAGGCTACGTATATAGTTCCACTATATGAATGAATGCTTTGCTGCGAAGAAACTTATGACAAGGTTTATGTTGTCATAAGTTTCTTAAGGACAAAACAAAACGGACACACGCTTTTCTGTGTGATCTAATATTTTCATATCGTTACAATCCTATTTTGTGATCAGATGTTGTTTGCGGTTCATTTTATTAGCAAATATGAAAATTGCGTTATCTCTTATTGTATTTTGTTATCAAATATATGTATACCATTTATTTTGTGAAACCTTGAGTACTCTTTGATTTGGCACCAGACACAATAGCAGGCTGTATTTGATTTGTTATTTGTATACGTTTTTATGCCGTATATCTATATCAGACATTTCAATTGTTTACAATATCTTGTGTGACCAGTTATTTGTATGCAGCATGTTTTGTTATTAGTCATTTATATACAGATTGTTATGTTATTAGATATTTGTATACGGTATACTTTGATATATGACATTTGTATACTATATATTTTGTCCAATGACAATTGAATGAGGTTAATTTTGCTACATTTGCTCAGCAACATATCATTGAAATGCATAGAATATGTGCTTCACGTTAGCCCAAGTTGAGACGTCACCGATCTTATTGTTAAAACACTGACTTTGTAACTGAAGCATGGAATACAACCATTTTGAAATGTAAATATAAGTAATGTATGTTTTCCAAAGGAAGTATAATTGTCGACCACCACATACTGTAATTCCTGACAAACATACATCCAACCTTATCATGTTTTATTAGGTCAATCAGCGGTAGCAACCTCTTTTGTATGATTACTAAATCATTTGTGAAATATTTAATGCGTATGTATCGTATATCATTTAACATTGGTGTACGGTATATTTTGTGTTCAAACATTGAAAATAAACATATTTTTATTTTTATATTGTTTGGTTGTTTTAATGTATAAGTATTGTACATGTATCTTAAGAGTTAGGTTGGTATAGTTTATATATGTATAGTATCTCGATGTCTCGGTATGCTTTCCAAACCTCTCTTGTGAGTATATAATGTGATCTAAACGTCTAAATATCATTCAAAAGTCTGGTATGTGGGTTAATTTTGTGATCTCAACTTCTGTGCATTATTTGTAAACTAGCCAATAGTAAGTTTATTCATCTATACACTTAAAGGCTCAAATGATGTTTAGTGTTTTAATTAATTATATAAAAAGAAGAATAGCACATTTAAAATTTGGTGAATGAAACAGTATGCCAAAAATGATGACACTGCACTATATAGCTGTTCGTAATTGTATGGACTCATCGGACTTAACGTAAAGGTGGAAATCGAAATCGGTATAAATTACTGTTGAAACAGAAGAGGATGTTGATGAGATACACTTAGATACCCTGAAACTACACGAAAGAGATAATTGTGGCCTGGCCATCAAGGTTACGGCAAACCTCAAAGACTAAGTGATATACCAACAGAGTCTAACACCTTGGATCTTGAGAGATGCATGTAATTGATACAGTATAACGAAATGAGTTACGCTGCATCACACAGCCTTTTATAGATTATAAACGGTTTTATTTTGAATATTTGTTGATTTAAATCAGTTTGAAAACGTTGAAAATGCAGACACAATATAGGACATATTATCGCATACAAACTTGTAGTTTACAATACAGCTTAACTCGATACCAAGGACACTACATACACTTCTATTGCTTGCCTTGATCTTGCTATTGGCCTGGTGTGATACTGGTAGCAATGGTGAGGTACTGATCCTGATAAGTAACTGGTCCTTGTATGTTAATTATCGAGATCGAGGCCCATACAAATGGCAAGGCTCCTGGCTAGTGAGTACAAGTGTACCTGCTCCTGCTGAGTAACTGGAAGGACGCTGGCCCGGCATAATTGCTATTACTGCAGGTTTATCCCTAGCTAAAGTTGATATAATTGTAACAATATATAAACGTTCTGAACCTGGATTATCTAACTTAAACTTAATTTAAAAGGAAATTCAATTGCAAAATATTTTCAAACATGAAGAAATTCCACTAAAATGGAATAAGAAATAACAAAAATACAAAAAAACAATATTGATAAATATCCATGTGAGGTTCATCACCCGATGTAGTTAATTAGCTGTTTTTCAAAGGAAACTGAGGTGAATTCATCTTTTTAAAGTGATATCAAATGAAGAACTAAAAAAGAGTGATTTGAATAACTTTGTTACGATGCACAGAAGTAGAAAGTTGTGTTGTCACCGGTAAATATATACACGGGCCGATCAATATAGTAACTCAGAGTTATTCATTGTGAGGTCAGAAGTAATGTTTTAGTTGTGGTTTGACAAATACCAGTAGGGATCCGGGTCATTCAAAAACATGTGACAAACTAAAATATGTTCATCTAAAATGTACATGTACCAGTGTTTACTTTAAAGAACCCGAACTGTAGGATTAACAAAGGTTGTCTCCTGTTATCCTGCTTCAGCTGTTGCAATGCTAAATATAATTTAATTCAGGTCAGTAAATATTTCTGAATGAGAATTCCGAAAACAATAATTAACGTTAAGTTTGATATACTCATATTTTCATTGTAACCACATTAACATCAAAATGAATTAATACGTACATATTCAAAAGTAAGACTCAAAAAAGGGTTAACTGGTCAATAATGTTTTTGGCGCAGGGACAATTGAAATACAATTAGACAATTAATGGTATTAATATTGTACATGTATATCATTTATAGTGCGAATATGGGTTAATGAAATAGAAGTTTATACAGACAGTAAATAAATGAAAAATACATAAATAAAAACATATCACTTCATATCTTCATCAATTCAATATTCGATATTTTGACTTTTGAAAAATGCAGTGTAAGAATTTCCCGATGTTTTCAAACGAATTTTATATGTCAATGGCATTATTTAGTCAAGTGTACAACACCATCACCGAATCTGACCTTGAAGAAATCTAAATACTCAAGATTTTGTTTTCTGTCATGTAATTATGCTGCTTTCGTATTTTTGTTACCAGGCCTTTACATAGTAGCCCCTTATCTATTAAACAATAGAAAAAGGTTTGTAAGAATGGTTTGGAACCCACAACAAGTGAATTTAACATGGTCGTTTGTGTTAAAATGGGTGCATCTTTCACACAAAGATCCCTGGTCATATTTCTTATCTTGTCGTTTTATTTTTTCTTTATGTTCGCTGCCTCTCTGTCCTATATACATGTTATGTTTCATTGTCGGCCAAGATTGTCACCGTTTAATTATATAAGCTGCTGGTCCCATGTGAATGCACGTATGTCGTATACATCAAGTTGTCCTAGTTTTTGAACTACATATGTATCACTTTACAACATTACCTTCGGTGTAGCTTACAGGTTTGGGGTGGTAAGTCAACTAATGAATAGAAAATTTACTTTGAGATTGTATAATTTTAGTAACTTAAGAATTAGGTGGTTGCTGTCGAGGGCTAGTATAACTTGTCTATTCTAAACCAACAGTGAGATGCACAAGTCCCGTTCGGATAGATGGGCATGCATTGCAGATATTCCTGTTACAGTACAAAGGTAAGATTCAACGATTCATGCTGTTGTTTTACCTGTTACCTTAATTTAAAGAATATATATCATATAAGAATAGTTTAATTAAGTTAAGACATTTTATTTTAGAATCTTCGCCACCGATTTTTTTTTTTTAATTCTGCTTGATTATAATACCTTTAGTTTCATTCATTTATAGCTTATTAAGTTTCGTTTATTCTAGTACTATTAAAATGCATTATGTATATGACTATACAACACTAATCATACATACCAATTTATATCATTAAACAAATGCTTAAGAGATATCTATAATATATATTCCTGTAGCAATAATCAGTATGATTAAACCAATTATCCTGTTTTAGAAACCTTGTGTTAAACAAAATTATAATTACTTGAAATTAAGATAGAATATATTGCTCACCTGAAAGGGAGAGCAGTAACTTATATAAACCCGATATTAGTAATAACATAACACCTAAAGTATACATAAGGAACAAAACGTATTCACACAATTTGGCTTCCTATTAGTAAGATCAATATTTTCAAAGATGTTGGGGGCAATGAACAAGTGTACTGAACGATTGATAAGGGACTATCAACTCCAACAACCCAGGTGGAGTATAAATTGGTCTGGGGTGGATGTTGCGGTATCTGTGCTGTAGTATTCGAGTAAAGTGGCACTATAAATTATGCCGTTGGAAGCACGGTCTCACTACAAATAGAACACATTACATCTCCAGCACGCACGCAGGCGTAAACACATGGAGAAATATTAGCCAGGTGTCATAGGACTAGTAGTTAGCTAACAAAACCACATGTAAATTTCTTTTTTTTTAATGAGAATCTGCAATAAGAATTCTCGCACCGAAATTGATATTACAAAACAAACTGCATACGTGATCCGGTTTTCTGCAGCAGTCCTTATACTACCCTTTAGTAGAGGTCACAAGTCATCTGATCCTGCAGTGACAAAAACATAACATCAGATTAGTGATGCCGCGTGTATTCAGGGGTTATATATCTGCTAGCCACATACATGTACATATATGAAAAACACCTGTACGCATGGGAGATTATGCAGATGACAAGTTCACTGCTCACTAGTGTATTTATAGAAAAAATACATTATTACATTGTATTCATTTCGATGACGTAGCTGTGTTGACGGTGTACAAGGCTTTTATGTACATGTACCTTGCGACATTTCATTATTCTGTATTTCAAGTGATGATGTATATTATATCGTGGACAACCAAAAACACATGAAGTGTTCAAATTAACTCTTTTAGAAAAATGTTAAAAAGTCTTCAACTTTCAATTAAAAAAACACAGCTTCGCTCGGCTGTCAATGTAACAATGATTACATTTTGAAGATAGGGTACACACATTTTGATTTATAGGAATAGCAGGAAATACAAAACAATATATGAAATATGTCAGCATTGACAGCATTGGCTCCGATGCCGGTACCCCTGTCACTGCTAATTAACCATATAGCGTTCTCCACAGTCCAATTAAATCGAACAACGCTTTCCTCGTTATATTTGTAAAGTGTTTTCGGCGTTTTGGATCCAGAATTTATGTGAAAAACGTTTATTAGGTTGTCTCAGATAAATAGAATGACATTGCTTGTTAATTTGATATGAACATACTATGATTTTGTTCTTAATTTATTTGTACAATATCATGTGTTCCTTCTTTCTTTCTTTACTTTGTTAGGATATCAGGATTGTAAAAGTGTTTTATTTTCATCTGACTGTGAAAGGTAGATAATAATAATTTTAGACACATTTACAAGTGCGACCACCAAACAACAGGCGATGACGACAGACATATCACAACTCAGTCTAGACAGAGCTGTACCTAGCGGGGATATGGATCCAAATGGCGATTCACATGGAAAACACATCGTAAACCAACATGACGAGACACCTCCATGGGGAATTCTGTCTCACGGACATGAAAACATAGAGCAGAACAACAACGCTACAGCAAACCGTGTCCTCTGTCCAGATGTTGACTTCGAGAAAGACAAATCAACTAAACTAGGAGAGGAAATAGATACCAATGATGAAATGAAGATTGGAGTCTTTGGGCTTGTAAGTTCACAAGTTTTCTAATGGAAGACCACCACAGTCAGGGATATCTCGTATCATCTTTAGATTGATGGGGTTAAGTGCTAAAACAGTAGGTCAAAGTAGGTCAATAAGTTACTTTGATCTTCTGTCACGTATAGTACCATAGTGTCATAATAAGTTGCCTGTCGCATGTCGTAGTGATTGACTATCTGGTTACTTACACGATATAAACATGAGACACAGAGTCCGAATAACTTTGATACAAAAATTGTAAAAATTATTTCTGTGATTTAACATTGTTCAGTTAATTTACACATTCATGCTAGCTCTTAGGGACATTTTTCTTTAACAATAATAGTTATAAGCAGCTTATCTTTTAAATCCTTTTTATCCTACAGATTAGGCTATCTGTTCTTCATCTTGTTTCTATAGATGTAGCTTTTAGCTGATAATTGACTTATGCCCTTACAGGTAAAATATTTCCTCTAAGTATAATCCTACCGAAAGGTAGGTTCAATAGAACTTTCTTTGATATTTTGAATGCAGACATAAGGATTCAAAAACAACTTTTGAAATATTATTCACGGTATACAAGCAATCTGATTTCGTTCAATAAAATTGCGACACCATAGTTATGGCAAATGTTGTGGGCCGATACTCCACCAGCAAATTCGTCCACCTTTTTACCTGAAAATAGAGTCAGCAATACGACGTCAGGAAACAGAGATCACAAAATGAATACGTTTATGCAGAAAGGCAAACAAAGCAATCATTTACTGCAACCTATTGCGATTTCGTCCATTGATGACTCATCATTGATATTAAAGGCATAAAACAATAAAAATGATTAGTTTAGATATTCAAAATAACATAATGCACAATCATCCCTAAACGTATAAATGATATTCACTATATACCAGTTCTTAAATTGACCATATAAGGGAACGAAATATCAAATACTAATTACACAATGAATACAAGGCTTTATAGATGAGCAAACTGTATAGTACCGCATATAGGACATATTTTAAAGGTTAATTTTGCAATGTGAGTAAATGCATTGCAGCATCATATGATGACAGAATTGAAACTTCTTGTCTGATTTTTCTCAAGTTCCGATCATTTATGAAACGTCAATAACCAAATATTTACAAGTAAATAAGCAGTCCAGTACTTCAAAGATGACTCTATCTTACTCTCATATTTACGTTTGCTCTGCCTACTTTCTTTACGATACAAAGATAATGCAGTACGTCTATAACATCATTTTGGTCAGATAGCAACTGTTATGACGTCATCGATATGCTTCTGAAAACAATAACATACATGCTTCATAAATAAATAGATGAATAAATAAAATGAATGAATGAATAAACAAATGCAAATATTTAGGGACTGAGGGTAGGATAGTGAAATGACGAAATGAAACGTAACGACTCTATCACAATACATAGGTAATAATGTAAAGTTGTAGGTGATCGGCACTAATTTTTTTTATTTATTTTTTATTTATTTTTCAGATTATTAAGTACATTTGTAATAGCTGAAAATATCACACACACTAATCTTGCTTCCACTTTCACACAAACAATTATTGATTGTCATTTTAATATTTTTTTCCAATGTTAACATTTACATTGCATTTGTATAAGGAAAGCAGAAAAGGAAAGGTAAATAAAAAGAAAAATAGACAGAGGATGAAAAAAGACAAGGACAAAACATAGATAGACAGAGAGAGAGACAGAGAGAGACAGAGAGAGATGTCAGGCAATCAGTAGTGAATATCTATATATCTATATGTATGACTAGCATAGGAAAACAGGAGGGAGTAAAGAGCATGTGTTGTCAGCTGCAAATGTCAATATATGTATAGTAATAGCTAAACAAAATATCTTGATGTCTTATGGATAGGAAAAATGGATACAAAACAACTCATATACTAGTGTCCAATAATATTACATATTATAATTGTAAACAGTATTCTTAAAATTGTGTAGTATAGTTGTCCTTGATTGCTATTTTAAGACCATTTATAAAACATTTGTTTGTAGGCATATTGCTGAATAAATATATTGTTTCATAATCAAAATAATTGTACTGTCTATAGGTGTTCTCATTCCATCTTGATTATATAGTCCAACGATAAAAGTCTCCTTATTGTAAATAAAAGGAATCATTAAAGCATCTAATAAAAACTCAAACTTTTGTAACACAACCTGCACCTTAACACATTCCCATAGGGTATGTTCTATTGTTTCACTATCAGTTTTACATAAGTTACAATAAGGACTATCAGCTATTCCTGCCTTAAATAAGAATGAGTTTGTTGTCAAAATGTGTTGATTGATTCTGTATCGAAGCCACTGTAATTTTGAATGATGATCGGCACTTATTGTTATACACCTATTGGATACGTTGATATGGCTGCAACAATAACACATGCCTTAATCGTCTTTATTCTCTCAACTATTTCAACGTATGTGATACGACCAGAACATTATTTACTTAACCGTGCATCATTGCTTGTGTAAGATAACATAACATTCTTCATGATACTCGTTCAATACTGAAATATCGATTGCACTGGATATGGTGATGAAATGAGCGATTGTATCTTCTGCAGTTCCGGTACGCGACGTGCACAGACAAGGTGCTGATGTGTATTGGAACTCTGTGTGCTGCTATCGCTGGTTGCTTGGCCCCGTTAAACCTATTGGTGTACGGCAAGGTAGCCAATGCGTTGATCCTTAACCAAATGTTCAAAATGTTTGTGTAAGTATAAAACAATACATGTGTTCTTGAAATATTTCCTAGTTAAATAATATTACGATACGAAATGAGTCGTGATGTTACATACAAGTGATATACGTAACATGATATGAAAGTATATAATCAAATATTTATTTAATAAGTGGTTATATTGTTTTATCAGTAATATATATATATATATAAAGAAAACATTGAGAAGTCCTTGTGTTGGAATTAAATATAAAAAATAGAACAAAAGACAGAGATAGCGTCTCTAGGCCTTTCTCGGGTTGATTCCCCGTTCATCAGGAGACTGTTTATTTTGAAAACAGGTATTGTGAGGTCATAGTTGTTTACACAAGAAAGTATGACGTCATCAATAATGCAAAGTCATTATGACGTCACAGAAGGCATACACATAAATCCATGACGTCAACAACAATACAAGCTAAATTGTGACGTTACATTACTTAGACAAATGCATAACTTTATGATCTTACCAACAATAAAAAATACGGGAGATACAAATTGTTTCATTTACGGCAACAATAAAATATGAACAATAATATTTAAAGCACAGCAATTGCTTAAAGCATGACACGTTGAATTTAATGTGAACTATTCAGACTGGGTTTCAACAGTTTCATTAACTCCGACTCCTTAACTTCCCTCTTTATCACATCAGATGAATGCATTTGGTAAATAGGGAACACTTTGAAGTTATTGTTAGCACAGTTATGAATATGTTTGTTCACTTGTAAAAATCTAAGGTCATCATGGATTGTTTGTTGCTTGTGAAGAGTCATTCTTTGACGTAGTTCACGCCCAGTTTGGCCAATATAAAATTCCAAACATTTAACACACACTATAGCATATATAACATTCTTCGACTTACAATTCATACTAGAACGTACAGTGAATTTAAATCCATTTTTGAAAACAAAAGTAGAACCTTCAATAATTATTTTACATGTTCCACATCTGGGCGAATTACATTTAGACACAATAAGTTCAGCTTGATTCGTTTCAAACTTGGAAAAACTCAATAGCCTTTTGAGATTTTTGGGTTGTCTTTTACTATTGATAATTCTATGTTTAGCTAAAACATTTTTCATACGCACGCTAGTTCTCTGCAAGTCATCGATTTTGGTTTTTACAATAGGGTACATAGCAAAATTATGTGGATTGTATGTAGATACAAAAGTAATAATTCCTTGGTCATCGTTGGCTTCTACACGGGATGTGAAAGGTCCCTTCTCTATAGCTCTATTTACACCGCTACGAATAATCTCGTCCGGATAATGCTGCGACTTCAGGAAAAACATTAGTTCTTTAAGTCGCACATCCAGCATATTGGGGTCACTTACAATTGTCACAATTCTAGATGCGAGATTAAAAGGTATATTAATTTTAATATGTTTAGTATGATTTGAATAAAAATCTAAGTAATTATGAGCATCAGTAGGCTTTGAATACAAATCAGTTGCAATATTATTATTTTCTAATTTAACTAAAACATCCAAAAAGGGTAAAACATGTTCATCCATTTCCATTGTGTAGCGTATAGCCGGATGCAGAGAATTAATTTCCTCACTTAATTTGTCAATACACATATCAGAAGGCCATACAATAAAACAATCATCTAAAAATCTAAAAAAAAATGTTTTGTACATATTCTGAAAACACTTTCCCATATATACATTCTATATTGTTGTAGAGTTTCTCTTCCAAATAACCTAACACAAGTGTTGCATAGGTAGGTGCCATTTTTGTACCCATGGCCGTTCCGTTTATTTGTTGGTAGTGATTGCCATCAAAATAAAGGACATTTCTTTTCAAAATAACTTCTAAGGACTTGATAGTAAATTCATGAGAAAAACGATTATCAATCTTATCTGGATGTTTCTTAAGCCAATGCAAAATAGCTTCAATTCCTAAATCGTGTGGAATATTTGTATATAAGCTGACGACGTCAAAAGATACAAGTTTAGAATTGAGAGGAACAGATTTTGGCAAATGTTTGTTATATATATATATATAAATTATGTAGGTATGGCAGAGTGCATAGCATTACACATGTAGTAGGTTAATTAGGCCGATGCTTTGACCTTCGACATGCAGCAGCATATCCTCCATACCGTTTTACCAAGTGTATCCAAAGTCACGATGCAGGTACACTACATGAAGGTTAAGTGGAATGTACAGAAATAAGTCACTGTGATGTATGCTTTGCCCTCTGACTTAAATCATTAAAACAGATTTTCCGGAGCATATCTCATTTATTTTTCCACCAGGAGTTATCAAATTTATTATGCACGTACTCCTTTAAATCGTGAAGTTAGGAGTACAATTGTGGGTCACTTTGACTTACGCTTTGAGAATTTGTTCTGTGAACTTATGTTTACCTCTGACAGTAGTCTTTGAGCAAAATGTTATAATCTATATCAGGATAGGATTTACAGTAGGTTGATTCTGAGATGGGTGTTTATATCTATAAATAAAGATTACATTAACGGTGGGGACCTTTGGATAGATTTGCAATACTTTTCCTTGTTAACGTATGCTATATATTTAGCGGAATTACTCAGATATAGAACGTTAAAATCTTATCAGTATATGGTGTGTTTAAAACTTAAAATTATTTCTTCATAAGTTCTGGAGGTACAACAAATAATCACTGAAATCTTTATCAATTCATTTTTAGATCAAATTTGAATGGAACTTTCCCGCCGGACAACTTTACAGTACCCAACGGAATGACGTTTGGTGAACTGAAAGAGTACGAAGGAATTTTTGATATAACACGAGGATACGCCGTTTGGTTCTGTCTGTTCGCTGTGTGTGTGTTTATCTTTGGCTTTGTGTCAGTGATGTGTTACAGCGCTACAGCAGAACACCAGATCTATACGATTCGACAGCAGTTCTTCCAGTCAATAATGAGACAGGGAATCAGCTGGTTTGACATGCATGACAGTGGGGAGTTGAGCTCCGTGTTCAATCAGTAAGTACTTTCACTGTAAAATGGTCAAACAGTAAGTATAATAACTTTACAATGTTCATGATAAGTGTACATATTTTACAAGGTTCACACAGTAAGTATAATAACTTTACAATATTCATTGTAAGTGTACATACTGTTGAAGGTCACACAGTAAGTATAATAACTTTACCATGTTCACGATAAGTGTACATACTTTACAAGGTTCACACAGTAAGTATAATAACTTTACAATATTCACGGTAAGTGTACATACTGTTCAAGGTCACATAGTAAGTATAATAACTTTACATTGTTCACGGTAAGTGTACATACTTTACAAGGTTCACACAGTAAGTTTAATAACTTTACAATATTCACGGTAAGTGTGCATACTGTACAAGGTCACACAGTAAGTATAATAACTTTACAATATTCACGGTAAGTGTACACACTTAACAATGTCCACACAGTAAGTTTAATAACTTTACAATATTCACGGTAAGTGTACATACTTTACAAGGTTCACATATGTAAAATGTATATACTTGCTGTGTGGAAATGGTCATGTAAGTAAACTTACATTTTAATGTGAGTGTACTTACTTGTCATGTTAGTATACTGACTGCGTAATCCTTGTTATATGGGTGTACCGTCATGAAAGCCTCATGGCAATAGTCCTTTTTAAAGCGAATTTGGAGTTTTATTTAACCAAACAAGGTACACTTGTTATTTATAATTCTTTTATTGTTTCAAATTTCATCTACTATCCTTTAGTCTTGCACTCTTGTTCCATGAAGAGTGTCAGAAAGCTAGAAACGATACAAGAAAGAGCTTTAAGGTTTATACATAATGATCACAACTCATCCTTCAGACACTTACTCTGTATTACCAACCGCGACAGGCTTCATGTAAGGCGTCTGAAGGAAATGTGTTGTGAGGTTTTAAGAATTATAAACAAAAAACATGTCCTGAATATATTTATAATATTGTAAATATCAAGATGTCTAATTATGACTTCAGGACAGAAAATACTGCAGAGGTGCCCAGGGTCAACACTGAAGTATTGACATAAATCGTTTGCTTTTGAGGGCGCCCGGGTGTGGAACAGTCTCCCAAATGACTTCCGAAAAGTTGAAAACTTCAAAGAATTCAGGAGGCTGGTCCATTCCTGGGATGGACCCATCTACCTTTGCAATATCTGCAAAGAGTGATACTTCATACTGTGCCCTGGTTTCCTCAGCCACCTGACATTTTGGATTTTGTGATACTTTTAAGGTCTTATTTCATTTCTTATATGTTTTAATTCTATCCTGTATTTTTGCAGCATCTTATTTGTATTTTAATTCCATATATTCTAAAATATTTATTTTTTTACAAAACTTGATACATTTTGTGAATTGATTTCGGTATCATTTTTATTTCACACTATAATAGTGTATATTCTGTCATTTTTTTCCCTAAGTCCTAAGTAATTCTTGTGTGATATACAAGTATTCATTCACTATTTGCTATGTCTATTATTTACTTATTCTGAATACTACTTATCTGTGATCACATTTAATGCTTTTCATATATTACCACTATTTTTAAATATTTATTGTTCCAAAAGGGTCATATTCCAGGGGCCTTCGTAGGTAGGGGACTCCCAATCACAAATAAACCTGGGATATGGATACCTGTTTTTCTGTGATGATTATAACCGTTTTTTTATTAATATATGTGATTATCTCCCTTTACTTGTAATATAATATGTTATTGTTATTTTACAATTTTTTTTGCAATAATAGCTCTCAAGAGCTAATGTTCTTTCTTTACCTGTATGCGACGTTAAATGAAGATTCTTGTTTCTTGTATCTTGTATCCTGTATCCATACGATGAAATATTAAATGCCGTTCCTCAGCAAACTTTGTCATAGGGTTATATTGTATTAATTGTTGTTGAATTATTTTTGGAATTTGAACGTGTATTTAAGCGTCTGCAATTTAATTAATCTGACAGTTTCTTTTTGTTGTTTATCATAGGGATATTCATTTGATATCAGATGGTATCGGCGACAAGTTTGCTACCATGCTTCAGTGGTTTACTACGTTTGTAGCTGCTTATATTATTGCGTTTCTGTCGGGTTGGAAACTTGCTCTGGCGACGGTTGGCTTCTATCCAGTTATCATGGTAACTGGGGGATCCTTAGTTAGGGTAGGTACATTTTATAATAAGGAAATGCGTATCTTGAAGTACGTTAATGTACATTTTGTTGTATGGTAGGTACCTTTTGTAGTGAGGTATGCATATTTTGACCACATTTTTATTGTAACATAGGTCATGGGAAATTTGGCCAAAGAAGAATATAAGTCGTATTCTAGGGCAGGTTCCGTAGCAGAGGAGGCCATAGGAAACATAAAAACAGTGATAGCCTTCAACGGACAAAGCAAAGAATGCGCTAGGTAAGACAGGTAGTCTGGCAGGGGAAGTTACTCCCGTAGTTAACAGCTGTTTTTATCATGTGTTTCCAAACTGTTATTACAATGTGTCACCATGCTTATTTGTATTATGAACATACAAGTGTACTTATTGGGTAGGATTAGGAAATACTGTGAGCGTAATTGGTATCTCAGAAATAATAAGAGTCCTGCTTATCTTATAAAAACTATTTGTGAAGAATATTTTTGTGATAAATATTAAACAAATATTCTATAATATTTACATTATTAAACCTTTAGTGAAAATCCTGTAACCTGATTGGCTGAGACAAATTGTTCACTTCATACAGTCACATTCGTTTTATCATTAAGTCAAAAGAAAGGTGGATCCAAACACCCTAGCAACGGGTTACAGTGTGTGTAACAGTGCCAAATAGTCACCGCGCGTACGGTTCGTTTCAGCAGCCATGTTTTTTGCATTGCGATTCATCGCGTATGTAGGTCCACAGTCACTCCAAGTCGCTACCCTGTAATACTCGCCAGTGAATAGGACGTCGGTGTGACGGTAAGATGAGTGAGATTTCCAGGCGCTTCATGCACTATGTAGTCAGGATTAACAATCTACCGTCGTCTCAGGAAGGGAAAAAAATAGCAGGATTTGCAGATGTCAATTTTGTTGATTTGGATAAAATTTTAACGGATGAGGTTTCTAAAATCACACAGGTGATCGTCAATCAAACATGTAATAAGTAGTTGTGATTAATATGAAAAAAGCGAGGTTTCGAGGGGAGTGAAACACAGGGACACCATCACTGATGATGATATTAGGAAGCTCTTCGGTAACCCGATCGTCGATTTCATCATTTAAATTATTTTCTAACGACCATGACATTTCGCAGTGTTTATAATCCTATCGTTTATTGTCTCGGATGACAGTGATACCCTTCGGGTGACTTTAGACACTGTCACCCTCTAAGGAACGTAGTATTCATAAATTCACTTCACTAGAAGATTTAATGCGTATTTGTTATTGAATTAAGACCCCTGCAGGTGCTACAAAAGAATTATTTATTTAAGTTATCCCTAAAACATTCCCTGATCAAGGTTGATGTTCCTTGAGCCCACTGGTACAGCAGCAACCTATCTCTATGTCTAACTCCTTATGTTTCAGGCACGGTAGTCACCTATCCCATGATAAATAAATAAAATGAATATACAACATTTGATATAGCGCCCTATCTCGCTAGAATAAGCCACTCTAAAGCGCTTTACAGTTCATAGATATACAATTTATACTAACAATACAATTAATATATACATTAATCAATACATTTTGAGGAATTTGCACGAGCTACCTTATCAGGCGCTAACTACTAGTCCTATGCCGACTGGCTAATATCTCCCTATGGGTGTAAGCCTGCGTGTGTGCTGGAGATGTATTGTGTTTAACGCCTGTACTCAAGTTACATTGGTCGTCTATCCAATGATAAGTTTAGCGCATTGATTCTTAAATTTCATTGGTCGTCCATCCAATGATAAGTTTAGCGCCTTGATTCTTAAGTTACATTGGTCGTCCATCCAATGATAAGTTTAGCGCCTTGTCTCCTTAGTTACATTTGTCATCTATCCAATGATAACTTTAGCGCCTTGTCTCATTAGTTACATTGGTCGTCTATCCAATGCTAAGTTTAGCGCCTTGTCTCCTTAGTTACATTGGTCGTCAATCAAATGATAAGTTTAGCACCTTGTCCCCTAAGTTACATTGGTCGTCCATCCAATGATAAGTGTAGCGCCTTGACTCCTTAGTTACATTGGTCAACCATCCAATGATAAGTTTAGCGCCTTGATTCTTAAGTTTCATTGGTCGTCCATCCAATGATAAGTTTAGCGCCTTGACTTCTACGCTACAATGATCGTCTATCCAATGATAAGTTTAGCGCCTTGACTCCTAAGTTACATTGGTCCTCTATCAAATGATAAGTTTAGCGCCTTGACTTCTACGCTACATTGGTCGTCCATCCAATGATAAGTTTAGCATCTTGACTCCTACAATACATTGATCGTCTTTCCAATGATAAGTTTAGCGCCTTGGCTCCTACGCTACCATGATCGTCCATCCAATGATAAGTGTAGCGCCTTGACTCCTTAGTTACATTGGTCGTCCATCCAATGATAAGTTTAGCGCCTTGATTCTTAAGTTTCCTTGGTCGTCCATCCAATGATAAGTTTAGCGCCTTGACTCCTTAGTTACATTGGTCGTCCATCCAATGATAAGTTTAGCGCCTTGATTCTTAAGTTTCCTTGGTCGTCGATCCAATGATAAGTTTAGCGCCTTGACTTCTACGCTACATTGGTCGTCCATCCAATGATGAGTTTAGCGCCTTGACTTCTAAGTTATATAGGTCGTCTATCCAATGATAAGTATAGCACCTTTTCTCCAAATTGACATTAGGCGTCTATCAGATGCAAACTTAAGGGCTTTAACTACTAAGTTCCGTTTGTCGTCTATCCAATTATACCTTTAGCGCATTGACTCCTAATATACAATGAACGTCTATCCATTGATGAGTTTAGCGCCTTGACTTCTAAGTTATATAGGTCGTCTATCCAATGATAAGTTTAGCACCTTTTCTCCAAATTGACATTGGGCGTCTATCAGATGCAAACTTAAGGGCTTTAACTACTAAGTTCCATTTGTCGTCTATCCAATTATACCTTTAGCGCATTGACTCCTAATATACAATGGACGTCTATCCAATGATAAGTTTAGCGCCTTGTCTCCTAATTTACATTGGTGCGAAGATAAGGGCTTTGACTCCTTAGTTACTTTGGTCGTTTCTTCAATGCAAAATATTTGTTCTTTATTTGTCAGGTACAATAGTCGCCTATCCCATGCTAAGTCTAATTATGTCAGGAAAGGTGTCCTGGTAGGACTTAGTGACAGTGTGCTTTGGCTGTTAATATTTGGAGTACTCGCTGTTACATTTTGGTACGGAGTCAAACTGGTACAGGATCAGGAAAATGGATTTGATCCAGGAAATACGCTCACGGTAATTTATTTTGGTGCTTTATATAAGTGCAATGGTTTTTCATCAATTGTTGTCTTTCAGAAAGTCTAAATTCTTTATATTTTCTTTTATTGAATTCCCGTAATGATTTCAAACGAATGTCAGGTTCTGATAGAACAAAGTACAAGAACGTGTAGATAATCTAAGATTACATTAAATATGTTTCCAAGAAGCGCATTATTAATACATTGAATACAATAAATAAATTCTTATTGTAACATGCAATGATTGCAGATATTCTTTGTGGTGATATCTGGGTCCCTGTCCCTTGGAAATGCCTTCCCCACTCTCGAGATTCTGACTAATGCCCGTGGTGCTGCACAGAGAGTCTACGAGGTCATTGAACTTACTTCCGAGATAGATCCTGTCTCAACAGAAGGCAAGACACTGGAGAACTTCGAGGGTAACATTGAATTTACTGACGTCTTCTTTGACTACCCTGCCCGTCCAGATACACCGGTGAGCTGCAGTGTATAGTTAGTTTGCTTGTCATAACAAGCGTGCAGCATACAGATGGGGAAATATTCGGTAACCATTACAAATATTATTCTGGTAAAGAAAACTAATATAAAAACGATTAAGACAGATACTTCTGTGCTGGATCGTTTATGCTATTTATAATACAAGCAAGCAATATTTAGATATATTATTAATAGCTTAGATTTATTGTAACAGTTTCTGTAAACAGCACTGCAAATTAAATCTTTTTCCACAAATCACTAACAGTTTTACGACAATCTGGATCATTTCACCAACTACAGTTTTTAAAGCCAGTGCATTTTGGTAAACAATACATTAGACTTGGTAACATTTCGTAGAAAAGTATTCATACCAAATTGACAGGTACTGCAAGGCCTGAGTTTAAAGGTCAGCGTGGGTCAAACAGTGGCGTTGGTTGGATCAAGTGGATGTGGCAAAAGCACAGTGATACAGCTGCTACAGAGGTTCTATGACGCAGACTTTGGCGAGGTAGGTGACATATCTGGTATTTGTGGTCATCTGTTTTATTGAACGTTTGGATATTTTTAGTATCATGCGAAGTGTACTAAAACAGAAGAGTTAGTTCATATTGCTGTTTTTGTTACCTGATAACAGACTAAAATATCCTTGAACTAGAACGACAATGCCGTTGTAATATTTTAGTTACCCAATTGATATCTCAATTATGTTGTGTTAACTGTGTCTCTCTGAATCGAACAACGGAATGCGTAAACATGAGCGCCGTTACTTGACATTTCAAATGATTTTTAACGACACAAGATGGTTAACACTCGTGGTGGACTAATACTGTTCGAGGTTGGCACTGGCATTGAGGCTGATTCCGGCATGATCTCCATTAAAACTAGTTTAAAAATAATTTATCTGATGAAGCAAAGGTATAGGATTTGTGACTGTAGCCAGAGGTTATTTTTCTTACTATATTTCTGAACAATTGATAAACCTAATGGGGATTCGGTCAATTGTGAACTTAGCTTGACTTTCGGTACGACTAAAAATGCATGAATGGGTGCTGCCTTGCATCGTATCTAAAGTAAATAGTTATAGCTACCCACTTATTTCTTCAGTGTTGATTCAACAGGTGTTGCTGGATGGTCATGCAATTAGTACTTTAAAGGTGAACTGGTTGCGAAGACAAATGGGCATTGTTAGTCAGGAGCCAATTCTTTTTGCCACCACAATCGCTGAGAACATCCGGTATGGACGACTCGAGGTCACCATGGAGGAAATCAAGACAACTGCTCGGGAAGCCAATGCTCACGAATTTATATCTGAGTTTCCAGAGGTGAGATCTAACTTACAAGCCAGTATTGCATGTCTCATATGTCATAGATCTGAGCTTCCAAGGGTGGGATCTTACTTACAAATCAGTATGGCATGTATCATATGTCATAGATATGAGCTTCCAAGGGTGGGATCTTACTTACAAGCCAGTATGGCATGTATCATATGTCATAGATATGAGCTTCCAGAGGTGAGATCTAACTTACACGCCAGTATTGCATGTCTCATATGTCATAGGTCTGAGTTTCCAGAGATGAGATCTAACTCACAAGCAAGTCAGACATGCCTCATAAGTCATAGACCTGAGATTTCAGAGGAAAGATATAAATCATAGACCAATTTGGCATATGGGATTGTTCATCGCTGGTTAGATAATTAATGAATTTAATGGCATTTTGGATACATAATTCTTTGGCTATACATTGGTCTTGTTAATAATGATTTCATGATCTAAATGTAAGTATTGATTTAAGTAAGGCTGATGAACAAAGATATGGCGTGTATAACTTTGATGTAATTCATATTAATCTACCTCAGCACTCAAAAATATGGTTTAGTAGTCTGGAAGAATGATATCGACTGATTCCTCAAGAATTCTAATAAATAACTCAATTGTAATTAATTTATTGATGCCTTCTTGGTAGAACTGTAGCTGTGTGTGCTATTAAGAGGTTGTTGAATTGGAAATTTTGTGTATATTAGATAAGTGCTTGTAGATTCAAGCCATATACAGAGTTATTAAAGTTACATGATATAATTTTCGTTATTTATGAGAAATGGAATTTGAGGAAACAACATTACTCTGAGGGTTGGTTGATCAAATTTTAATTGACAATTATAAGTGAGGTTAAAAATAACGATGAAAGCATACGGTTACATTAGGGCTATGAAACATTAGTGGGAGAGAGAGGTGCCCAGATGAGTGGAGGACAGAAGCAAAGAATAGCCATCGCTCGGGCCTTAGTCAGAAACCCCAAGATTTTACTACTCGACGAGGCTACATCAGCTCTAGACAACGAGAGCGAGGCTGTTGTACAGAAAGCGCTCGAGAAAGCTCAGGAGGGACGAACAACCATTGTCATTGCCCACCGCCTGTCAACCATTCGTAATGCAGATATTATCTATGGCATAGATAAGGGGCAAGTTATGGAACAAGGCACACATGATGAGCTAATGCAGGAGGATGGGCTGTATTGTCATCTCGTTAATCAACAGGTATTAAAATACAAGTACCTTCTGTCAGTTGGTAATATATACCGGGGCCTTTAAGTTTTGTTTTGATTCAAAGATACATATTTGATTTACCTGAAATTATTATATAAGGCATTAAATAACTTTGTCGAAGATCGTTTGTCCATTCTTTTTGTAGAAACGAGCAATGGCTGTATTGCCGGTCAACCAATATGTAATGAACTGAAAGTAGCAAAGATAGAGCAGGAAAATTGCCTTCCGAAATATGGAGGTTATTCAGACAAATTTTGAATAACGAATTTGCATGTAGCTTCTAAGTTTAGATTAAATGTCACATTCTAAATAAAACCTTATTATTGTTTGCGAGTTTCAGTCAATTTTTTTTTATGTTATTGTAGTATGGCAAAACAATATTCTTCGGCAAAGTTAAAGAAAATCCTAGCCTAAAATATCCTCCCTGATGCTTTTCATATGCATATTGAAATATTATGTTTATATGAAATAATAGAGGTAAACACCTGTCAAGTTTAGCGAGGATGACACTGCCTAACCAAGATTAATAAAAACTTCAGACACTCCAGAATGGCTTCCACAAGAGCAGTTTTAAAGTAGTATACCAATGTAAATGATGTGTACACAAATAGGGGGAAATATGTAATTTCTCGCAAATGTCATGTTAGAATTTCTTTAATTTGCAAAACTATCTAGAAAAAAAATCTAGGAATTTATTTGGTCAGGGAACCCAAACCGGTTCATCTCTTCCTTGTCTTGTGCTTTGCCTGAAATGGGGTTTATCTAAACATGGCAGGTGGTCGTGTTATATAAGTACCTACATATGCGGTATTATGCCGTAGATATACATTGTATCATGTTTTCGTGTCAATTTTTATTTTAAGGAAAACAAATTTGGTTTTTATCTTAACCTCGTTGCTTCACAACATCTAGGTACAAAATTCGGCGTTTTAGGTACCCACCGAACAGGCTCTCATTCTAAAAACAATATCAATATCATAATTACTTATCGATGAGTGTTTAAAGAGTAAACACTTTGTTTCAGAGTCACCATTCAGACGCAACTGAAGAAGGTATGTCTATTTAATTATGTGACTATCAGGCCGATCTTGTTTTATTCCTTTGCTTGATTGTAAATTATTTCCAGTAAGTTATAATTCACATATCAAATTGTTTTGATGTGTGATGATTATGGTGATTTCTAGTTTGTGATTAAAAACCTTTATACCAAGATTCGGTGAGTGTCCGACTTGCATCAAAGCATGGTACTTTGGTAATACTACGGCTGTCTTTGCTTGTCAGCTGGTGAGTTATCACAATTATGAATGTCATTTGGGTATGTTGGGATATCCTGTAATATTACTTATGTGTTATTATGTAAGCCACTTATGATATACCTTCAATTCGAGCAAAAGTAATGCTGTAGAAATAAACAAATTTGGTAAATGTGACTGAATAATGCTTAAAACAAATATTTCAATCATACTTCAGTGGCTAATGAGCTTAAGTGTGAACTGTTTGATGGCAATGAAGAAGATGACACATTCGTCGACGAGGTTCATCCCCATTCCAGCAACATCCTCATATCACAACAATACAAGAGGAGGGAGTCGATTTTTAATCAGAGGAAGCCGTCGATGTTAGATCAGGATTTGACATCAATGTTAGATCAGAGAAGGGTGTCGTTGTTAAATCAGGGAAATGTTGATGAAAAGGAAGTGGAAACGGTAGTTATTATGTTGTATTGCTTAAGTGACCACTGAAATATAATCAATATTGTATGTGCTACTTTCTCTCAAAACGCATAGCAAATTATTTGCAGACTGGTACAGTGATAAAGAAATTGGCCGGCCGAATAGGTAGCCGCTGTAATAAATAGTAGCATGTAGTAGATTGAAAAATAAAAAAGGAATATATATATAGCAGCTGTTAAGTTAAGTTTTATTCAAGAAAGTTATGTTAATTTTTGCACATGCGGCTTTTATTGAAAGAAGCCATTCTATCGCCGGTTGTAGTAGTTATTCCACGACGGAAGCCGCACTCTTTTGTCTTTGATTAAACTACTCTTACTTTGTCTTGTTCAGATTGAAAATGAAGAAGAAGATGGAGAAGAAGATGTTTCTGAAGTCTCTCTAGGAAAAGTTCTTCGTATGAACTCGCCAGAATGGTATCTACTTTTAGGTGCATGTGTGTGTTCCACATTGGTTGGAACGGCAATGCCAGTTGCGGGCCTCGTTCTGGCAGAGTTTCTTAAAGTAAGTACGTCCAATGTTAGAGTTTTTCTTCGTAGTCTCAGTGTAAGTTAACCCAGTTTCCGATCTTTTCCTAATATAGTTTCTAGCTTAAATACAGTCTGTACTTTCATCTGTTGTCCTAACAGGATTGTTTCTTTCTGTCAAATAGTTGGATCTATGTTCGCGATAGTATACTTGCTATATTATCACTGTTTCAGGTTTTCTCGATACCCAAAGAGGAGCAAACAGACAAAGTTAACCTGTTGCTTGGCTTTGTCATGGCCATCGCCGTCGGCAATGCTGTTCTAAAACTAATTATGGTAAAATTTATTTCCATATTTCTCCTGAATATCCTTTACTTTCTTCTAACTAGTAGCGGCAGACCAGAGTTAACATAGTGTAATGATGAGATTACAAAAACGTATCAACTAGCAATGTTTTATATGTGAGATATTTACTTTTAACCAGAAATTTCAAAGTAATATTACAATACTTCACAATTATTAAGATAATAAGATAATAAAACAAATAAGTCAAATACATGTCCTGCATAAATAAAGAATTTGTCTTTATAAATTTACTCGTACAACTGGTTCTATATCAATTTGTTCAAATAAGCAAATTAAATTCAAAACGATTTGTTAATCTAGTAAAGCAGATGATGTGTATGTGTTTTGTAGAATTGAGATATACTTTTGTATCCCAACAGAGCATATGTTACTCCATAACTGGTTCAAGGTTAACTGCCCGGTTTAGGACGCTTGCATTTAAATCTATAATATGGCAGGTAAGTAAATAAGTTGAAACAAGTGAAACATTTTTTACAGGTTTTAAAGAAAATTCCTCTGCGGTAAAAAAAAACAAATACCAATATCATCAAAAAAATTATCAATATTATAATTTTTTTTATCAAAGTTCTATGTTTGGAATGGCTATGCATCTTGTCTTATGACGAAGGTGTTCCGTGAATTCTGATTGAGCAGTTAATGTCGATACAAAATTTTCTTTTAAACAGGACATTCCATTTTTTGACGATCCCAAGAACCGTGTGGGGGTTCTGACAACCAGACTGGCGCGAGACAGTGGCTTGGTACAGGGGGTAGGTATACACTGTGGTTGTAGCTTGAAATAAATTAGGAAATAAGATGGAGTGGGAAATATTTATTGATATGGTACATGTATCTTAGAAGAGAGGAAATATTAATCATGGTGGAACCTTTCTAGAAGAGAGATTTTAATTCCAATAACGGTTTCTTGGCAGGGAGGATATTTTCAGTGTGATTGTATCTTAGTAGAGAGATGATCATCATTGTGATGGTAACTTGGTAGAGAGATGATCATCATTGTGATGGTAACTTGGTAGAGAGATGATCATCATTGTGATGGTATCTTGGTAGAGAGATGATCATCAGTGTGATAGTATCTTGGTAGAAAGATGATCATCATTGTGATGGTATCTTGGTAGAGAGATGATCATCAGTGTGATAGTATCTTAGAAGAGAGATGATCATCATTGTGATGGTATCTTGGTAGAGAGATGATCATCAGTGTGATGGTAACTTGGTACAGGGGAGATGTTCATTTTGACCTCCGCGGTATGCCTTGGTTAGGTTTTCATTGTAATTGTTAAATAAATAGTTGATACGTATTGTGTTGATAGCTTGGTAGGTATTTATTGAGATGGTAGTTTTGTACACGATAGTTTGTTTCAGAGTATATATCCATGATGCTTATAGCTTGGCACGGGAATGAGAAAAAACAATATGAATGAGTTGCCGTTGAATTATTAATGTTGTAAGTTTACGCGTATCTATCAGCAGTATGAAGAACCTGTCATAAACGAACTTAATAATACATGCAGTTCAAATGTTATTAAAAAAATCATATCTTCTCATTTTTATCCAGGCTGCAGGCAACAAGCTTGGAGCAGTCATGGAGTCTCTAGCAACTGTTACCGCCGCTCTGATCATTGCATTCATATACAGCTGGAAGTTGACCCTCGTGATCTTTGCATTTATGCCGTTAACGGTTTTGTCAGGTGTTATGCATGTTAAAATGTTGAGAGGCTTTTCTAAGGGAAATAAAACTGTCACTGAAGAAGCAGGTAAGGTAAATACAATGGATTGCAGAAATGAAACTACAACAACATTTCCTGAATAATCAATATATCACAATATTCAATAAACAAGTTCGCAAGTTACCATTGTCAATGAATTATGATAGTTAATGCACTCCAATAACCTTCGCATCTAATTGCCAATGTATCAAGGATGTCAATACATTAAAACACTAATTACATAGCACAAGTTATGGCATCTCAGTGGTAAAATACATCACCATATTTATAACATTTACAATTGCATATAGTTGTAGTTAATGTTGTGTTTAATTATGCCACATGGGTAGCTGATGTCAAAAACTTAAAATGATTCCTTTGAAGGTTCTTAAAGCCACTTTCACACCAGTTAAATTGAAAAGCCTGGACCAATATTTGGCAGGTCATTACAGTAACACTAGGTATTTTTTCAATCAGTTGTAAGTAACAATAATTAGGAATTGTTCTAATAATTAGATCGTGATCCTTGTTGAGAGTCAAAGATATAATATGGCATTACGCACAACATTGAATAACTAGTGAGTCACACATTTCCTTTACTTTAATGCAAAAATACTTCTCGAATTTGTAAAAGTTGAAATTACGCATAAAACAACACACGACTGTTTATTCTTTTAAAATTAAAGACAGTTGTTCTTGAGAGAGCATAATACTTTTTTTTATCTTACAGCTTACAAGTGAGGCCATCAATAACATACGCACAGTAGCCTCCCTTACCCGGGAACAGTCCTTTATTGACAAATATAATGACCTCTTGAACGTCTTTTACGCGTAAGTATGAAGTATTATAACATGACATATGCATGTAAGTTACTGCATCACTATAATCCCTTCAGCTCAAACAGATACGTGTTTCTTTAGCTCTTTTTAAGCATGTATGTTAAGTAATTACCCTGTATTCAATTCGTTGTCCGAAGGGCTTTATTTTGTCTTTGCGTATTGCAGAGTTATCTTCTCTTGGGAGCAGGTATTGGATGTTACGTCATTGGTCTGTGTAAGAAAATTACGTCGTTTTCTCAAAAATTGATGACGTTTCTCCCACAAACAAGTGACGTAACAATCAATATCTGATCCAAAGAGAAGATAACTCTGCAATACGCAAAGACGGAATTGTGTAAATTGTATGCAAGGTATTTCGTGTAAAGTATTAAAATGGTCATGATTTATTTTTACTGTTTCATAATATAATAAAAATAAAAAAATGCATTATGAAAAGTGTGTTTAATAGTAACTTGACTTATCAAAATTTAAATACTTTATTGAAATTTTAGAAATGGTAAAAAACGAAGTGTGCTCCAAGGGGTTATGTATGGTCTATCACAATCAATGATATTCTTTGCCTATGCTGCCACGTTTACGTACGGAGGTTACCTTGTACAGTACGAAAACCTGCCATTTGAAAGTGTGTTTAAGTAAGTAGACAACTTGATTTGTTACACGTACTAGGTCGTTTTTAATGTAAGGATAGCTTTCCTCTGAAACCGCAACTAATTTGACTGGTGTCCCATCGGATCAATTTTCTTCCCACTGTGAAGTAATCCTGTATTATGCCCCGGTCACACATTCAAGGATCGGACGCCGGATAAGTATCATATTTAATCAATGGAAGAATTTCGAAGATACCTAAAGTCGATTACCGTTTTAAATGTTAAAACTTTATTTTTTGACCGTTTCGTATGATTTACGTTGTTTTTTTTTTTGTGAAAGTTGAGTTGATCACAGATTCCGTGCTTGAGCACGGGAGCGGTTTAATAAATACGGGCCCTGAATCTCGGTTGGACAAAAACCTTGTTTTTCAATTCACGTATACACTTGCATTATATTCACTCGACTCCAAATTCTCAATAACACATCACCATTTATTTTAAAGGAAATGTGATAAAAATACTCGAAAACTAGATTGGACAAAAAACTGGTTTTTCAATTGAAGTATACACTTGCATAATATTCACTCGACTCCAAATTCTCAATAACACATCACCATTTATTTTAAAGGAAATGTGATAAAAATACTCGAAAACTGGAAAAGATCATAACGAATAACATTTGAGAGGTTTGAATGCTGTTCTATGATGTATTGGATAGGATTGTACATGTATACATAGGGTTTTACTTATATTTAGTAAACAAAGCACAGCATAGTACATGTATTTTATATCACGGTTAATATCAGAGTTGTAAACTAGTTTTAATTAGATTTATAGATCTTTTTCTTACAGTATACCTCAATGCATCCTCGATATCCAGGGGTTACGCTCACTTTCGCTCTCTTCAACCCTGAAATATGTCATAGCAAAATTGAAGGCACGTTGATAGCTGTTTGATTGGTCTTTGCTATGACATATTCCAGGGGTGTAGAGAGCAAAAGTGAACGTAACCCCTAGATATCGAGGATAACCTCAATGATCATCCGACTATTTGTGTCTTTAGGGTCTTCACTGCTATCGTTCTTGGTGGCATTACTATCGGACGACAGAGCTCCTATGCACCAGATTACAACAAAGGCAAACTGGCTGCATCTCGCCTATTCCAGTTGATAGAGATGAAAGCAACAATAGACACAGCGAGTGAGGAGGGTAGCGTTATGGTGAGTAGCATTGTATTACACACAATAGATACAGCGAGTGAGGAGGGTTATGGTGAGTAGCATTGTATTACACACTATAGATACAGCGAGTGAGGAGGGTAACGTTATGGTGAGTAGAATTGTATTACACACAAAAGATACAGCGAGTGAGGAGGGTAACGTTATGGTCAGTAGCATTGTATTACACACAATAGATACAGCGAGTGAGGAGGGTTATGGTGAGGAGCATTGTATTACACACTATAGACACAGCGAGTGAGGAGGGTAGCGCACACAAAAGATACAGCGAGTGAGGAGGGTAACGTGATGGTGAGTAGCATTGTATTACAGACAATAGACACAGCGAGTGAGGAAGGGAGCGTTATGGTGAGTAGCATTGTATTCCACTCAATAGATATACAGCGAGTGCGGAGGGTAGCGTTATGGTGAGTAGCACTTTATTACACACAATAGATACAGCGAGGGAGGCGGGGCATGGTGAGGAGCATTGCATTACACACAATAGAGACAGCGAGTGAGGAGGGTAGCGTTATGATGAGTAGCATTGTATTACACACACTAGATACAGCGAGTGAGGTGGGTAGCGTTATGGTGAGAAGCATTGTATTACACATAATAGACACAGCGAGAGAGGAGGGGTATGGTGAGTAGCTTTGTATTCCACACAATAGATACAGCTAGTGAGGGGGGTAACGTTATGGTGAGTAGAATTGTATTACACAAAAAAGATACAGCGAGTGAGGAGGTTAACGTTATGGTCAGTAGCATTGTATTAAACACAATAGATACAGCGAGGGAGAAGGGTCATGGTGAGTAGCATTGCATGACACACAATAGATACAGCGAGTGAGGGGGGTAGCGTTATGGTGAGTAGCAGTGGATTAAACACAATAGACACAGCGAGTGAGAAGGGTAACATTATGGTGAGTAGCATTGTATTACCCACAATAGACACAGCGAGTGAGGAGGGTAGCGTGGTGGTGAGTAGCATTGTATTACACACTATAGATACAGCGAGTGAGGTGGGTAGCGTTATGGTTAGAAGCATTGTATTACACACAATAGATATAGCGGGTGAGAAGAGTAACGTTATGGTGAGGAGCATTGTATTACACACTATAGACACAGCGAGTGAGGAGGGTTATGGTGAGGAGCATTGTATTACACACTATAGATACAGCGAGGGAGGAGGGTCGTGGTGAGGAGCATTGCATTACACACAATAGAGACAGCGAGTGAGGAGGGTAGCGTGATTGTGAGTAGCATTGTATTACACACTATAGACACAGCGAGTGAGGAGGGTAGCGTGAAGGTGAGTATCATTGTATTACACACAATAGATATAGCGGGTGAGAAGAGTAACGTTATGGTGAGTAACATTGTATTTCACTCAATAGATATACTGCGAGTGAGGAGGGTAGCGTTATTGTGAGTAGCATTGTATTACACACTACAGATACAGCGAGTGAGGAGGGTAACGGTATGGTCAGTAGCATTGTATTACACACAGTAGATACAGCGAGTGAGGAGGGTTATGGTGAGGAGCATTGTATTACACACAATAGACAGAGCGAGTGAGAAGAGTAACGTTAGGGTGAGTAGCATTGTATTACACACTACAGATACAGCGAGTGAGGAGGGTAGCGTGAAGGTGAGTATCATTGTATTACACACAATAGACAGAGCGAGTGAGAAGAGTAACGTTAGGGTGAGTAGCATTGTATTACACACACTAGATACAGCGAGTGAGGTGGGTAGCGTTATGGTGAGAAGCATTGGATTACACACAATAGACACAGCGAGTGCGGAGGGTAGCGTTATGGTGAGTAGAATTGTATTACACACAAAAGATACAGCGAGTGAGGGGGGTAGCGTTATGGTGAGTAGCAGTGGATTAAACACAATAGACACAGCGAGTGAGAAGAGTAACGTTTTGGTGAGTAGTATTGTATTTCACTCAATAGATATACTGCGAGTGAGGAGGGTAGCGTTATGGTCAGTAGCATTGTATTAAACACAATAGATACAGCGAGGGAGGGGGGTCATGGTGAGTAGCATTGCATGACACACAATAGATACAGCGAGTGCGGAGGGTAGCGTTATGGTGAGTAGAATTGTATTACACACAAAAGATACAGCGAGTGAGGAGGGTAACGGTATGGTCAGTAGCATTGTATTACACGCAATAGATACAGCGAGGGAGGAGGGTTATGGTGAGTAGCATTGAATTACACACAATAGATACAGCGAGAGAGGAGGGTCATGGTGAGTAGCATTGTATTACACACAATAGACACAGCGAGTGAGAAGAGTAACGTTATGGTGAGTAGCATTGTATTTCACTCAATAGATATACAGCGAGTGAGGAGGGTAGCGTTATGGTGAGTAGCATTGTATTACACACAATAGACACAGCGAGTGAGAAGGGTAACATTATGGTGAGTAGCATTGTATTACACACAATAGATACAGCGAGTGAGGAGGGTAGCGTTATGGTGAGTAGCATTGTATAAATAAAGGATCTTACATGAGTTTCCATTTCATATGAGATTAATGAAACGAGTCTAAGAATTTTTCAACTTGTCTAACCTCAGCTGAAATGAAAAATCCTTGACGAGTTTCATAAATTTCATATGAAATGAAAACGAGTGTAACATCCTTTTTATCACATAATCAAGAATTGTGGTATTTATACGTGTAAAACCACAATTTTCATGCAACCTTGAAATGTAAAAAACTGCCATTTTGACTCCAGTGCGTAAGTCTGTGACGTCATGTACTTGTACTAGGCATGACGTCACAATTGAAACTAACAACCAATCACAAGGCACAAAGGTCAAACTACATGGGTTAATACGCAAAATAATATGACATGGGTATATTTACTGGATAACAGTACATTATGTGATAAATGGTGTTTAGACATGCAACCTAATCAATCTTTTAGATAATCTCTTTAATGATGCAATTTAACAGTTGATCTGGTGAAAATCTATCATTAGAAAGTTGAACATTCGTTGATGTATTGCTTGTTCTAGCCCGTTAAGATGTGTTGATCTGAATTGGAATATTCTAACAAAGATTTGTGCTTTATTACAAATATCAAACCCTGATCAAATCAACTGCAGTCTGACCTGCTATTCATCGGACAGCCCTAGTTGGGTGATATTCTTTCACAAGAAATAGATATATAAGGCCTAACCTAAGGTTTGGTTTGTTTGTGTTTTACGTCCTATTAACAGCTATGGTCATTTAAAGAAGTGCTAGGTTTTGGTGGAGGAGGAAAGCTGGAGTTCCCGGAGAAAAACCACCGACCTGCGGACAGTGCCTGGCGACTGCCCCACGTAGGTCTCGAACCCGCGACCAAGTGGTGGAGGGCTAGCGGTAGTAGAATGTCAGACGCCTTAACCGCTTGGCCACCGCAGCCCTCCTTATCGAAGGCACACTAACATGTATTTACAGGCAAAAAGAATGAGTATTGTCTTTGCGAATATTCTTATTATAAACACTGACATAATGTGACCATGGATGTTACAGGATTTGCCTTTGAAAGAAAAGCAAGTGATTGCTTCCTCTTTTGAACAAGTTGACAAAGAGACTAATATCAAAATTACATGCTATAACGTGAAACTGGATAATTGCAGGGTTCGCATGGACAGTTAAGACAGAACCGTCTTATTTAAATTAACCCAACATGATAAAGATATAGGTTTTGTTTTACATGCAGAATTAACATTTATTATTTCAGAGTGAGTTTCGAGGCAGTATATTACTTGATGACGTTCATTTCCACTACCCAACCAGACCGGAGGTTGAGGTACTGCGTGGGTTATCCATGATTATCCAGCCGGGGGAGACAGTGGCCATTGTGGGCACGAGTGGTTGTGGTAAATCTACTACGGTGCAGCTGCTGGAGAGGTTCTACGACCCGGAGGGAGGATGCATTGTAAGTAATTCATTGATAGTGTCCAACACGTTTTACATTTACCTCAAACAGTAGTAATATTGCTGTCAAATATTTTTCTTTTGGGCAGCGGTTATCAGAATCGCAGAACACTCATATACATTCGACACTTTTATCGTTAAGATTGCAATTACAAAAAAAATAGTTTTAACTTGTGTGACCCTGACGCACTAACCATCAATTATGAGGTCCCAATTGTAGAGTGTCATATCTTCAAATTGTTATTAAACCTATCATATTCCAAAATGTTAATTTGGATTATCTCCCCTCTCACAGCTGGCAGACGGTAACGACATAAAATCTCTGAATCTGAAGTGGTTCCGCAATCAGATAGGCATTGTTTCCCAGGAGCCCTGTCTGTTTGATTGCAGTATTGAAGAAAACATAGCGTACGGAGACAACAGCAGGATTGTACCGATGGATGAAATTATCTCAGCAGCACGAAAAGCCAACATACACCAATTTATTTACAGCCTGCGAGATGTAAGAAATTTTACTGATATAAAGGATTGGTAACTGTTACAAATTACTGATATAATACATATCTGTAACATTATTCCGGAATATCTAATTGATGACGTTTACATGTTACTCCTCTTTTTTATACTTTATCGGGAAACATTTTCAAATTTTCTATCATCTGAACACGACTGGCATCACAAACGTTATTTTCAAAACGATCCTAATGTGACATGGCCTTTAGATTTGTTTTGATTACAATTATAGTAAAAATGATAAAAATTTACATTTTGTTAAAGACTTGACAGGAAAAAGGAGGACTTAGATAATCTTCTTGCTAGTTCCGCAAGTGCCTTCATCACAATATAACAGAAATATATTATGGACGATATTATACATTTTAACCGGGAAAAAAAATGTTATTTAGTAACATTGAAATAAAGCTTTAACATGCAATAAATTCTGTAACATAGGGTTATGACACGAATGTTGGAGATAAGGGGACACAACTCAGCGGAGGGCAAAAACAAAGGGTGGCCATAGCGAGGGCACTTATACGCAACCCCAAAGTGTTGCTCCTAGACGAAGCTACCTCTGCACTCGACGCAGAAAGTGAAAAGGTAAGATGCAGATAATATTGTTAATTTTATATTATCATGAAGAAGTTTTTCTTCTTTTTAACGATGTTTTACAAAAAGAAAAGCAACTGATAATTGTTTTTTTAAACAGGTCGTACAAGAGGCATTGGACAAAGCACGCGCTGGTCGGACATGCATTGTCATTGCGCATCGTCTCTCCACAATCCAAAACTCGGACCGCATCGCCATTCTTCATAAAGGTGAGGTAGTAGAACTCGGCAGTCATTCTGAACTCCTCGCCAAGAAAGGAATTTATTACAAACTCAGCCAGCATAACAACAAAAAAGATTTATAAACAGATGAATGAATGTACCAACCGTTGTGAACAAGTATTGCGTCTACATAGAACTACTTTCTAACAGGAAAGTTTGATGGTTTTTTATTGTTTACGTTGACACCTGAATTAATCATGTTCCAGGTATTTGTTTACACTATATTTTGTTATTGTGACCAGGTACTTGTATATATACTATGTTTTATGATTGTGACCAGGTATTTGTATATATACTATGTTTTGTGATTGTGACCAGGTATTTGTATATATACTATGTTTTGTTATTGTGACCAGGTATTTGTATATATACTATGTTTTGTTATTGTGACCAGGTATTTGTATATATACTATGTTTTGTTATTGTGACCAGGTATGTATATACACTATGGTTTGTGATTGTGACGAGGTATTTGTATAAATACCATATTTTGTGATTGTGACCAGGTATTTGTATATATACTATGTTTTGTTATTGTGACCAGGTATTTGTATACTCAATGTTTTGTTATTGTTACCAGGTATTTGTATACTCAATGTTTTGTTATTGTGACCAGGTATTTGTATACTCAATGTTTTGTTATTGTGACCAGGTATTTGTATACTCAATGACAATGTTTTGTTATTGTGACCAGGTATTTGTATACTCAATGTTTTGTTATTGTGACCAGGTATTTGTATACTCAATGTTTTGTTATTGTGACCAGGTATTTGTATACACTTTGTTTTGTATTAAGACTTTTACTTGTAAACAGTATGTTTTAATATTAGATATTTGTATACGTTATATTTTGTTATTGGACATTTGTATTCGGGATCTTTTGTTATTGGATATTTGTATACGGTATGTTTTGTTGTTAGATATTTGTATACAGGATGTTTTTACTTGATATTTGTATACGGTATGTTTTGTTGTTAGATATTTGTATACAGGATGTTTTGTTATTGGATATGTGTATACGGTATGTTTTGTAGTTAGATATTTGTATTCAGGATCTTTTGTTATTGGATATTTGTATACGGTATGTTTTGTTGTTAGATATTTGTATTCAGGATCTTTTGTTATTGGATATTAGTATACGGTATGTTTTGTTGTTAGATAGTTGTATACAGGATGTTTTGTTATTGGATATTTGTATACTGTATGTTTTGTTTTGAGATATTTGTATACGTTAAGATTTATGATGCGACATTTTTATACAGTATTTTTTTTATTGGACATTTGTGTACATGTTGTATTGTTATACGTTATTTTTATATGTTTTGTTATATGACATGGATAAACGGTATGGCGTGTTACTGGACATTTGTATATGGTATGTTTTGTTATTGGATATTTGTATACTGTATGTTTTGTTGTTAGATATTTGTATACAGGATGCTTTGTTATTGGATATGTGTATACGGGATGTTTTGTAGTTAGATATTTGTCTTCAGGATCTTTTGTTATTGGATATTTGTATACGGGATGTTTTGTTGTTAGATATTTGTATACAGGATGCTTTGTTATTGGATATGTGTATACGGTATGTTTGGTAGTTAGATATTTGTATTCAGGATCTTTTGTTATTGGATATTTGTATACGGGATGTTTTGTTGTTAGATATTTGTATACAGGGTGTTTTCACTGGACATTTTTACACGGTACGTTTTGGATTTGATATTTGAATACAGGATGTTTTTAACTGGACATATGTATACGGTATCTTTTGTTTTATAATATTTGTATAAAGGATGTTTTGTTCTTAGACATTTGTGTGCGATATGATTTGTATACTGCATGTTTTGTTATGAGATATTTGTATACGTTAAGTTTTATGATGCGACATTTTTATACAGTATTTTTTTTATTGGACATTTGTGTACATTTTGTATTGTTATACGTTATTTTTATATGTTTTGTTATATGACATGGATAAACGGTATGGCGTGTTACTGGACATTTGTATATGGTATGTTTTGTTATTGGATATTTGTACAAATGTTTTGTTATATGACATTTGTATACGTTTCGTTTTGTTATTGGACATTTGTATACAAGATTTTTTGTTATGGGATATTTGTAAACAGTATGTTTTGTTTTCAGACATTTTTTACGGTGTAGGAGGGGGTGTTCTGTCTTTCTGTTTGTCTGTAGACACAACGTTGTTCGCCCTTCTCCCCTGCTAAGGTACAGCACATATTTTAATGATACTTAGAATACGTATTGCTTATTGAGGGAATGTGAATATAACTATCCTGAGTGGGGATACCTACCCTATTAATGGAGTTATGCCCCTTTGTTGAGAAGTATTATTTTCACCTCCTTCAGTGATGTGATAGTGTGTACACAGACCTTTATAGAGGAAATGGTTAGATTTGAGTTACATTCCAATTTAATGGAGTTATGCTTCTTTGTTGTAAAACATTATTTCACTTCTCCTTGCAAAATGTCTGTGCTGATTGCAATGCTACTTGGTTCACATAATGCTTACAATGAGCATAGAAATATACGCTACCTGCCCTTTCTTATAATAATATACAACCTTTGTTATAGCGCCCTATCTAGCTTGCATAAGCCACTCTAAAGCGCTTTACAGTACATAGACATATCATTAATACAATAAGGATATACAATTTTTGAGAAATTCGCAGGAGCTGCCTTATCAGTCGCTAACTACTTGTCCTATGCCACCTGAGTATCTTCGTTTGAATACGGTGTTCGCACTCTACTTCCTCAAAAGTACGCGACCAATTAGAAGATTCACATCAAGAAGACGTAAATAAAATGTTGAATTAGAGTAAAGTTACCTTTAATAAAGTTATTCCCCTATATCTAAAAAAACAAAAAACTTTTAACAAAATGTTGCCACAGTTGATTCAACAGGCAGGGGTATAAGTCTGCCAATCTGTCAATAGTTCTAGTTTTGCTCTAAGACATTTGTAAACTGTATAATGTTTTTTTTATCGGACATTGTATATGGTATATGATGTTTTTAACATTGAAAAATAAACATATGTATATAATATCTGTTTTTGTTTATTTTTCTTTATCTGATAGTATTGTTATTTTAATATATGGTTTGTATTGGTACTGTTTGTATGTGTGTGTGATTTTAGCTTCTGAATAGCATTTGCATGCCCGCATTTTCAGCAATAGTCTGTTGATAGGAAATGGGGTCCTGACCCTAAATATCATTTTCAGGCCTGGTCTGTTGGAATGTTTGAATAAAATACAATATTAAACATAATTTGCAAAGTAGCCCAATAACGTGCGTTCATTCATCTATACTTCTGCTTTTTCGTACTGAGAATGTCAATCTTGTCTTCTATTTAGAAATTGAAAAGAGCTGTTAAATGAAAGACAAAAAGTAAAAAACAGAGACAGAAGAAAAGAGATGAGATCCATACCACACAGTACAATAAACCAGCATTAACAGATAACGCCTACACCCAAAATCATATTGTCGATTGGGACAAAGCCAAAATAGCCGAAAGGAAACGACACAAAAAGTGAGATAAGTCAAAAAAGCAATCAAAATCGTGAAAAGTCGAAACATGAACAGATACGAGGGGGACACCAGCTGAGTCATCTGTATGACCTGGTATGGACATAAAGGGGGGGGGGGTAGTTATACACCCTACATGTTATTCGATGCTGGGTGTATACGGTCTATGTCGATAGGCGAAACGTCTAGGGTCGAGTGACATGAAATAAACAAATTCGTCACATCATTGTACAGGTAAACAACTCAAATCGCTCATTCAGTGATAGCTTGAGAGAGGACCAGTCGGTCTTAAGACGTTGCCACACTTTTGATTCGTACATTGTTTGTGTATAAAGTAATAATTTGTAACTACTATAGGATCAGTTATTCTTCATATTTTTCATTGATTATGTTGATAACGCACTCTTACACCAAGGCGGCCGGGGTTCGATTCCCCGGTCGGACAAGCAAAGGTATTGGGTCACTTGCTCAAACACGTTAGTTTTTCTGAGCACTTTCACTTTAGGTCATAATTGTTGTAAAATACTTCAAGTTTATTTATCCCAAAGGTTGACAGTTTGGTGGATGTTAAATATGTTTGTTTGATTTCTATAGCTTTCGGATTGTCTCCTTGCATCCTCAGGAGTTGAATGTGTATTTTCCACTTGTTGACGATGTTACACAAGATAAATTACAAAATGTTATTTACATATACGAGACAATCTTCTTCCAACCAACATGGGTGGCACTACAGACGGGTTCCACACCAACACATCAAATAAAGGTCAATGTATACTTAATGTTGGCGAGACTTAACTGACTTGTGTTAGACAATAAATATATCTGTTTGCTGGATCATTTTAACTTCGTCAGTAACAAGTTCTTTACACAAATCATGGGTGGTGTAGTAAAAAAAGAACTCAGCATGCTGATAACGGTGACGATTTCGACTTTCCTTCTTTTTTTTTGGCAGTAACATCCCTTCACCGCAACTTACGGTGTTTTTATATCGCAGTTAACTCGATTTCAGGAACCTGCTCTAGATGTCATGTTTCCACTCAGAACACATTGTTTCCGGAAAATCTGGATATTGAAGAATCATAGAAATATTATTATTTATTTCATGATATGACTGTCGATGTTTTTTTTTTTTAATTTTGGTCTTGTTGTTTAATTGTCATTAGAACTGTGTTTGCTTTGAGGACGTGATATTACTGATAATAGAAAGGCGGCCAGTGATATAAATAAACGGTTGTAAATAGTTTTTAGCGTATTTTGTGAATAATACAACAAAAGCAAAAATGAAATATACTGAGATTTTCCCAGCAGACTAGGCATTCCCACTGAATGTGCCCCTCTTTTGGCCAATTTGGTGTCTTTTTTTCTTTCTTTTTCAAATGAAGCTGATTGTATTGATCAGCTAACCAGTACTGGTAGCAAACACCTAGCGAAGGCCTTCAATTCCACATTTGTGCCGATTTCCGAAAAGACAACCGGGCGATGCGTTATCGGGCCAATATTGGCCGGCAAGCCTGGGAACCGTAAGGTGGCCGGGAGATTATCGGCTACTATCGGCCGCATTTTAGACGCTGCACGGGTCATCGGGAGCTTTTAGCGCGGAGATAAAAGTTGCCGGTGTCCGCCCGATTTTTTCTTACCCAAACTCATCGGAAACCTACCTGACTCCCGTAAGTGTCCCGCAAGGATTTCGGAAGATTATCTTACAGCTCAGGGTGGCATCGTTCAGTAGTCTTGGGATTTTTTACAATTGTACATGCTCCCAGATGTAGTGTAAACGGCAATCGGAATGTAGCTGCCCGATGTCCTCAAACTGTGCGGTGTCCGTGGGATATTCGGCCGGCGCCCGCCCGATCTCCGGACTGGCATCGGCCGATGCTTCCGGCGCCCGGACGGCACACAAACGGGCATCTGCAAGCGCAATTTTCTCGCGGACGAGCCTGTCGTGACATGTGTACTTACCTATGTATACACACCATATAAAATGCGAAATATCGTACGGGCTACGTACGTACTCCGCCCGTCACACAAACATCTCCCGGCAACCGTACGGCCATCGTCAGATAGCCTTGCGTTGTCCTTGCGATAGTGTTAAAGGCTTTCTACGGTAAACTGCAGATGTCCGTTCGATTTCATCCGACACATTGCTTGCGGGGGCCGTGCGGTGCCCGTTTGTAATGTGACCATACTCACGGCAAATCCCAGACATCGGAAAAAGTTCCCGGCGCCCGGGACGCTGGCCGATTAGTACTTCCCGGCCGGCGGCCACGCAAATGTGACTGATTAGCAGGATGATTTCCACTTTCCATTTTTGAACTTTTTTTTTATTAGCAACATTTCTGCTTCCCCTAACTTCGGTGTTTACAGGTCGCAGTTTATGCGGTACTCAAGAGCTGGCTCCAAATATCACGACTTCCGTAATAGATGTGGACTGCTGACGAGCAATCTTATAACACATGGTTTCTGACTGATTAAGGCTTTGGACAATGTTATGGTCGCCATCAGGATCTCGCAGAAATTTGTTATTTCTCAGTGACATACGAGGGTCAATGTTTTCATTACATTCAACAGAGTGCATTGTGGTAATGTTGTTTCTTCCGGAGGTATCGACGTTAGGACTTTACTTAACCTGGATTGGTCTTAGATTTACATGGCAGGTGTCATTTATGAAGCTGACGACGCTTACCCATCCGGAACACTTGGTCTTATTCCCCTTCTACATTGTCAAAGGTTTCCATGCGCGTTTTCCCTTTGTTCATATTATTGAGTTCGAATTGTGATTGTGTTGACACTTCGGTATTTTGTTGTTTCTGTTTCTAGTTTTACAGATTTTGTTCTCGAAATACGGTTTATACACTTCGGTTTTTTTGTATGTTTCATCTTCTTCTTTTTATAAAATTCCAATCAGTTGTTTACAAAATATTTGTGTACATGTATTTAAGCAATGCATAGTGTATAGTGCTTAAGTGGTTATAAATAGAAATAACAAATCCCAACGCTCTTACGTTCAATAGTAAATTCTAGTGCATGTCCTTGATGAAATATCCATACGCTATTGAACACAATAGGGGGTTAGCTGCCTTCAAACACGCCAAAGCTCTGTGTTTCGTATGTATGAAAACCGCAAACATAGCCTTTTCATCTCAGATGAGAATAATCAATTCATAGAGTGATATTCTATAATATCGTATTGTTACAACTAATGCAGTTTCTATAAAGACAATTTTAACAGGCGGATATAAGTACTGTACAAATATTTGATAACTTTCCTCGGTGTTGTTGAGTTACACATTGACAAAGTTACGTTTTTGTAACAATATGGAACAGTTGTGAAACAGCAAGCTTCATGGGAAAAATAGACGCATTTCAACAACTCTTCATGAGTAAGCAAGCATGATGGCGATTCAGCCCAGAAATACTCTATGGCTTATAAGTAGCAAAGAGAGTAACATCAATACAAATCAGGTCCAATGTTTATATCTGATAATAGTTGCTTAAATATTGTAACATTATGACGGAGAGCCATATTACCACAACACAGATCACAAGTTGGAAATGGTCCAGCGAAGGGCAGCGCGCTATGTGATCAATAAGCACAGGTACATCCATCGTACCTCCAGTGTGTCAGAAATGTTGGACCACCTAAAGCTGCGCCCTCTAGCAAATAGACGTAGAGATGCTCGTCTGACCATGATTCATTACATTGTAAACCAGAAAGTCGCTATCGTAAAATCAGACAGATTAATCCCTACAGTTAGAAAATCCCGAACAAACCACCAGTTTTCGTATCAAATTCCCCACTCAAAAACCCAGACCAGAAAGGCATCATTCTTCCTTCGAACTATACCCGAGTGAAATAAACTCCCACCTGACATCATTTCGAGACCCACAACGGAATTATTCAAATCAGCCCTCTACCGTCACCTTTCAAACGCAAATTAGACCATCTCGAATCTTTTAAAAACAATCTCTTTCCATGTTTCACTCCTCGTCTGACATTTTATCTTCAAATTGTTGAAGTTGGTCAGTACCATTTAGAAGTAGAAACATCAACTCCATTATTGCCTAACTGTTTTATATTTAAGATGATCTATCAGATATACGTCATTCTTAAATAACAGGTGGCCATTTGTAAACAACAGATGGATATTTAAAAACAACAGGTGGATATTTGTAAACAACAGGTAGTTATTTGTACACAACAGGTGGCTATTTGTAAACAACAGGCAGCTATTTGTAAATAACAGGTGGTTATTTGTAAATAACAGGTGGATATTTGTAAATTATAGGTGGCTATTTGTAAACATCAGGTATTTCCTGAGACTGAATATATAGAGTATGACCGGAGAGAGAGTCTTCATCATATACCAAATATTTCTATGAAAAGAGGAATTCCGATATGAGATTTAAAACATAGCTGTCGCGGCATGCCGGGGTTTAATATGTCCATTCAAGTTTTAGATTATTAAATGCGTATTGGACACAACCAATGACTCGATTGAACTAGGACTATATGCTTTTAGGATTCCAGACCTAACAATCTGTTTGATTTTCGATATCGACGAGGCAGTATTTTTTCAGAATTATTATCGCATATGTATATTTAAGTTTAATAGCAACCAATTGTTTTTTAATGCGAATTTACTGAAATTAAAATGAACGAAACCATGTTGATCATACTTAAAATGATAAATGTTGATTACTTTCCCCGTGTAACTATAGGTAACGGAATTTCGGTTAAAGAGGAATTCTCCCTAATGGTGGAATACAACAGCGTGTGTTGAAAATGGAAACATCATAGTTTGAAATTTGCTGAACGACAATAATGAGATTAATTAAGTATATAATAAAATGTGGTTTTTATATTGATGTATGTAATTAAGTAATACTACTGTGTGTAGCGTATGTACTGCAAAAAGAGTTATCATAAATACTTCATTTTAAAAAGTCCAGTCCAAACTGTGGGGTATTTTATGTGTGGAAAGTTATTACCGTTCAATTTTGTCTTCTCTGATTACTCTAAACAGTTTATGATATGAACTGCTCTCAGTATTTGTGTTATTGGGATTTTTAGAAATAAAAACTGGTGCAAATGGTGCAAAATATTTAGGTAGAATGCTCTTTGAAATACGAGTACCGTTGAGTTTGCATAAAATAGTGTATACACCTACCCAAGTTGTTGACATAATGTGCTATGAGTCACTTTACCGGAAATGACGTCAGCGTTATTCTGACAATCTCGATAAGGAAGGACGAGGGGGTTCCAACCGACGTAAACTTCAAGCAAGAACTACAAAACAGTTAAGTGCTAGTGCTGAGGCGCATTGCTCACATGATCTGATGTCCTTTGTGTGTAGTATTTGTGTATGAGTCGTGTTGTCTCTAAAACTACCTTATGATTAGTTAGTGTATGTACACAGTCGGATACGGTCATTATTTATAGATATGTATTTTTTAATTATTATTTTGAATGGCAATGAAAACATTACTCTCGAATGAAGAACGAGTTTGTATCATTAATTAAAGTGTGTCTTTATTACAACACTTCACACTTGACACAATAGCAGAGTTCGAAAAATTCCTGATACTTTCGTTTTCGATTTCGTGGAATTTATTACAACAACCGGAATAGATTACATTTACGTATCTAGGTAATGTCATATACACACACTCAAACAATACAACAGGTATACATGTACGTAGGTATAGAACGATATATTATAAAACATTAAACAATTAAATATCTAGCGAGTCTATTACACATATACACCACTCAGTACATCAACTCATGTACTGATTGATACATCTACACACACACACAACTAAGCATTAAATCACACACATACATACATCCACAATAGTGTAACGTGTACACATGAAATAGTGATATATTATTTTTCAACTACGCATTATATCACACACAAACACATATGTAATAGTGATATCACACACATACATACACCCACAATAGTGTTTCGTGTACACATATAATAGTGATATCACACACATACATACACCCGCAATAGTGTTACGTGTACACATGTAATAATGATATACTAATGTAAAACTAAGCAAACTAAGCATTATATCACACACATACATACACCCACAATAGTGTTACGTGTACACAAGTAATAATGATATACTAATGTACAACTTAGCATTATATCACACACATACATACACCCACAATAGTGTTACGTGTACACAAGTAATAATGGTATACTATTGTACAACTAAGCAAACTAAGCATTATATCACACACATACATACACCCACAATAGTGTTACGTGTACACAAGTAATAATGATATACTAGTGTACAACTAAGCATTATATCACACACATACATACATCTTCAATAGTGTTACGTGTACACATGTAATAGTGATATACTAATGTACAACTAAGCATTATATCACACATATACATACAACCACAATAGTGTTTCATGTACACATGTATTGATTGAACAAATAAGCTGTCTTTTACACACATACATACATCCGCAATAGTCTTATATGTACACATGTACTGAGTGATCTATTGTTGAACAATTAGGTGTCTATTACACACACACACACATACACCCACAACAGTTATAGATGTATACAGTTATTCAGGTACACAGAGATTGAACGATATACATTATACATGTAGTACCGTAAGCATTTAACATTCACATATATATATAGGTAGGTGGTCTTTTACACAGCACCGCCGTTCTCGGACTAATAGATGATTATATATTGTAGAAGTCAGACAGTTGGAAAATAAAATTGTCCTGACTCCTATTTGGACTGAAACGGATGTGTGTTGAACTTAGGAATATAAATGTTAAAAATAAGGGGAGTACGGCTTATTAACAACACACAAACACACACTACTTATTCATTTGCTAATTTTAGTGATTGACCTATAACCCGCCATTCAGATTGTGGTTTGGGGAGGCATGAGGGGAGGGAGATAAGATGCATATTACACTGAATGAGTTACAATGTGTTATTTTACGTATGCGATAGACCCCTGCAGGTAGAGTATTGGGAAAAGAATATACCTGCTGTTACCCACTGCATGTATCGTAGGAGGCGACTAAAGTGTGAAGCTCCTGCAGAATTAGGAATTTGCTTTGGTGTCCTTTATTTGGGGACACAAAACGCGACCAAAATAAATCTGCTGCACCCATTGCAATATTTTGGATCATTATCTTTCTTTCTACTTCTAACTACCTTTTATTTCCTAGTGCCTTGCTTGGCAACATCTCACTTTTGGCCTTTTTGAGAACGACAAAGGGTTTACCAAAGTCATTAAAAATGGTAGCTGTTGTTCCCTGCTTAACGTTCAGCAGTTGGGGAATGGTAAATGGTTCACCCGTTGGCAGTACAATGTGACCGGGCGGAATCCTGTGCTGCGTGCCATCGGCATGGTATTTCAGTGAGATAGCACTATAAAGTCGGCATCAGATCCGCGCTATCACAAGACGGCAACCACACCAACATACCCCGTCTCCTGCGTACACACACGCAAGCACGCATACATTACACGACTTGTTCCGAATTATATTCGTTTTAGGTTTCTTGTGATTCGATAATTCCTATGGAATGAGGAATATTGTACATTCATGCAAGTTAATCGAGAGCTATCCTTTGACCTAACTTTTCTTCGTTATAGGACTCCAAATTGAGAAGAGGGTATAAAATGACGTGTATTCCCAGATTTTAAAATCATATGTGAAATATCATCAGTATTGGAAATCACGTTGCTGGATAGGAGCAATACTTAGATTTCAACCCATTGCTTTATGCCAACAAGTAACCCGCTCTTCGTCGAATGGAGAATAGAACATTGTTTTCGCAAAGGTATGATCACTTTTACGCATGTTACTTGCAAAACATTTCACTCAGTGAAAACAAAACAAATCTAGCTTTCTCAACTTTCATCACTGTTGTCTGATCCATTGTATAAATAATTCACATGCAAACTAAACATTAAGCTGTCATAAACGTGGTTTATAATGTCTGGTTTTGCTACCGCTTCATTTAGTTCAATCCTTGTTTCCAGACCCGACTAACGTAAGATGTCTCCTGTGCAGACACGAAAGACGTGATATGTCTCCTGTACGAAAGACACGAAAGGCTTAGCAGAGGATGGGTATGAGTTTGCATTGTATAAATATATCTAACTGAGTTTGATTCATTGACTGTGAAAAGAAGTCTTAGTTAAGGAGGATTCATCAGTTTAAAACTATTATGATGCCTGGTTACACTAATACTCCAGTGTCCCTAACATAAGTTCTTTTGGAAACAGATTGGTTATTTCTGTTGAAGAAACATGTTTATAATGGTAGTATCAGAAACGGTTAATATCACTACTTTGAACGCAGGTGTGTATTTAGTGTTATGCGCAAAAGCAACTAGGGATATCGTACTATATAGTGGGAGGTATGGATTTTGGGGAAAACAGTTCACACTCTTAACGGGAAGGAGTGGTATATTTACTCGGTCGGAAGACCACAAAGCGGTAACACAAACCAATAGCCAAATAGTCGGACATTCATTTCCCCTTTTTGGGTGCCCCATGTTTCCCTGGCTTAGACCTACAAATTATCTTAGGATGCTACTGAAATTAGATAGTTTTGTAATAAAAATAGTGTTCAGGCTTACATGTTATTGTTGTTTTTACTCTGTTGTAAAGATTGACAAAGAGATGAAACCAGGTAGTTAAAAAAAACTGGACATAATTTAAAAAAGGACGCCAGAATACAATGTTGCGAAATAACAACTTTTAGAGATAACAAATGCTTTTACATGTGATATGTAAAGATAGTCTTATGAGTACACACTTGAATGAGCAAGCATGTATTGAAATGTTTGTCGATCAAAGTTATATTACCGCATATGCTTTCGAGTACAGACAACTGTAATTGAATCCCGCCTTACTGTATTCCGACATGTATTGTCCATAATATATGCTAACTGAGGTTACATGTAACTATTTCCTGCGTTAAGCTTGAAATACGCGCGTAAACAAATTAATATATATTCATATATGTATATGGTGTAAATACGTTTTAGATAGAACATTTGCTAAACATATAACGTATTGTCGATATTTATTGTCTTATTACCAAATTGACTAATACACCGGTTGCTAGATCGATTTGACAACCTATTGTCCATAAACCTATTCATTCATAAAAGAAATAATGCCCGGTTCTTTTATATGAATATCCATTGCAAGTGCAATGTATTTGGTCTTATACATTTTATTTTATTTCATTTCAGAACGCACTAAGAAAAACCCCGTTATAGAAAAACTAACATGTGGACTTCAGAAAGACTTCCAAAAATTCGCAGTAGAGATAGGGTACTCAGAGGAACAGTTGACAGAATTCGAAAGAGTCTATTCTGAACCAGAGGTGTATCGAAATGTGTTGCTGACAAGGTGGTACGACACTGCAGGTCGTCATACAACAAAAGAAAACCACATCATATATAAAGCTTTACTAGCTATTGAGCTAGCTGATTTAGCGTCTACCTGCTTCTGTGGGCGTGAGTATAAGGATATACAATTGACTTCCACGAGTCTGCACTAATGACACAAACTGTACCGCTTATAAATTACAAAACTAATGTATTCCGAAAACATTTCATGACAAACAAACGATAATAAAGGTTTCAGATTTCACATCAATCTTATTTTCTATGACATAAGGGATACATATTGTATATAAGTGTCATGTTTAATCTTTTCTATGACATAAGGGATATAAATCGAAAATAAGTGTCATGTTTAATATTTTCTTTGTCAGAAGGGATATATATTGTAAATAAATGTCATGTTTAATATTTTCTATGGCATAAGGGATACATTTTGTAAAGAAATGTCATGTTTAATATTTTTTATAAATGGCGGATACTTGTGAATATTGTTCGAATCTGTTTTTATGTTGCACAGGTGTACCCGATGTTCATTCTGAGGAAATATTGGAGGATTTGTTCGCAGACGTAAAGAAAATTGATGTTCCTTCAGCAAAATCACAAGAGGATACAGGTAACGGCATAAAACGAAGCATTTTACACGATAATAATAACACAGCTTGAAAATAGCTGAACAATTTAATGCTCAATATGCACCAGAGATGCGACGTTTTTGTTTTTGTACTGAATATTTTTTCTATTTTACATGATCATATATATCATTACAATAGTAATTGTTAAACAATACAGTTTCTCTCTACCATTAATTATTTTCTTATTTCAGGTAATTACCAATCAGTTTAATAACTGTTCCAATGAGCGCCATTTTTCAGTTACTTCGTGAAATATTTTTGATATGAATAACCAAATATTCAATCTCGATAATTTTTTTAAAATATTAAGACACCCTTCTATTAACGGTAATGGACCTGCATTTGCAGATGTATATATAGCGTCTAATTATCAAAAACTTGCAGAGTAAATTGAACTCATGATTTCACATTCATGTTTTGATGTGGAAGTTACTAATGTATTTTTGTTTGCATTTCGTGTATTTGTAATTCCTGCTGTTGTACAGTCGTATGTCCCTGAAAAAATGGAGTATTTTAGTTTCTGACAAAGAATTTCATTGGCCGATGTATCTATTATGTTTATTTAATCATTTGATCATCTATTTAATCATTTTGTTTACATAGTATGTTGATTAGAAACAAAACATGCAAACATTCTTAGTATCTGAGTTGGTCGATATGAATAAAAAAAAGATCGAAATGATTATCGAATTATATATCCTTCCCCGTGTTGGTAATTGTGGACAAAAGTTCATGTGTATCGATGTTTTAATGATATCGGCAGTTTCAAAAACGATTTATTTCTATCATTCATGTTGTCAATCAGTGTTAAAAGTAGTTATTTTTTCTATAACTCTTAATTATGCTTCAGACCTCCAGCTTCCTGTACGATCTAAAAAGGCAAAAAAGAAAAGAAAACGGAAAAATGGAGGTGGGTAAGGGTTCCAGCTATCTTGCATATAATACAGAGCTGACGTGATAATCGGGGCATTGCAACACCTGTGGTTTTATCAATTCAATAATAAGTAGAGTATTTTTCAGTTTAGTGTTAACACATGCAGAGCGGTCAAATATAGCAACCCATGTGTTCCCCAAAAGTATTTTTCATAACTTTATAATTCGGTGCGTATTTATCTCTTCAGTGACACGAAGCTCACGATGTCAAAAACTGTAGTTCGTTACAATACTTTTATTAATATTATACAATTACAGTGTTTAATGTAACGCAACAAAATGTATAAATTTGTCACTAAAATTACAGTGAAAATTACATACATATGCAGACTATTGCGATTTGCCGAATTTAACGACATTGCTTTAATGATTTTGATATAGTTTTTCACTCCACCGAGGGGAGGTTTTGCATGGAATTGTATCAATATTGTCAAAATGAAGGTAAATACCGTGATGTGAACTGAGGACATTGTCTGCAAAATGTTTATTTTAAAGCTCTGTAAATCAAAGGAGTTCGTTGTAAATTTTATTTATATGTTTTTTAGTAAATGTCGTAGAAATATGATTCTTCCAACAAAACCATTCACTTGTTATATAAATCCATGTGTTACGGCTTCGTAGGATCGCAGATGATATCTGAAGAATCGGAGGGCACCGAGGGCATAGAGTGCATCGCAACGATTGGAAAACACAAATCAATCTTATTATCTATGACATAAGTGATACATATTGTAAATACGTGTCATGTTTAATATTTTCTATGACATCAGGGATATAAATTGTAAAGAAATGTCATGTTTAATTTTTTCTATGACATAAGGGATACATACTGTAAATAAGTGTCATGTTTAATATTTCTATGACATAAGGGATACATATGTTTAATATTTTTATAAATGTTGGATACTTGTGCATTATAAACTTTGGATTATCGTTCAAATCAGTTTTTATGTTGCACAGGTGTACCCGTTGTTCATTCTGAGGAAATATTGGAGGATCTGTTCGCAGACGTAAAGAAAATCGATGTTCTTTCAGCAACATCACAAAAGGATACAGGTAATGTCGTAAGCTGAATAACTTTATACTAACACAGCTTGAAAATAGCTGAACAGTTCAATGCTCACTATGCATCAGAGATTGTGACTGTTTGCTCTGTCAAGCTGTCGATGAGACCGTTGACAACTTGTAGAGCAAATTGATCACATGATTTCGTCTTTATTTTTCTGTTGTGGGAGGACCTGATGTATTTTTGTTTGTATTTCGTGTATTTGTAATTCCTGCTGTTATACAGTTGTACGGTCCTGAAAAAATGGAGTATTTTAGTTTCTGACAAAGAGTTTCTTGGGCCGATGCATTTATTATTTTTATTTAATCATTTGATTATCTATTCAATAATTTTGTTTACATAGTATGTTGTTAAAAAAAAAAAAACAGGCAGAAATTCGATGAATCTGTGTTGGTCAATATGAATAAAAAAAAATCGAAATTGTTATCGAATTATATATCCTTCTCCCTGTTGGTAATTGTGGACAGAAGTTCAAGTTTATCGATGTACAATATTATCGACAGTTTCAAAAACGATTTATTTCTCTCATTCATATTGTCAATCAGGTTAACTGCGTTTGGGATCTAGTCGGGGTTAAAAGTAGTTATTTTTTCGATAACTCCTGAATATGCTTCAGACCTCCAGCTTCCTGCACGATCTAAAAAGACAAAAGAGAAAAGAAAACGGAAAAATGAAGGTAAAGTAAGAGTTCCAGCTATCTTCCATATAAACAGAGCAGTCGGGATATTCGGGGCATCTCAGCACCTTTGGTTTTATCAATTCAATAATAAGTAGAGCATTTTCCAGTTAAGTGTTAACACATGCAGAGTGATCGTTTAGCCCAACTATAACAACCCATGTGTTCTCCAAAAGACTTTTTTATAACTTTATAATTCGGTGGGCATTTATCTCTTCAGTGACACGAAGCTCATCATGAAAGGCCGACTAAGTAGAAAAAGACTGTAGTTCGTTACAATACTTTTATTAATATTATACAATTACAGTATTTAATGTAACGCAACAAAATGTGTATATTTGTCACTAAAATTACAGTGAAAATTGAATACATATGCAGAATATTGCGACTTGCCGAATTTAACGACATGGCTTCAATGATTTTGATATAGTTTTTCACTCCACCGAGGGAAGGTTTTGCATGGTATTGTATCAATGTTGTCAAAATGAAGGTAAATACCGTGATGTGAACTGAGGCCATGGTCTGCAAAATGTTTAGTTTAAAGCTCTGTAAATTAAAGAAGTTCGTTGTAAAATTGTATTTATATGATTTTTAGTAAATGTCGTAGAAATATGATACTTCAAACAAAACCAGTAACTTGTTATAATTATAAATACAAATGATAAGGCTTCGTAGGTGAAGATGATATCTGAAGAATCAGAGGGCATCGAGGGCATCACAATGATTGGAAAACATAAATCAATCTTATTTTCAATGACATAAGGGATACATATTGTGAATAAGTGTCATGTTTAATATTTTCTATGATATAAGGGATAAATATTGTAAATAAGTGTCATGTTTAATATTTTTATAAATGGCGGATACTTGTGCATTATAAACTTTGGAATATCGTTCGAATCTGTTTTTATGTTGCACAGGTGTACCCGATGTTCATTCTGAGAAAATATTGGAGGATCTGTTCGCAGACGTACAGAAAATCGATGTTCCTTCAGCAACATCACAAGAAGATACAGGTAATGTCGTAAGCTGAATAACTTTATACGATAATACTAACACAGCTTGAAAATAGCTGAACAGTTCAATGCTTACTATGCAACAGATAATGTGACTGTTGGCTCGTGCAAGCTTTCGATGAGACAGTTGACAACTTGTAGAGTAAATTGATCACATGATTTCGTCTTAATTCTTTTGTTGTGGGACTTCCTGATGCATTTTTGTGTGCATTTCGTGTATTATTAATTACTGCTGTTGTACAGTTGTATGTTCCTGAAAAAATGGAGTATTTTAGTTTCTGACAAAGAATTTCTTGGGCCGATGTATTTATTATGTGTATTTAATCATTTGATTATCTATTTGATAATTTTGTTTACGTAGTATGTTGTTAAGAAACAAAACATGCAGAAATTCTAAAAATTTGTGTTGGTCGATATGAATAAAAAAAAAAAGATCGAAATGATGATCGAATTATATATCCTTCTCCCTGTTGGTAATTGTGGACAGAAGTTCAAGTGTATCGATGAACAATACTATCGACAGTTTCAAAAACGATTTATTTCTCTCATTCATATTGTCAATCAGTGTAACTGAGCTTGGGATCTAGTCGGGGTTAAAAGTAGTTATTTTTTCTATAACTCCTGAATATGCTTCAGACCACCAGCTTCCTGCACGATCTAAAAAGACAATAGAGAAAACAAAACGGAAAGATGAAGGTAAGTAAGAGTTCCAGCTATCTTCCATATAAACAGAGCAGTCGGGATATTCGGGGCATCTCAGCACCTTTGGTTTTATCAATTCAATAATAAGTAGAGCATTTTCCAGTTAAGTGTTAACACATGCAGAGTGGTCTTTTAGCTCAACTATGGCAACCCATGTGTTCTCCAAAAGTCGTTTTAATAACTTTATAATTCGGTGGGCATTTATCTCTTCAGTAACAGGAAGCTCATCATGAAAGGCCGACTAAGTAGAAAAAGACTGTAGTTCGTTACAATACTTCTATTATTAATATACAATTACAGTGTTTTAATTTAACGCAACAAAATGAATATGTTTGTCACTAAAGTTATAGTGAAAATTACATACATATGCATAAATTTTGCGATTTGCCGAATTTAACGACATAGCTTTAATGATTTTGATATAGTTTTTCACTCCACCGAGGGAAGGTTTTGCATGGTATTGTATCAATGTTGTCAAAATGAAGGTAAATACCGTGATGTGGACTGAGGACATGGTCTGTAAAATGTTTAGTTTAAAGCTCTGTAAATTAAAGAAGTTCGTTGTAAAATTGTATTTATATGATTTTTAGTAAATGTCGTAGAAATATGATGTTTCCAATAAAACCATTCACTTGTTATATAAATCCATATGTTACGGCTTCGTAGGATCGCAAATGATATCTGAAGAATCGGAGGGCACAGAGGGCATAGACTGCATCGCAATGATTGAAAAAACACATCAATCTTATTTTCTATGACATAAGGGATACATATTGTAAATAAGTGTCATGTTTAATATTTTTATAAATGGCGGATACTTGTGCATTATAAACTTTGGAATATCGTTCGAATCTGTTTTTATGTTGCACAGGTGTACCCGATGTTCATTCTGAGGAAATATTGGAGGATCTGTTCGCAGACGTAAAGAAAATCGATGTTCCTACAGCAACATCACAAGAAGATACAGGTAATGTCGTAAGCTGAATTACTTTATACGATAATACTAACACAGCTTGAAAATAGCTGAACAGATCAATGCTCCCTATGCAGTAGAGATTGTGACTGTTGGCTCGTGCAAGCTTTTGATGAGACAGTTGACAACTTGTAGAGTAAATTGATCACATGGTTTCGTCTTAACTCTTTTGTTGTGGGACTTCCTGATGCATTTTTGTTTGAATATCGTGTAATATTAATTGCTGCTGTTGTACAGTTGTATGTTCCTGAAAAAAATGGATTATTTTAGTTTCTGACAAAGAGTTTCTTGTGCCGATGTATTTATTATGTTTATTTAATCAGTTGATTTTCTATTTAATAATTTTGTTTACATAGTATGTTGTTAAAAAACAAAACATGGAGAAATTCTAAGAATCTGTGTTGGTCGATATGAATAAAAAAAAAAAGATCGAAATGATTATCGAATTGTATATCCTTCTCCCTGTTGGTAACTGTGGACAGAAGTTCAAGTGTATCGATGTACAATGATATCGACAGTTTTAAAAACGATTTATTTCTTTCATTCATGTTGTCAATCAGTGTAACTGAGTTTGGGATCTGGTCGGGGTTACAAGTAGCATTTTTTTTTCTATAACTCCTGAATATGCTTCAGACCTCGAGCTTCCTGTACGATCTAAAAAGGTAAAAGAGAAAAGAAAACGGAAAGTGGAAGGTAAGTAAGGGTTCCAGCTATCTTCCATATAATACATAGCTGTCGGGATATTCGGGGCATCTCAGCACCTATGGTTTTATCAATTCAATAATAAGTAGAGCATTTTCCAGTTAAGTGTTAGCAAATGCAGAGTGGTCTTTTAGCTCAACTATGGCAAGCCATGTAATCTCCAAAAGTCTTTTTTATAACTTTATAATTCGGTGGGCATTTATCTTTTCAGTGACACGAAGCTCACCATGAATTGCTAACTAAGTAGAAAAGACTGTAGTTCGTTACAATACTTCTATTATTAATATACAATGACAGTGTTTTAATTTAACGCAACAAAATGTATATATTTGTCACTAAAATTACAGTGAAAATTACATACATATGCATAAATTTTGCGATTTGCCGAATTTAACGACATGGCTTCAATGATTTTGATATAGTTTTTCACTCCACCGAGGGAAGGTTTTGCATGGTATTGTATCAATGTTGTCAAAATGAAGGTAAATACCGTGATGTGAACTGAGAACATGGTCTGCTAAATGTTTGTTTAAAGCTCTGTAAATTAAAGAAGTTCGTTGCAAAATTGTATTTATATGTTTTTTAGTAAATGTCGTAGAAATATGATTCTTCCAACAAAACCATTCACTTGTTATATAAATCCATGTGTTACGGCTTCGTAGGATCGCAGATGATATCTGAAGAATCGGAGGGCACCGAGGGCATAGAGTGCATCGCAACGATTGGAAAACACAAATCAATCTTATTATCTATGACATAAGGGATACATATAGTAAATAAGTGTCATGTTTAATTTTTTCAATGACATAAGGGATACATACTGTAAATAAGTGTCATGTTTAATATTTTCTATGACACAAGGGATACATATGTTTAATATTTTTTATAAATGGCGGATACTTGTACATTATAAACTGTGGAATATCGTTCTGAGGAATTTTTATGTTGCACAGGTGTACCCGATGTTCATTCTGAGGAAATATTGGAGGATCTGTTCGCAGACGTAAAGAAAATCGATGTTCCTTCAGCAACATCACAAGAGGATACAGGTAATGTCGTAAGCTGAATAACTTTATACTAACACAGCTTGAAAATAGCTGAACAGTTCAATACCCACTATGCAACAGAGATTGTGACTGTTGGCTCTTGCAAGCTTTCGATAAGACTTGTAAAGTAAATTGATCACATGATTTCGTCTTCATTTTTTGTTGTGGGAGTTCCAGATGTATTTTTGTTTGCATTTCGTGTATTTGTATTTCCTGCTGTTGTATTGTTGTACGTTCCTAAAAAAATGGAGTATTTTAGTTTCTGACAAAGAATTTCTTTGGCCGATGTGTATTTATTATGTGTATTTAATCATTTGATTATCTATTTAATAATTTTGTTTACGTATTATGTTGTTAAGAAACAAAACATGCAGATATTCGAAGAATACGTGTTGGTCAATATGAATAAAAAGAAGATCGAAATGATTATCGAATTGTATATCCTTCTCCCTGTTGGTAATTGTTGACAAAAGGTCAAGTGTATCGATGTTACAATGATATTGACAATTTCAAAAACGATTTATTTCTATCATTCATGTTATCAATCAGTGTACTGATTTTGGGATCTAGTCGGGGTTAAAAGTAGTAAATTTTTCTATAACTCTGGAATATGCTCCAGACCTCTAGCTTTCTGTACGATCTAAAAATGCAAAAAATAAAATAAAACGGAAAGATGAAGGTAAGTAAGGGTCCCAGCTATCTTCCATATAATACATAGCTGTCGGATATTCGGGGCATCTCAGCACCTGTGGTTTTATCAATTCAATAATAAGTAGAGCATTTTCCAGTTAAGTGTTAACACATGCAGAGTGGTCTTTTAGCTCAACTATGGCAACCCATGTGTTCTCCAAAAGTCTTTTTAATAACTTTTTAATTCGGTGGGCATTTATGTCTTCAGTGACACGAAGTTCATCATGAAAGGCCGACTAAGTAAAAAAAGACTGTAGTTCGTTACTATACTTTTATTAATATTATACAATTACAGTGTTTAATGTAACGCAACAAAATGTATATATTTGTCACTATAATAACAGTGAAAATTACATACATATGCAAAATATTACGATTTGCCAAATTTAACGACATGGCTTCAATGATTTTTATATAGTTTTTCATTCCAACGATGGAAGGTTTCGCATTGTATTCTATCAATATTGTCAAAATGAAGGTAAATACCGTGATATGAACTGAGGACATGGTCCGCTAAATGTTTATTTTAAAGCTCTGTAAATTAAAGAAGTTCGTTGTAAAATTGTATTTATATGATTTTTAGTAAATGTCGTAGAAATATGATACTTCCATCAAAACCAGTACCTTGTTATAATTATAAATACATATGTTACGGCTTCGTAGGTTCGCAGATGACATCTGAAGAATCAGAGGACATCGAGGGCATCGAGGGCATCGCAATGATAGGAAAACAAAAATCATTCTTATTTTCTATGACATAAGGGATACATATTGTAAATAAGTGTCATGTTTAATATTTTCTATGACATAAGGGATAAATATTGTAAATAAATGTCATGTTTAATATTTTCAATGACATAAGGGATACATATTGTAAATAAGTGTCATGTTTAATATTTTTATAACTGGCGGATACTTGTGCATTTTAAACTTTGGAATATCGTTCGAATCTGTTTTTATGTTGCACAGGTGTACCGGAAATATTGGAGGATCTGTTCGCAGACGTAAAGAAAATCGATGTTCCTTCAGCAACATCACAAGAGGATACAGGTAATGTCGTAAGCTGAATAACTTTATACGATAATACTAACACAGCTTGAAAATAGCTGAACAGATCAATGCTCCCTATGCAGTAGAGATTGTGACTGTTGGCTCCTGCAAGCTTTTGATGAGACAGTTGACAACTTGTAGAGTAAATTGATCACATGATTTCGTCTTAATTCTTTTGTTGTGGGACTTCCTGATGCATTTTTGTTTGCATTTTGTGTATTATTAATTTCTGCTGTTGAATAGTTGTATGTTCCTGAAAAAAATGGAGTATTTAAGTTTTTGACAAAGAGTTTCTTGGGCCGATGTATTTATAATGTTTATTTAATCATTTGATTTTCTATTTAATAATTTGTTTACATAGTATGTTGTTAAAAAACAAAACATGCAGAAATTCGAAGAATCTGTGTTGGTCGATATGAATAAAAAAAAAGATCGAAATGATTATCGAATTATATATCCTTCTCCCTGTTGGTAACTGTGGACATAAGTTCAAGTGTATTTATGTACAATGATATCGACAGTTTCAAAATCGATTTATTTCTCTCATTCATGTTGTCAACCAGTGTAACTGAGTTTGGGATCTGGTCGGGGTTAAAAGTAGTTGTTTTTTCTATAACTCCTGAATATGTTAAACAAGGGTTCCAGCTATCTTCCATATAATACAGAGCTGTCGGGATATTCGGGGCATCTCAGCACCTGTGGTTTTATCAATTTAATAATAAGTAGAGCATTTTCCAGTTAGGTGTTAACACATGCAGAGTGGTTGTTTAGCGCAACTATGGCAACCCATGTATTCTTCGGTGCGCATTTATCTCCTCAGTGACACGAAGGTCACCATGAAAGGCCGACTAAGTAGAAAAAGACTGTAGTTCGTTACAATACTTCTATAATTAAAATTATATAATTACAGTGTTTCAATGTAACGCAACAAAATGTACATATTTGCCACTGAAATTACGTTGAAAATTACATACATATGCAGAATATTGCGATTTGCCGAATTTAACGACACGGTTTCAATGATTTTGATATAGTTTTTCACTCCATCGAGAGAAGGTTGTGCACGGTATTGTATCAATATTGTCAACATGAAGGTACATGTAAATACCGTGATGCGAACTGAGGACATGGTCTGCAAAATGTTTATTTCAAAGCTCTTTCAATTAAAAAAGTTCGTTGTAAAATTGTATTTATATGTTTTTTAGTAAATTTCGAACAAAACCAGTAACTTGTTATAATTATAAATACATATATTACGGCTTCGTAGGATCGCAGATGATATCTGAAGAATCAGAGGGCATCGAGGGCATCGCAATGATTGGAAAACACAAATCAATCTTATTTTCTATGACATAGGGGATACATTTTGTAAATAAGTGTCATGTTTAATATTTTCTATGACATGAGGGAGAAATATTGTAAATAAGTGTCATATTTAATATTTTCTATGACATAAGGGACACACATTGTAAATAAGTGTCACGTTTATTATATTTGTAAATGGTGGATACTTGTGCATTATAAACATTGGATTATCGTTCGAATCTGTTTTTATGTTGCACAGGTGTTCCCGATGTTCATTCTGGGGAAATATTGGAGGATCTGTTCGCAGACGTAAAGAAAATCGATGTTCCTACAGCAACATCACAAGAAGATACAGGTAATGTCGTAAGCTGAATTACTTTATACGATAATACTAACACAGCTTGAAAATAGCTGAACAGATCAATGCGCTCTAAGCAGTAGATATTGTGACTGTTGGCTCTTGCAAGCTATTGATGAGACAGTTGACAACTTATAGAGTAAATTGATCACATTATTTCGTCTTCTATTTTTGTCGTTGTGAACGTTCCTCATTTTTGTTTGTTTGCATTTCGTGTAATATAATTCCTGCTGTTGTACAGCTGTACGTTCCTGAAAAAATGGAGTGTTTTAGATTCTGACAAAGAATTTCTTGGGCCGATGTGTTTATTATGTTTATTTAATCGCTTGATTATCTATTTAATAATTTTGTTTACACAATATGTTGTTAAGAAACAAAACAAAACAAAATGGTCAATATAAATAAAAATAAGATCGAAATGATTATCGAACTATATATATCCTTCTTCGTGTTGGTAATTGTGGACAGAAGTTCAAATGTATCGATGTACAAAGATATCGGCAGTTTCAAAAACGATTTATTGCTTTCATTTATGTTGTCAATCAGTGTAATTGAGTTTGGGATCTGGTTGGGGTTAAAAGTAGTGTTTTTTTTCTATAACTGCTGAATATGCTTCAGACCTCCAGTTTCCTGTACGATCTAAAAAGGCAAAAGAGAAAAGAAAACGGAAAGATAAAGGTAAGTAAGGGTTCCAGCTATCTTCCATATAAACAGAGCAGTCGGGATATTCGGGGCATCTCTGCACCTGTGGTTTTATCAATTCAATACTAAGTAGAGCATTTTCCAGTTAAGTGTTAACACGTGCAGATTGGTCGTTTAGCCCAACTTTTACAACCCATGTAATCTCTAAAAGTCTTTTTTATAACTTTATAATTCGGTGCGTATTTATCTCTTCAGTGACAAGAAGCTCACCATGAAAGGCCGACTATGTAGAAAAAACTGTAGTTCGTTACAATACTTTTAACAATATTATACAATTACATTGTTTTAATGTAACGCAACACAATGTATATATTTGTCACTGAAATAACGTTGAAAATTACATACATATGCAGAATATTGCGATTTGCCGAATTTAACGACATGGCTTCAATGCTTTTGATAAAAAAAATTCACTCCGCCAAGGGACATTTTTGCATAGTTTGGTATCAGTATTGTCATTACGAGTGAAATACCATGATGTGAACTGAGAAATTAGTATGCTCTGCAAAATGTTAATTTTCAAGCTCTGTCGGTTAAAAGAGTTCGTTGTAAAATTGTATTTATATACTTGTCGTAAATTGCGTAGAAATATGAAGTTTCCTGCAAAGCCAGTAATATAAGCACATATGTAACGTCTTTGTAGGATTGCAGATGGTATCCGAAGAATCAGAGGGCATCGTTATGATTGGGACATACAACACAGTGACCGTGAACAATTTTGTACAACCTTTGAAAACAGGTATGGACATTCTAAATTCTAATAAGCAAACAATGCTAAATACTTTGACAAAAGCAATTTAACTAATTCCATTTTTATAGTTTAAATTTTGTCTTAAATATTATATTGCACATACCCTAAATCTTGACTTTTATATGAGCATTTAAACATAGATTGGACTGAAGATATTATTATAGCCAAGTGTATTTGACAGGGGGAACAGGAACAAACCATTTACTGACAAAAATATCACGGCAATAAAAAGAAATCACGGGTGATCTAAATTGCCACTTAGACGATCTATCTAATGTTGATGCTCGCCAGTTCTATGGTCTACTAGATTCCAGGGGTCTGATTCAGCATGTGACAGAAGCTACACACACCCATGGCCACACAATTGATGTGGTCATAACGAGGGAAGATAACTCAGTCATTCATGGAGCTATTTCAGTGATTGATCCATGTCTAAGTGATGTAAAGGGGAACCAATTCGGTGATCATCTTGCCGTCCACACAGCACTGAATTGTAGTAAGCCAGCTTGTGCGAGGAAAGAGGTTAGCTTCCGGATATTCCGCGAAATTTCAATACCAGGTTTCAACAATGATATTCGGTCTTGTTCCGCGCTTCAATCTACTGAAGGCGAGCTTGATGCTCTTGTTGAAGTATACAAATCTGGTATAGAAGCCCTTATAGAAAACACGCACCTCTGCAAACTAAGGTGATAACTGTGAGACCAAATACCCCGTAATATAATGAAAATCTCCGCGTAGAAAAACAGAACCGTAGAAAAGCAGAGAGACAGTGGCGATGGACCGAATTAACCGTTTACCAACAGATTTATAGGGAGCAATGTCCGCTAGTTGGTTCACTACTCTTTCAGTCAAAGAAGGCTTTTTATTCGGAAAGAATCGAAGAATGCGGTAAGGATAATATACAGCTTTTTAGACTTACCAAAAACCTAATGGGGCAGAAAGGTGAAATTATCCTACCAAGCTGTAATTCTGAAAAAGACTTAGCAAGCAAGTTCAGTGATTACTTTCTGAATAAAATCAGCTCAATCAGGAAAAAATATTGCCGCAGCGAACACCTCTGCTGACATTGACATCTCTGTCACGACTGCTGACATTGCATTTGATGGGAAACCATTGGCAAAGCTCTCACCAACAGCCTAGGACGAGTTGCGCAACATTATCATGACCTTGCAATTGAAGTCCTGTGAGCTTGATCCACACCATTGTTAAAGAATTGACAAGGAGGAGTTGAAAAACTACCGCCCAGTTTCAAATCTGCCTTTGCTGTCTAAGATCTTGGAGAAGGTTGTGTCCCGGCGTTTAGAGGTTCATCTCCATGAGAACAGTCTCCATGACAACATGCAATAGGCCTACCGCATGGGACACTCTACTGAGACGGCCCTCCTACGTGTACATAATGATATAGCTTCTGCATTGGATAACATGTGCAGACCGGTGCTTGTCATGCTGGACTTGTCAGCTGCATTTGACGTCAACGACCATGGCATACTTTATAAACGTCTGGAATACTCTTATGGAGTGACTGATACCGCACTATGCCGGTTAAGTCTTAACTGAGTGAACGACGACAGTGTGTTGCCATCGGATCTTCCACCTCACTTGACAAAGTACTAGATTTCGGGGTTCCTCAATGGTCGGTATTAGGACCACGAAAATATTGTATGTACTCCAAACCGATTGGAGAGATTTGTCGTCGCCATAGCCTTCGCTATCATTGCTATGCCGATGACACACAAATGTACATGGTCATCAAACCACAGGACAGTTGGAATACAGTCTCAGAAAGTCTGGAAGCTTGTCTGACATATATCAGTATCTGGATGAACGCCAACATGCTTAAGCTTAATCAGGAAAAGACGGAACTAATCGTCTTTTCTCCAAAGTGTCAGCAAGCAATGGCTCTCCAGCTCAAGGTCGGTGCCAGAACTATTGAGACTGTTCCAGCTGTTAAAAACCTAAGGGTATACTTTGATAGTTCACTGAATATGGAGAAACAAGTGAACGCTATTGCCAAATCCTGTTACTACAAGATCAGGAACAACGGCTGTATTCGGCAGTTTTTAACTGCAGATGCATGCAATATTTTGGTGCATTCACGTGTTACCTCTCGGTTGGATTATGGTAACGCCCTGCTCTGTGGTATATCTGACAAACTAACTAGTCGTCCGCAGATGGTCAATAATACTGCAGCACGGCTAGTTACTCGTACTCGAAAGAGAGAGCACATCACACCTGTGCTTTATTCGTTGCACTGGTTACCTGTACGATACAGGTCGAAGTACAAAATTCTGGTGTACACATACAAGGCACTGAGTGGAACAGCTCCTCATTACCTACAGGAGCTTGTTACCCTGTATCAGCCGTCACGATCACTGCGGTAGGAGTCAGAATCTTTGTCGTGTGTCCCAAAATCTCGTATTGTTACCTACGGAAACAGATGCTTTGGGAGGGTTTCGGCTACGTTGTGGAATAGCTTACCATCTGCTATTTGAAAGTAAAATACCCTGGCCAAGTTCAAGAGTGACATGAAAACTCACCTCTTTACGTCTGCATTTTAGAACCCTTGCAAAGACGTCATGTAAACACCACCCTTTTATTTGTTTAATTATGTGCACATTGCTTGCTTAAATGTATAAAAGTGATTGTAAGCCTTTGTTTTTTGTTTTCACAATTATAACCATTATTATTATCCATATGTTGTAAAGCGCTTTAGAGTAATTTTACAAATTAGATATTATATATTATTATCATTATTAAGTGGATAGGGGATATTTCTTGTGCTGCAAGGATGGGTGTATCGCTAGTAATGAGCACGCTGGCACTAAATAATGTAACAAAGCGTAGAACATTTTGTGAAGAGATTGACTGATATAAAGAAGCATGGCTGGGGCTGTAAGGTGGACGATGGGAAGACAATTTGTGTGGAACATCCATGTGTTGGGGTTTTTGATGAAACTATATGGGAGGAAACGTAAGCTTAGGGGAATGACAAATCAAGATGTAGGCGTTTTTGTTGGAGGATAACTAGGTAAAACATAACTAGCGCTGATCTATATGTAATCCGAATGCAGGTATGTAAGTTTGGCCTAAATGAGAATAACACATATGACTGTAGGGAATAGCTTTTGGAGTAAAGGAACACTATTGAGTCGCGGAAACTAGTACAATCATGGACAGGAATAAATGAAAGTAGTATTGACGCATAACTAGTGTGGAAAATAGGGTACATAAAAAGTTAAGAAGAGGTATAGGATTATATCCACTGAAGAGATGGAGACTTGGAAGTGAACAAATATTGTAATATACAATAAATTGATGACACATATAAGTGTTACAGTGCGGGAAACATAACAGATGTTGAGGAGATTGACACATTTGGTTGTAGGAGTTTTAGAACGCTATGGAACCATAACATATTAGGCAGAGATTTATAAAATCCTCCCCTAACCAATATGAAGGCATGACGGGGAAATCTCAACTCAACTCGAATGATGATATCCTTGTCTAAGTGCTATTTTCCAGTGTCATCGGAATATATCCATGTGTATGGTAAAAAACTCTTCTCCTGTATGTAAAAAGAAGTGTCAAAAACGGGCAAATAAATGTTTCGGCAAATGATAACACTAAATTGTAGGTTTGAGAGTGTGCGAATGTACCAGCAGTGGCTTATAACAACTTAGATTTCCACTATTTGGCCTCCTGCATCACCAATGAGTCCTAATTGGTGCGATGTCACGTTCGTCTGTCGCAGACTAGATGGTATTTAAAACGTTTTGTTGAGTACTATTAGCAGAAGCTTGATGATATGAAATAAAAGAATGACAGTTAAGGGTTATATAGATTAACATTTTCTGACTAGCCTACATTGTAACTGGTCCATAGAACATGTGTGAGTTTATACCATAATGCAGCATTCATCGTCCGTTAAAAACGGTGCAAACGATATTTCTCTCCGAACTGCTGGGTGGATTTCAATCAAGCCATTGTTAGAGAGTATTGATTTACATTAGTACACATTCAATTATGATTATGATTATTATTATGATAGATAAAGTAGTCGGGGGGGGGGGGGGGGGGGGGGGGGGCTGGTTATTTTATATCTTGTTTGAAGGACAATTCCTACGAAATTGTTTGACGGATCGCAACAAAATTCGGTTTTAAATATATGTGGCGGGTACAAAATTAACGATGCTTTGAATAAGTGATCAAATGCATAATGCTGACATTGTTTACTATTACTTCCATCGGATAATTTTTACCAACATTTTTTTCCCACTTTTTCATATAGATTACTTCCGTCTGTAATTTCTGCTTTGTCAACAACAACAAAAAATCAACTTCAGCAGAAAAAGACACCTTCCCATTATTATTATAGTTTACTGAATTATCTGGTATTGTAATGGCAACATGTAACCAACACTTCTACTGATTTTCCTATACCATATAAAAATATTTTACAATAATGTACTTTTTTAAATCCATTTGTAATAAACATATTTTCGATAGGTTGTCCTGAAGAAGATGAATGTTTGAGCATACTAAAAGACATACTGGACTTCACCGGTGATAACTTTCACGGAAAACGTCAGATGAAATTGCAAAGTTTGGAAACCTGCTTCAAACAAAGAAAAGGCAAGCCATTCAAAGAGATAAAGGGTATTTCAATGATTGATTTTTTGAGGCGATCAAACTCTTCGTTGCACTTAATACAAACTAAAGATCAATGGTTTGTACATATGAATCATGGTATTAAGAAAGAGGGAGTTAGTGCCACAAAGGTTAAGGGTAAGATCCCAACAACAGAGCATACACCAGAATCTTCTAAATATCTTCCAGATAAAATAGATAGTGTGTCTCAAAATAAAACATCAATGCCAAAACGTAAAGAAAATGTCATTCCCCTAAAATCGACTTTCGTTAGACCAAAGCGTGAAATTAAAGATCTTCCATTTGAGCCAAACAAATGCTCAGCATTCGACGACTTCTTTCGTAAAGTTGGATATTTTCAGGAAAACGAATATATCCTGATGATTCCAAAAATAGATCATACAAAGCATGAAAATGCCTTAGCAAACATTCCTTGGCTCTGCGTTTTTGACTTCGACTCAGAAAGCCATGCAAATGGTTTGTATCACCGAGTTGAAGAAACTTTCAGAAAACATCGAAATTTGATGACATGTACATGGAAAGATCAACCGAACATCACAGCATGCGGGACTGAGTGGTGCTTTGTTTCAGGTTCAACACACGACCCAGAGAGTACAACACCTCATCGTAACTGCAAACAATGGTATGTTAAGGTACAACAGCATTTAACAGAACATATCAAAGGTATAGCAAATCATTTGGATACAGTCTTGCCATTAACTGTAGTTTTGTTTTGGCCTGAAGACACCGTAACGGGCTTCCAATTTGAAAAAGTCATATCGTGTATCAATTGTCAAATAAGGCCTCTACCACAGGTAGCTGTCATTGGTAATCCGCCTGGTAAACACGAAATTATAATTGATCAGATCGATCCCGATTACTTTCTTCATGAAAAACATGAGCACGTACTACATGACTTGGCGACAAACCTAGGTAGAGGACAAATCGGAAAGCAGTTGCAATATACACTCCCGACAGATGATGGTACATCGTTTACTGATATTAGTGAGTCTGAAGCAGCAATTTTCAAAGAGGACATGCATGTTTTGTATTGCGACAACCCATACAGGACGGACTGGGCTGATCTCAATAAACCGGAAGAACAGGAGCGGTTGTTCTTTAAGGGTGGGACGTTAAGTTGGCAGGCATACTACGACTATGGTCCAGATCACTTTTACGATGCGAGAGATCTTCTCGTTACTATTCTAAAAAGAATAAAAACTGATTTCGTAGACGAATTTCAATCCGGAACAATCAAGCTGTATCATGCACCGGGGGCAGGAGGAACCACCCTTGGACAAAAGGTTCTTTGGGAATTACACGAATCTACGCCGTGTTTACAAATACGATCAGATACTTCGTCAGATGTTAAAGACATAGCAGAGAACATTGAAATAATTTACCGGAAAAAAAATCGGCCTGTTGTAGTTATGTTGGACGGGCCTGACGACAAACTGTTTGACCAATTAAGGCGACATCTAAAGATCATCACTGTTATCTTTCTTCTCCTTAAGAGAGTTTCTGATCATATGGACACAAGACATTTTGATCGTACTCAATTTTTGCTACCTGGCACGTTGTCTCCGAATGAAGCAAAGCGCATTTGCCCTAAATTTTGCCGGTTTTGTGACAATAACAAGAAGAAAGACCAAATCCAGACACTTTTAGATGAGGTTGTTGCAGGAAAGAAGCACCACCTGATAGAGTTTGGATTAGTGACATATCTCGGTGAATATACGGGAGTCGCTGCCTTCGTGGCAGGGTATCTTCGACTGAATCAACAGAACAAGGAATTGGAGATTTTTCAAAAGGTTCTGGGATATCTTTCCCTCGTGCACTTTTTTGGTCATGCAGCAATGTCCATTCAATTTTTCTCTAAAATGCTTGAAAATTTGCCAGATAAAAAGGTCAGTTTTCGTCAACTTCCTCAAAATGTCCGGGAATTCGTTGTTATGGAAGACTGCAGACAAAACAGCATTCGCATCTGTCATTTTTTGATCGCTAAGGAAATACTGGAACAAATTCTTTCAAGGGAACAAGTCAACACAAAAGGTCAAGATTTAAGCGATGAAGCAAAACTGAAACTTCAACCCTTTGCGCTACAGTTCATTTATGATTTGAAATCAAGACAGGTTGATATAGGAGTAAAATCACGAGCTGTATTTGAAATAATTCTTCAGACCTTCATACAACGCGAGAACTTGATGAATGAAGCTGACAACCCCATTCGCAACCACCCTGCTCGATTTTCACGACTTATAGAAAGTATACCTTCCAAACAGCCGTTTACTGAACGTTTAGAAGTGTTCGAGGCTATCGCAAATTCTTTTCCAGAAAACCCAAGTTTCTGGGCTCATCTGGGAAGGGCATTTGCACTTTTGCGGCTGCATGAAAAAGAGAAAATAGAGGGGTTCTTTCAGAAAGCCTTCGGTTTATGTCATAATGAAGAGGCGACAGAGGTTCAGTCGACGTCTGAGTCTTATGACGAACATGAACAAGACGATACTGTGCTCAGCTTTATACATCACATGTATGGTATATTTTATCTAGCAAAAATCAATCAGCGCATTAAAGAATGCAAAAGTCTGAGATCAGAAATGCAGTTTCAAGAGGAAATAAGAAAGTTGACCAAAGACGCTGCAATAGGATGTCGTGCGTTCGAAGATTCCACCAGATACAGTTACGCTGGTTATCAGGAGTCATTTGGACGTATGGGGGAGATATCCATTCGGTTGCAAATATGCAGTTTCCTGAAAACGCATTACAGATTTACCACAATCCAAGAGCTTCTTGATAAATCAAAAAATGCTGATATCTGGTCATTTGTTAAGGAAAGTTTGCCCAAGATACAACAACTATTCGTCCAGTGTCATAACGTGGTTGACGCTGCTGATGCCGATGCAGCATTTTACGCAAAAGTTCAACAATACAATGAGATATTCAAAGGAATGGTGCCTGCTACAGATATAGAACATATCAAAGTGCCTGATACTATAGAAACAAGACGAGAGGTACTGGCGGCTATCAAAATCAAGTATGGAAAGGATAATCATCTTGGCACTGTTGATGATATATCTGACGAATCAGATGTCAGTCACGTTGTTTACCTGTTGGAACGGAATCTGAATGAGTACGGCAGAGGGACAAGACATACATCATCTCGTATGAGCTTTGATTTTGAATTTCTGGATTGGATCTACGCCATCAGGCATCCGAAACAGCAGAAAATATACTCTGTAGAATATGTTTTAACACAGGTTCGTCACTGGAACACACTTCTGCATAGTCCATATTCCACGTTTTACCTTTTCATTCTCCTCAGTGTTTACGGAATCAATCAGAATGCAATACAATATCTCGAAGAAGCAATGATTTTGAAGAGCACTGAGAAATTCAAATATCTAAATAAGAAGATCCCAAATTCTAGAACGCCAAAGGAATGGCTTGCAACAGAATACGGCATCAGGCGCCTTCAACCAGGAAAGAATTTTCAGCGGATGGAATCATTGGACATCGTTGACGATGACACAGCGGTCGAGAGGCTACAGTTGGTTAAAGGAACAATAAGATATCCAAACAAACTTCGACAAAAGGGTTACATCGACCTCGACATAGAAGCAAACACTGACGTACCAGTACATGTTTTCTTCCATCCAAGTCGCACAGAACATCAACTTGTCGGTACTCACAATGCAGGAGTTCGTGTGGAATTTATGTTGGCTTTTACTGTACAAAATGGGTTAGAAGGATACAACGTGAAAAAATTAGCAAAATTGAGGTGCATTAATTGTGAATTGATGACGGAGATATTTAGCAACGAAAGGGCTCGAAAGTGCAGATTTTGTTGAGATCTCGTAGAAAATCCTACCGCCTGTAGATGTGATTAATCTTTTCTATCAGAACCAAGAAAACATAATGTGATATTAATAATCTGGTAGGGCAGACTCTAGTTTCTGCATAATGGTTATTTTAACATGTTGTTGATATCAAAACGGTTGAAAGGGACACACGTAGCTGTTCTCTGATATTTTCGATGTTACGGAAACGGAAAAAAGCGGATAAATATAACTTACCATTATATCTAAATATGAAAATTTTGGGTATACATTCTAAATATCACATGTGTTTATGGCTTTTCTTTTTCTGTTATTGTTAAATGTAATGGTTATAAAGCAGTATTGAATCACATTTTCCGGATTCAGAAAGAGCAAATTTCCCTAGTAGGACATTTCTGAGAGGAACTAATGACCTGTTTATACTAGTCTAAACCCTGTCGGTAAAGGTACGAAAGGCCATTATCATATATATTCACGAACTGTGCAGCATTTTAAATGTTCAATACATTGTTTTTAATAAAATAACCACATCAACCTATTTTCAGGGGAAGAAATCAGCTACATGTATCTGAAGATTATTTACACATCTATTTTAGGAAATACTGTTGTTTGAAGAACCATACGACAGCTTTCAATTTTTTTGAATTAGTCATCTAACATCCAATTTTCAAAGAGTACACAATTAAAGACAGAAACTTTTCCTTGCTGTTTTGTCGCCTTTGTTTATCTTATAGCTATAGATTTTAGCAGAGTTTTAATGCTAAAAGCAGCTAAAATGCACAAAAAAGGGAACTCTGGATTGCTCACTGCAATATAATTCGTGTTGCCTATTTTTTACCATGATGTTTATTGATTATTGAACAAAGTTTAAAGAGCGACGATCTTCTTACTTTAACCATAGAAGAAAGAAAATTGTATATTTCATATTACAAATCATCATGTTAAGTTTTTAAACATATGATTTAAGGAGTCATGCTACTTCGATTGCCTGTCAATTTTAAGTTCCACGTGTTATTGAATAATTTTAACGTATCTTTTGAGAGATGAGTATTTATTTTTATGTACAAATATATATTCTGTGTGCCAATTTTTTTTAACATTACCCCATATAGATGTAAACATTGTTTTGTTGTGGCATGGAAAACGGATTTAATAAATTGAATGTTTATTGTGTACTGCCTGTAGGTTTTGTCTAACACTGAGGAAATTCAGTAAGCCTTTCTTCTTGTGATATATTCATTCGTCTTGATATGTTTTATTCATACCTGCAATTAGCTCTGTAATCAATAGTTGATTTTTCATCCTCGCACACAGGCAAGTATGATAGTTTAGTTTGTAATGGTCTTATACCTGGATGACTCCTTAAGATCAGGCAAGCTTGCATCGAGTATATGTCACTGTTTCTTAAACGTTAAATATGAAACAAGTTGTGAAGAGTTCACCCATTATAAAACTTGTTAGCTTGGCCTAAATGTCAGTCATCAAGCTAACAATTTGTTAAACATTGGTCACATGGACTTGTTTATGTGAGTTTTTTTCAATTACCTTCACGATAACGCTGACTTATACGGATTACATGATAAAGTCATACTTAAAGATGCTCATCTACTCAATTATTTTTTAATTACCACTTATTTACTAAAAATATTCAAAACTTTAAATTTTCATTTTTAGAAAGATTAAATACTTTTCAGCAATTCTCTGCAAATTATATACTATGTATATGTCAGGATGCACGGTAGTCCAGTGGTAGGACGCCGGGCGCGTAACCGAAGGGTTGCGGGTTCGAGTCACAACACGGCACTGTGTTGTATCCTTGAGCAAGATACTTTACTCCGCTTGTTCCAATCTACTCAGCTGTAAATGAGTATGTGGTTGGGCAGTGCTAGAATTGTTGAATGCTAGCTGTTAGCGCCGAAATGGCAGCTCCGGCTGTATGCTCCCCACGGAGTTGATAAATGTACTGGCTAGTTGGAAAGGCCCTATAACCACGGATAATAATTTGTGAACCGCTTTGAGACGACCTACGAGCTAGGTTGTGATAAAGCGGTATATAAGAACCTCCAATTATTATTATTATTATACATGTGTACCAACAACAACAAAAACAAGAATGAAGCGAAATAAAAAAGCAAACAAAACATTAAGCAAAATACAAATATAAAAAGGAGAGTAAAAAGAATAAAACAAAAAATGAAAATAAAATTTAAACAAATATTACTTCATCGATTCTACATCATTTGTTTATAGTAGTTTAAGAAATTGCTACCGGTTTGTCTTATCTCGTGTCTACGTGTTCCTTTCTCGTTTTATTAACCAATCATGTGTTCAAGTGCTTAATGAATTACAAATATGACACGGACATATTGTATGTACATATATGAGGCAAACTCTTTACAGGTCTATGTATGACGTTTGTAATACGACTATTTACATCATGGTCTACGACTAGTTATTGTAGAACATTAAATTATGGGCGGAGTTGACGAGTAGTTAACACTCCGGCTTGCCACTCAGATGGCCGGGGTTTGATCCCCGAAGTCGCCGTACTCATGAAATATTCAGATAATTTGTTTCTCCTTCCAACACAACTCCAACAACCCTGGTGGAGTATAAATTGGTCTGGGGTGGATGTGGCGATTTCTATGCTATAGCATTCAAGTAAGGTGGAACTTTAAATGATACTATTGGAAGCAAGGTCGAACTACAAACAAAAATCCAAAACATTTCCAACACACACGCAGGCATACACACATAGGAAGATATTAGCCAGGTGGCATAGGACTAGTAGTTAGCGCCTGATATGTCAGCTCCTGCAAATTCCCTAAAATTGTATTGATTAATGTATATGCTAATTTATTAATTGTATAAATTGTATATCTATGTACCGTAAAATCTTTTAGAGTGGCTTATTCTAGCTAGATAGGGCGCTATATCAGATGTTGTATATTATTTTTATTGTTATTATTATTTCAACGAACTTGATTGATTTGTTCGAAATATAATTTATCATTGTTTTTTTGTTATGTATAGAGCTTCCCATACAAGTGATGATTGATTATCCTGTTAATTTAGATCGTGTTAGTTAAATTTCAAATCATACAAAGACACGAGGTTAGAGGCTAACTCGTGTTTTTTTTTATACATTTTGAAATTTAACCAGCATAGGACCAGCGTCGTGTATATGGGGACCTGTTTCTTCCTGTTTCTGTTTCTTGAAAACTACACGTTTTCCCTTTGATGCACACTTTGTGTTTCCGATAGTGTAAACGATTGTCATCAGTCATGACATCAAATCGTAAGATGACGTCGCAAATTATTGTTACGTGACGTCATAATTAAAAGAAATCACGTCCAGGGTGTAACCAAGTAAACAACATTTTGTAACAATTCCTAACCAGTTTATCTGACGAGTCGTGAGGAAGATGGGTTTGATAAAGACATCGTATAAGGATGCATACAGGTTATACTTTCTAGAGCGATATAAAATAAGATATACTAAGCACCCATTGTGTTTCTGCAAGGCTGCATATCAACACTCACGGTGAGATTATTTTAGGAAGTATTGCGTCACCAACATTATCGTGTTCTGTACAACACCTACAAAGAGATCATTTTAGAGAATTACGAATTTTTTCAAAGAGTATTAGTTTATTGGCTTGTTAATGGTTTAGTTCGAAACTTTAAAAAAAATCGTTGTAAAATCTAGTGCATTGTTTAAGAACTGTTATTATTCCTATTATTGTTTAGTCTGACATTTACACTTGAATATTGACTTCAATTACTACATGTTGTATGTTTTCATAGCCAAGCCAAATCATAGGTTAAATTATTGTTTTATGTGCTTATTTTCAACAGTATTTTTAGAATATTTTAACAGTATCTGTGATAATTTGTTTTTAAATATTGACATAAAGCAATAGCAGGTTGATAATATCTCGCAATGTCAGAAACTTCTCGTCTATTGCGTATTGTCAATATACTTGTGTTGACTGTAACGTGAGTGGGGTGGACTGGTTTATTTTGTACTATCAAGCATTGTCTTGATAATTGCATCGTTTTATGAAATTAAACAATAACTGTTCATTATATTTTATATAATGTTATTTACCACTGCATGGCGGTGCCACTATATAATCCTACCGAATGAATATGGCATTCAAATAAATTTTAAATGCCGTTACCCATGTGTTGATGTCATCATTATTATGACGTCATACTTATTGCGTTGAACATTTAACAAACATGCATGATGATATTCGAATGCAAAATTTCAAATAGCATAAATTTATATCTGGGAAAACAAAATTATCTGAAAATGGTAAATATAAGTATAAAAACAGTGTTGATATCGCATTTAAAGGCTATATAAAGGACACAGCTAGCGCGCGTTATGACGTTTGTCTGCAAAGCCATGTTTTCAATTAGACTGTAAATGCCACATCATCACAGTTCAATGCTCAGAAGAAAAACAACACATTATGTTGAAAATGATTCACTTTTCCATTTTCCTGTTATATGAGACTAAAATGTTAATGTTCGTTGTTTTTCGTTTCGGTTTACAATCAAGTTCCATTTACATTATTTTACTGAGATCATATTAAGGTTTTAATGAAATTTGAAGCAAAATTGTAGATGCAAAATTATTGAATAATTATTATCCTACATATATATATACCTGTGAAACGGAACACATGATATTTACGGTAAAATGTTTATCTTTATAGCACCGCTAGGAACAAATCTGGGGAATGAAACGAAGATCACCTCAAAGTGGTATTACCTTATCTAGTAATTGCATTGCATTTGCATTGCATGTTTATAAAGTTTATTATTGTTATTATTGTTTTGTTGGTTTCCATTGGCCAGCTGATGACCAATGAAATGACCAACAACAAAGTTATACATAAATAACAGTTGAGAACATTGTTATAAATAGATCTTAGTCGAGTTCCACGGTTATAAATAGATTGACTAGGATCAGATCTGATCGATATAATGCTTTAGTTTTAATTGATATATTGTTTACCTTTTATTTTATTGCAAAACACAGTCAGTATTATATATATATATTGTTTTCATTTATTATATTTGATGATGGAAATATCAATTAAAAGGAGGCACGATAGTCTAGCGGTAGGACGCCGGGCTCGTGACCTAAGGGTTGCGGGTTCGAGCAACGGCACGGCACTGTGTTGTATCTTTGAGCAAGATTCTTTACTCCGCTTGGTCCAGTCTACTCAGCTGTAAATTATTATGTGGTTGGGCAGTGCTAGAATTGTTGAATGCTAGCTGTGAGCGCCGAAATGGCAGCTCCAGCTGTATACTCCCAAGGGAGTTGAGAAATATGTTGGCTAGTTGCAAAGGCCCTATAACCACGGATAATAATTTGTGAACCGCTTTGACCTACGAACTAGATTGTGATAAAGCGGTATATAAGAACCTCGAATTATTATTAATTATTAAAATACAATAACAATTATAGCATTTTTATTTCGATTGGTACAGGACAAAAGGGAAATATTGACTGGTAACGTAGTCGATATGAAAACCATGTATCGACCAAATCAAAATCCTATAAGTGTTTATTTATTACTAAACGCGCGATTGCGCTGGTTGTTAATACTTGATACACTTTCATGAAGTAACTTTGATATATTGATAATAAAGTGTCAACAGTGGATAGTTTTCATAGTTGTTTCTTCAGATTTGCATATAGGAACCTTTTAATGCGAATTCATTGAAGGATGCGTATCGCCTTAAGTGATCTGTTTCGGATATGCAATTTTTTAACATAAACAAGCGGCTACCCAATGCATATCATAAAGGCATGTGTACGGTCATCCCCGATAGCCAGGGTGTACGCACACTTACGCTCTCTACAACCCTGGAATATGTCATAGCAAAATCGAAGGCATAAAGACAGCTATTTGATTGGTCTCAGGTAAAAAAAGCCTGACCAATCGCTAGGCTGATACATGTCCTTTGAAGATTACAAAGGAGCGACACCCTACTTCAAAGTCAGTCAATTTTTACCTTTTACACGACCGCGAGATTCTTTTGATGTACATCAAAGGATCGAACTAGTCTTCTTGTCTCATCAACAAGGTGGCGCACTCTGAGCCTTCAATTTTGCTTTGACCATATTCAAAGGGTGTAGAGAGCTTAAGTGAGCGTAACCCCGGGATATCGAGGATGATGTACGGTGAGTATCACATGATCGAGTACATTTACACCAACAACTTATTACGCTGTACCCAACCTCACTACTGTTTATATAAGTTGGCCCCATAGCAAACTTTTATTTAATAATCACTTTTAATTCATGTACATTTTCGATAGTTAGAAAATCAATGTGCATGATAAAATTCACCAACCTCAAACATGTGAGTACGCAGGGAAATACATTTGAATAAACACTGCATATGTGACAAGAATGACATCAAACAAACTGTGCTATATTAAATTCTTTACAGAAGTATTGCGAAACCACGAGCCAAAGTACCTATTGACTAAATATATCAAATATCACTTACACTTGTAAACTCTATCTACTCCCAGTGTTCCCGTCAGATCATTGAGTACCCTTACCACCAGACCTTATACAAAGCATGACTCTATATTTGGAGTGTTTTCATTATAAATAAGTAGTAACTACGTCACAACAAACAGGTCTACCACTGTCCCTTGTGTAACGCATCTCTACTCGAAACGTGTCAATTGAAATGTCAATATTGACTCTCCTTACTGAGTAACTGGGGTGTTATGAGAAAACGCTTCTC